TATAATTGTAATTATGAACAACAGTACACATTCTGTGTATGCCAGTAGTATTTATCATGACATGGTATGTAGATAGTTAGATATTTAGATCAATAAGTAAATAAATAAATAAATAAGAATGTTTATACTATTCATTGATGAACTGTACCGCATATGTTATGATAATGCAGACAATTAAATATATATTCAGTCTCATTTGTATGTATGAATACGTGTGTGTGTTTACAAACAAGTAATGATATTAGTATTATTATAACTAGTTTCTCTGTTACTATTAGTACTAATAAATGGCTTTCAATCATATGGACATTAATTCAATTTTCATTGTTTTATATAATTACATTAATACTAGTTGAAATTTAATTTTTTATGGTACATATGATATTTGAGACTGAATAAGTATTAATGATTGATTTATCAATTTCTAAATATATGGTAGAAGAAACTTGAATGTTCAAGTAATCGGAATCTGTTGTAATTTAGTTGTTTAATGTAAAATGTTGTGTCAATTATTAGTGTTTTAATTATCAAAAGGTGTTTTGTGGAGATTTAGTAGTCTATCGGTTAATGGCTTCGGCTCGAGACTGGTAGGTCCTGGGTTCGTGGATGCGCACTGCTGAGGAGTCCCATAATTGGACGAAACGGCCGTCCAGTGTTTCCAGGTTTTCCATGGTAGTCTACTTTCAATTGACTCACGCTTTCAACTATAAATTAGTGTTTTGTTTAAATGTGGTGTAGATATTTTAACGAATATTTGTTTAGTTAAAATGAATAGAGATATGGAAGTGATAAGAAAAATCGAAGTTCAATTCATTTACGATAATTGGTTGTATATGTAATTCCGCTTAGGTCTCCAGCTGTTTTATGAGAGATAAACAAACATAAATATCGTTCACGCTCTAAAACGTGCTAAAAAGTGTGTGTTGTTCATGTGGTGTTATTTAGAACAAACTTAATCATTCGAATTGAATGTGATTGCCCGAAATCTTATTCTGAAAGTTTGTTATCCAAAATGTATTTTTTTGAGGAAAGCAGTGAAGTAAGAAAATGCTTTTCAACTTTATTCAAGTTGTCAATTGTAAGCAGTCATACTAAGTAATTCACGTCTCGACTTTGCTGATATTTTTGAGGCTGTAAAAACAAGAAGGATCAATGTTGTGACTTTTGGTCGGTTAAATGTCACGCGACTTATTCGCCAATCACGATACGATCTATATAATCTTGGCAATGTGCCAAATGAATGATATATTGACCAGTATGAACAGCCTAGCGTCCTTATTGGTCCTTCTTCCTACCTAGCCCTTCCTATTAGGTCCAGATCACTAATACCAGCTTCCACTATATGAATTATTTATTTCGGACATACTTGGTTTATATACCAGCCAACCAGACCACATCATACTATAAAATAAAAAATAACAATTGTACAAGATCAAACCAAACAGTGGCTGTGATTGTAAGAGAGTGTAATTAATAAATTGGGTATAACTTAAGAACAGTAAGTCATATAATAATAGTCTACAGGTCAAAATAAAGCTCATAATAAGAGGTATTCATATAATACTCCTTAGTGATGGGAAAATAAACTGCATTTGATCGTCGAGGATGTTCAGTCTGTGAATACAGTTTACCAGGAAGTAAAGAAGTGAATAATTATGCATTGATTTTAAAATGTGATTTTCATTCAGTTGATTTTGATAATGATTCAGTGTAATTTCTGCTTTTAGGATAATAATTATTTGTATTAAATAGTTCAATATGATATTTTGTTCAATTAATTGTTGTTTAATATAAAATTCAATTACATAAATTCATTCAGTGTCATTTTGCATTCATGTGACAAGTTTCCAGTTTGATCACATTTTTTTGCTTGGTAACCATCAAATTTAATTGAATTAACTGAATTAACTTCAATGAGACCTTAACCAGATAAATCTTCCCTAGTAAGCTTTGTATTTCGGGAGTTAGATAGAAGAGTAAGTTATCGTATCCTGGTACGAAATGTCGTCATTGTGGTCGTTGTTACTGAAAAACTGTTATAGGTGTTGTATTTAATCGATTCACTGGTGATCTACTTATTATACAACTAGACTATAAAGTTTTTAAATAACGAAATTATGTTGTGTCATCATAATTACTTTTACTGACCACATGCTTTTAATGTAGCATATATTAATCAATAGTGTTTCTGAGTTAAAATCTTTTTATTTATCACTGATCAAAAATTGATAGCCATAACAAAGCGAATGACCTTGGAAAGTAACCAACACCTTATTAATTGATCATTTATAAATATATTTGTATATTCTTGAAGTTATTTATAGAAGCATACATTCAGTCTATAGATACACATTGTTTATGAATGATCAGTAAATAAAATAGTTAAAGCACTATCACAATGATTGCTACGATGTTTTAAGTTTTATAAGTGTCCATCATTCATATCATTACCACATGACTTTCATAACTTTCAGATTTATTAAACTATTTATTGTTTTTGTTTCCTTAAACGGCTTAATAGATCGCTCTCTTTATGTACATGCAAGGCGTGACTGTTTCAATCAATTGACACCTATGTCAAGTCCACAATTTCCATTAATACAGTGTTTAGAGTTTTGATATAAATAATTAGTGGGAATGATAATTTTTTCAATGTTCGATACAGTCTTTTTTTTATCTACATTTATCTGTTGTAAACTTATAGCATCAACATGCTACTAGTACTGTAAATAAAGTTTATGGAAAGTATTATTTTCACAATAAATGTGTTGTGAGATAAGTTAGTGAATTTCATGTTGTATGTATGTGTTATCAAGAATTAATATTACTTAGTGAGATGGATATTGAAGATATTTTCAATTCTTAGTTCTAAGAGCTCCTCAGCGTTGTGCATTATTGATACTTAGCTGGATTAATTATAGAAAATTCAGGTAGAGCACTCATGAAGAGCTTTGATACTCGAATGAAATAATTGTTCACATCACTTCTTACTTTTAGTGATCATCTAGTCAATTCTTGAGGAGAACATACTTCAAAGAATAATTATGATAATAATAATAATAGTGACAATAATGGTTATAATAATAATAACGTTTCTATTAAAGCAACCAAGTAGGTTTCAATATAAAACTAAATTAATAATTAATTTTTCTACTCATTGGGATATTACAAATATATTATTTATTTATTTATAACAATCTACCCAATGCTCAGTTTATTCAAAATTATCAAATCAAAACTTGGTAATGATACCTACAAACTCATAAAACTAAATTAATAGTTGACGTCTAATAGTTATTTTCATCTGCACACAATTTCAGTCGTACAAGATTCCATATCTTTCTAATATTTTAATTATTCTACAGTTTCCGAATGAACTTTATTTTACTATTACACACCGTCTCACTTTTGATTCTTTAATGCTTTTTTGCTAATGTGATACTTAAGTATTTTTCTCAATAAACTGTAACATGTTTTCAGTTATTGTAAAAACTAGTAAACAGTGATAGGAGTAGAACATCTGATTAATAAATACTGATCTGGTTGTATGAATATCACTCCAGACAACCGGGTAACATGTCAAGTGCCCATGCGGAATGTGTCACCCAAATTATAGTGAACAAAACTGTATTTGATGAGATAACTTAGTTAGTTGGGCAATGGGTTTGGTAAACGATACTATCAAACAGAAAACTCTCCTCTTTTTGAAATACCTTTAGGTTGTATCAACTAGTCAAATAGGTTTCATTTATTTGTTTAAGATTGCAACTATTTAAACAACAGAATAGTTTATAAGTCGAATGTCTATATCAAGGTTAAATGCACTTAAGCAGTTCGAAATATGCTCAAGATACATAATAATAAGCTTTTTAACCGGACGTTTATATTTGATGAATACCATAAAATTATTTTTTTTTATTTGAATCGATTCATTGTACATGTTGTGCTTAATTGCCACTCTGTTGATGTTTAACAATGATAAGTATCAATGTGGTGTATGTTGCCTATATCGACAGAAATCAGAGCTATGTAACACCTGAAGAGGAATGCAAAGCAGTAGAAGGCTATGAAAGGCTATGAAGAAAACAGAAAGGGAAAAAGAAAGAAATTGTGAATTGGAAGAAGCACAGAGAATGCGAAGGACAATTCACTGAAAACTTGATTTCCCAGTCTTGATTTGTCTGAAGACCAGCTTGATTTCTTCGATCGTCGGTGCGATGACATCTTTTAGAAGGTTTTTGGGTGCTGCTTCGATGTCCGGTGGATTTAACGGAGTTGGTCAGGAGTTCCTCCAAGTATTCTACCCATCTATTCCTCTGTTCTAGAATCTCAGTGATTGTCTTTCCTTCCTTGTCCTCGACCGCTCTCTCTGGTTAACTATATCTACCTGCTGGTTTCTTCGTTGTATCATATAGTTGTTTCAAATTCCCTTCCCTTGCAGCTTTTTCTGCCGTCGTTGCTAGTTCTTCCATGTATTTCTGATTGTCAGTTTTAATGCTCTTCACTCTCTTGTTTGCTTCTGCATACTCTGCTTGCGCCTTGACTTTCGCTGTTGTCATTTGAATGTTGTTAATTGCTGTCTTTCCCTTTTCATGAATCTCCTCTAGAGTTTTAATAGAGATCCACAGCTTATTATGATGTTACTTGCGGCCAAGCACTTCGTGACTTATTGAAGTTAATGCTTCATTGATCTATTTCAGTTACATACTACTTATTTGACAAATAAGTAGTCTAAATTATCTGAAAAATTAAGTATGTCTTTGACTACTTTCAATACTGTGAAATGATGAAATTCAAATTCGAAGCAGGGTCTGAACTTTAGAGGTATTCAGCTAGAAATTAATTTAAGTGGTACAGAATGTTGTGATAATTTTCCCTGTATTATTCACCATAGTGATATGTTTCTTTATTGAGTATTAGAATATTTATTGATAAACACAACAGTCGATTAATTTAATTCATTATCAGTTTATGCCTCACTGTTCACCTTGTCTTTACAGATATTGATTCGGATCTCAAGAAAATTGATGCATGGCTGAACACATTAGCTTCTAGTGAGTGATTCATTTTCGTCAGTATTATTTTGTATTCTTTTGAGTTTATTTTTAAATGTTTGTACTCCGTTTTAATGACCTCAATTGATCAGTTGCTATTAGCAAAGCTACATCATGAATAGGATACCTTGATGTTGGCTTTTAGTTTCAGGACTTCAGTATATCTGATAACAGCTAGAAGTCAAATCCATGATGCACCTTCTGGTTACTGATTAACTGGATATACTTTTACTCCAACTCTGAAATGCACACAGCTTCGAGAGTAGTATCTGTCGCGTAAATTTTACTGTTTTATCCCCCGAGACACTGGTTTTAGATAGCGAATAACTTGTTCGAAGAGAATAACGTTTAGTGTTTGGGTTTTTAGTTTTCTATCGCTGGCATTACGGACTGTATTTTACCAATCCTGAACGGATTGAACGGGTTTTTCATAGTTATGAACTGTTAGTATATACGGGTAGTTTCATGTATTGAAATTCAGTTTTCTGAATCATTTGGAGGTTTCTGTTGACATTATCCGTAAGATATTGACAATAGGGAAAATTTCTTTGTTTTATAACATGTTTGTTTTCAAAACATTGAAAAATTTATTTGAAGCCCTAAACCATAAAAAGCGTCATGTTATGGGAACCAGTCTACATGAGAAATCGATGGGGAACGTTTTACGCTATCATCTTAAAATGTGATCAAACTTACTTTACGGCACTGATAATCAGAAAAAAGAACCTTATAGTTCAGGCATGTGACAACGTTTAATGAAAATCTTAAAATCATTTCTTGATTCTAGGTCCTCTTTATGAATTATTTGACTCATATCCCCGTTTGATGAATTTTACATTTGCTGTTTTGTTCTATTATCTTATTTTCAGAAAGCATATATATATAGTAAATCTCAATCAAAATAAGTTTTATAGACCTTACACCATTTGTGTTTTTTTCACGAGACTCATGTTCTACACTAATGAAGATAAACGTGATGTGTTATCACCAAAAGTATTGTTTCCAACTATTTCGAAATATTTTGTCTCTGTTCTGAATTTAAAACCCATGTTGGAGAAATATTTATATAGGAAGGCAATGTATATGTCATCTGTATACAATCGTGTTATTTGAAACAAATAGTTTATTTACTGAATTTATCTCCAGCGATTAATTTCTATTATTGATCATGTTAACGCTTTTCATGATTTGTTTATTGTAGTATCATAAGCTTACGATCTCAATATTTTTTCAATGAATGACTGAATATATCTTGTCGTAAATAACATGTTACCTTTTTTAAAAGCTAAGAAAAAAACTCCCGGAAATTTTTTTCTGTGTACAATGAAACATACTCAAGTGTGAGAGAAGCACCAGTTTCATTACTGAGTTGTATATAGACAATGTTCAAGATTATATATAAAAAACTTTAAATGTATTCAAAACTATCTGAAACTGAATTTCATTACTTACTTACTTACTTTCGCCTGTTACTCCCAATGGAGCATAGGCCGCCGACCAGCTTTCTCCAACCCACTCTGTCCTGGGCCTTCTTTTCTAGTTCTTTCCAGTTCTTGTTCATTCTTCTCATGTCTGTCTCTATTTCTCGGCGTAATGTGTTCTTTGGTCTTCCTCTTCTCCTTCGACCTTCAGGATTCCATGTGAGGGCTTGTCTTGTGACACAATTGGGTGATTTCCTCAAAGTGTGCCCAATCCACTTCCAGCGCTTCTTCCTGATTTCTTCCTCCGCTGGAATCTGGTTTGTTGTCTCCCACAGTAACTTGTTGCTGATAGTGTCTGGCCATCGGATCCGAAGTATCTTGCGTAGACAGCTGTTAATAAACACTTGTATCTTCTGGATAATGGCTTTCGTAGTTCTCCACGTCTCTGCCCCATACAGAAGAACTGTCTTGACATTTGTATTGAAAATTCTAACCTTGGTGTTGGTTGACAATTGTTTTGAGCTCCAGATGTTCTTCAGTTGTAAATATGCTGCTCTTGCTTTGCCGATCCGCGCCCTCACATCTGCATCTGATCCACCGTGTTCATCAATGATGCTGCCCAGATATGTAAAGGTTTCCACATCCTCCAAAGCTTCTCCATCAAGTGTAATTTGATTGGTGCATATTGTGTTGTATCGGAGAATCTTGCTTTTCCCTTTGTTTATATTGAGACCTACTGCTGCTGAGGCTGCTGCTACACTGGTCGTTTTCTCCTGCATTTGTTGTTGCGTTTGTGATAGAAGAGCCAGATCATCCGCGAAGTCTAAATCGTCAAGCTGCATCCTGCCTGTCCACTGTATCCCGTGCATTCCTCCAGATGTTGACGTCTTCATAATCCAGTCGATCACCAGGAGAAAGAGAAAGGGTGAGAGTAGGCAACCTTGCCTAACACCGGTCTTTACTTCGAACGAGTCGGTGAGTTGTCCTCCGTGGACGATTTGGCAGTTTAGTCCATCATAGGAGTTCCGTATGATATTGACTATCTTCTCAGGCACGCCGTAGTGTCGAAGAAGCCTCCATAGTGTCGTCCTGTCCACGCTATCAAATGCCTTCTCGTAGTCGATGAAGTTGATGTAGAGTGATGAATTCCATTCGATTGATTGTTCCACAATGATCCGCAGAGTTGCGATTTGATCTGTGCACGATCTATCCTTACGAAATCCAGCTTGTTGATCTCGAAGTTGGGCGTCCACGGAATCCTTCATCCTGTTTAACAATACTCGGTTGAAGACTTTTCCTGGTATTGAGAGAAGAGTGATGCCCCTGTAGTTGTCGCATTTGCTCAGATCACCTTTCTTTGGTATCTTGATCAGAAGTCCTTTTTTCCAGTCTGTTGGTACTTGTTCTTCGTCCCAAATCTTACTGAAGAGGATGTGGAGTATCTTGGCAGTTGCTGCTACATTTGCTTTCAGTGCCTCTGCCGGGATGTTGTCTGGTCCTGCTGCTTTGCCGCTCTTGATTTGTCTAATGGCCATGCTGATCTCTTCAATTGTTGGTGGGCCAATATCGATTGGGAGGTCTGTGGGTGCTGCTTCGATGTTGGGTGGGTTCAGTGGAGCTGGTCGATTCAAGAGTTCCTTGAAGTGTTCTACCCACCTGTTTCGTTGTTCTTCAATATCGTTGATTACTTTGCCTTCCTTGTTTTTCACTGGTCTTTCTGGTTGACGGTAATTTCCAGCAAGTTTCTTTGTTGTATCATACAGTTGTCTCATGTTTCCCTCTCTTGCAGCCTTTTCCGCTGTCATCGCTAAATCTTCCACATATTTACGTTTGTCGGTCCTGATGCTCCTCTTCACTTGCTTGTTTGCCTCTGTGTATTCGGCTTGTGCCTTGGCTTTTTCCGCTCTTGTTCGGCTGATATTGATTGCTACCTTCTTGTTCCTCCTTGCTTCAATTTTATCCAGTGTACCAACAGTGATCCATTCCTTGTGATGGTGCTTCTTTTGGCCCAGAACCTCCTGACATGTTGAAACGATTGCCTCCTTGATACCTTTCCAGCTGCTCTCTATGGTGGTTCCCTCTCCATTGAGTAGGTCATGAAAGGCCTCTAACCTGTTGCTGAGGGCTATGTTAAATTCGTTGAGTTTGTCAGCATCTCGAAGAAAGGCCGTGTTAAACTTTTGTGATGTTGTCCGCGCCATTGTCCAGTGCTTCTTGAGTTTTAGTTTCATCTTGGCGACCAGCAAATGGTGATCGGATGCTATATCAGCTCCTCTTCTGGTTCTCACATCCTCCATCGTCCTCCTGAACTTTTTGTTGATGCAGATATGGTCGATTTGATTTTGTGTAGTGTGATCCGGTGAAATCCAAGTGGCTTTGTGTATGTTTTTGTGTGGGAATATGGTGCCACCTATGACCAGTTTATTGAAGGCACATAGGTTTGCAAATCTCTCACCGTTTTCGTTCCTTCCTCCCAGTCCATGTTGTCCCATGACGTCTTCGTATCCAGTGTTGTCCTTTCCAACCTTGGCATTGAAATCTCCCATTAGAATGGTCAGGTCCTTGATTGAGCACTTCTCGAAGATTGACTGCAGCCTATCGTAGAATTGGTCTTTAGCGTCTTCATCGTAGTCGTTGGTCGGCGCATAGCATTGGATGATGTTCATTGTAATGCCCTCTCTCTTTGTTCTGAAGGAGGCTTTGATGATCCTCGGTCCATGAGATTCCCATCCTATAAGTGCATTTTGTGCTTTTCTAGACAGCATCAGTGCCACTCCTTGTGTATGTGGGGCATTTTCTTCTTCATGACCGGAGTATAACAGAAGTTCCCCTGAAGACAGTCGTTGTTGTCCAACCTGCGTCCAATGTGTTTCACTGATTCCAAGCACTTCCAGGTTGTATTTCCTCATTTCCGCAGAAATTTGGAAGACTCTGCCAGTCTCCCACATTGTCCGGACATTCCATGTACCTATAAAAATTGTCGCTCTGGTTGTAAGAAGGTGCATCGGCCTCATGACTTCCGAATGAACTCGGCTTTCATCATGAGACGTCATTTTTCCTTCTACTCCCAGGGCAGAGTTTGAATGGTTTGAATGATTTTTTCTGGTTAGCGTTTTTTTAGCGAGTTGATTTTCTACGGGATGGGGTCGCTAACCCCATGCCCAACCCTCCTCCTTTACCCGTGCTTGGGACCGGCAGTAGCCCCTGGAGGAGCTACAGGCGGAGTTTATGAAACTGAATTACATTGACGTAACTTTATTCCTCAGTTGAAGCTGTAAATTTATCTTGAAACGTTTTTTTCTTTTTGAGCGATATAATTCAATTTTCGTTTATCATAATACAGTAATCTTTAAAAAAGTGGGCTATGCATGTGAGCTACGCATTGAATTATTATTGTATAATTTTTTTTTCACAGATTTACCAAATACTTCAGCATGGATGACTTGCTTAATGTCATTATCCAACGTTCAGAAATTTTCTACAGCTAAATATTATCAGGTGAAATATAATTTATGAATTAAATATTTTACTTTTATACCTAACTCAATATTTTTAAATAAATAAATAACTGAGTAGCTGAATTACAATCAGGAACTTAATATTCATGAATAGAGAAAATCTGGTATCAAACAAAATTTAACTTCTGTTTAATGATTGGTTCAGTGATCCGTGAATGAATGTTGACAGAATAGGAATATTTGTATAAGACTATTACTGTGAATACAATAATATAAAAAACATCTATATATGTCGTAACTAAGTATCATGCGTTTTTGTATTTAGTTATACAAAACAAAAATACTCATGATAATCTAAACAACAAACAAATATTTTATCATATACTCACTAGTGACTGGCTCCATGAGGTAGTTCCTGGAGTTCTAGTGAGAAGCAGTAACCAATGGAGTTCAACCAGGTTTGTTAGGAGATATCAACTGAGTGAAGACAATGGTGAACGGCTGCTCAACTTCGTGCGTTGGTTGAAGTTAGACATTAACACCGTTGGATGCCGGCTCAGTGATCTCTCGGTTAAGTGCTCGCGGACGAGACTGGTAGGTCATGGGTTCGAATCTCGCGAGACGGGATAATGGGTGAGGAGTTTCAATATAGGATCAAACGGCCGTTCAGTGCTCTCAGCTTTTTCATGGTGGTCTAGCTTCAATTGACTCATGATTTCAACCATATATAAAATATTTTATATGCTAAAGAATGCATTATGTAAATGTGTTCAGTAGAATATTGTATTTTGAAATGTGAAATTACTATTATCCACCAATGAGCTTAGTCAGTCACTTTGGAGCAATAATATATTTGGTTATAAAATAAAGGAGGATTAACTTCATATATATTCCAAACTTTATGAATAAATTATTAGATTGTTAGTTTCTCAACAAATAATGCAAAGGGTATTCCTGGAATATACATGCATGTCTACCCTATCATTGATAATTTTGTAGACTATTATAACGTAAAACGGCGATAAGTTTATAACTATTAGAGTATGGGTTAAAACCATGTTTTACCATACTTTGTCTACTGTTGTTGAATAATATCAGTAGGACCTAATACAAAAGTAGGATTCGAAGCCGATCATTTGAATGATAAAAAATTTACAACAGCGTTTGAAAAAAATATATTTCGTTTTTCTAGTTATTTGTTTTATCGCATACTTTTAGTCGGTTAAACAGATACATGGTATCGTAAATGATTTAAACTATTATATTCTTTGTACAAAATATTATATTCCTTTTGAAAAACGTTTTTCTTGTTTAAACGAATTTCAATCAATTATGAAGCATTTTCCACAACAAGGAACCCAGTTTTGTTGTGTTTCTAAATGTCAAATGACAAATTGAACGCATTACTTGATAATGAGTAAACAAATTAGTATCCGATGTCTAGTGTCATTTTCATATTATAATATTATTATAATATTTGTCCATAGACAGTCATCTTCATCTTCACCATAGATTATCTTGTTTATCATTAGTTGTGAACAAATTCAGCGATATCTTCTCATTTTTTTTCTAAGCACTAGCAATCTTCTGTGTGATTTTTTAAAACATTTGATTCGCATTATAGGTTTGTTTAAAGCAAATTGAACAATACTCAAAAACTTTATCAACTATTAAAGAGTTAGTTGATCATGTTGAACTTAATACATTGGCTGATATACAATTTCAAAACAATTTGCATAATTTATCAAGAAGTGTTTGTGAATTAGAAGCAAAATTTCATACTCTGTGGTTACGTTTACTGGAATTATCAATTTATATTGATCAAAATATTAAAACTAATGTGAACAAACGTGTAACTACTGATATCTGTCATGATGCATGCTCAAACAAAACACGACATGATGTATTACATCAGAACTATGGCAATAGTTACTTGTCGGAATTCAATACTAAAGAGGTTAGTTTGTCTTTGTTGTTTTTTCTTACATCTTATTTGTGTATTTCTCTAATTGAATGCTAACAAATAACTGTCTGATTGTTGTTGCTGATGAGATTCAGAAACTGTCTCATATCTATCAAATCTTTTTCTATTGAACTGTTCATATAAATGTTGATAGATCTATTATTTCTTATTAAAGACTTGATTTCTCGTTATATATATATATGGTTTGCCAACTATTCAAATTGATTAATTTAATGACATCATCAAAAAGTGCGCTAATTACTTTTTTCAGTTGAATAACATTCATTGTAATGGCGGGTTATTTATTTATTTTTTTGAAAACAAATAAAGCTAGTTGTGTACTTTAAAGAGAACGTTAATTGTTCATATTTTAAAATTTATTGTACCTTGGTCTAAAAATTTAATATAGTTTAGGAACAGACAGTGGATAGATACAGTTTAACCCATATACCACCCACTTTATAAAATTCTACTCATGAACTAATTAAATAATAATAAATTCTTGTACTTTGTTCTTTACAAAAGGTAAAATATACAACGGTTATTAATATTGATTTAAGGTCAGTCAATCACTTAAGTAATATTATATGCTAGAGATTAAAAGTTTTAAAACTTTCAATCACTTGGATTCAAATTTGAATTGCCGCTCTTCTACTTCATTTGGTTGTAAACGATTGAATAAAAAGGGTTAATAATCTTTAAACAGACATATTGGTGATAATTGTTTTAATTCACTGGTTATATTATACGAATCTAATAATTGAGAAAATATATGGTAAAAAAATTACTGACTCTACAATTTAAACAAAAACTCTATGCACATTTGTTTTGATAAAGATTTATTAAAACAAGATTTGCAATAAATCAGTTACACGTGCCTGAATTAAATATATATGTATATGGTAAGGACAAGACTTCGTATAGATTTATACTACTCAATAATATACTGTATATCCTGAGCAAAGCGTTTAACCATACACTCTAATGTGTTCGCAAAAATAGTATAAACAGTGTTCTATCGGTGTGTAAATCATACTTTTTAAGGAGGATGTTATTTACCCTTATACTTCGATCACTCTATACCAGTGCTCTAACCAAGCTTAGTTAAAGTTTATTTAACTAAGTTTTATGTTCGGTGAAGTTGTGCCATGGAAATCTATTATCTGCGAATCGAATCAGTACAAATAGAAATTTAAATATGAAAGTCTCATCCGAATCTAGATTATTTCATTTCATAATACAGTTAAGGTTTATTTGTTCTCACCTCTTTTTGGTGATGTAGAGCAGGGCAACCAGAATCCAACATAACTGCAGTTTATTGTGCTGAAAAAAGTTGACTTAAATATCTTAAAACAGATTCTACCGGTATATATCCCTTTATGTGCATGTTTTTGTACATACTACTGAAATTATTATAGGCCAGTATTGAAGACAAATGAATCAGTGATTGAACCTCAGTGTAACTATTATAAGTTTCTAAGACGTTGGTGATAGCTTGTTGTATGCCTAAATGTAGCAAGATTTCTACTACTGAGTAATTAGTGCTTACATCAACATATCAATTAAACTAATAACGATGTCTTTCCGTAAAACCTTGAATCCTATTGATGGCACTCAAGTAATTTCTGTTTAAGGAAATTTTTTACTTGCTTACTTGCCAACATATAGCTATTTTTTATTCTCATCTTTATTGAGTCTAGATTGGTATTCATCATGTCTCACATCAAAACGGACATGAAAGTGGTTTTGAATCGGAACAAAGTCCTCCACTGAAATCATATTATAGTTATTCATGCAACAATACCACTACTGGTTCAGATACCTTCGTGGTTAAAGATGAGCTGAGACTTAGAAGTGAGTTTGACGATAAGTCAGAATGGATTGATTTCCTTTTAAAATACTAATTATTTTATCCCTTTTTCACTGTTTTCATTTAGGTTTTTATTTGGAAAAATATTTATAGCATAAAAATTTGTTTTCAGTGGTCACTTTTGTCATTCGTTTTCATAATTCGATTGACGAAACTAGTCCACATGGATAGATCATTTCTCATATATAATTCCAGAGACTACATTCTATAGTTATTTTGAATATCCTCGTACTTTTAGAAGTAGTATGATAATTTATCATGTCTGAAGTAACTGATTCTGTTGAGAATATTCCATAGTATTCCTACGAAAGTTCTCTAGGGACCTAAAAAACGTTTGAAAACATTTTATCCAATCAGCGACAAATAGAAGCGCCTCAGAAACTTCTAGAATGTAAAGAGTCACGTGTCACCTTTTTGGTTGAGTACTTGCCTATGATGCTACTACATTCAGTACAGTTCCGGGAACTTCCAGAAGTTCAAAGTAGTGTGTAACTCTAAATACCCTCATTTATCTGTACACATCAAACCTTAGAGTAACGCGTTATTTTGCATTTCGCGCCTTCGCTCTTTTTCTCAAGTTGCCGTATACATTGGACCTAAGGTTAGTAAATACTGCTATGAAATCGGGTAAAAAAGTTCAGTTAACAGGCACATCAGATTGTTGCACAACTTTTGTTTTATAACTGATAAAAATGGATAATACATTGAGGGTTCAAATAATCAGAAAACATTTGTACCAAGAAATTTGAAGTGAATTTATTTCATCTATCTACGTGTTCAAACATTCGACTGTTAAACGTTTCAAATTATACATGAAACGTCGTTAATTTTGTTCCGTATTTGGACACTTGATTGGATATTAATCAATGTTTTAGGAACTTATACGATGCAAATTATGAATCTTAGCAAAAAACATATTTAGCGAAGATTACTATAGACTAGATATCCTAGCATGATTGATTGTTAAACTGAAAAACAGAAATATCACGAAAAGTTTGTTTTATGAACCTGTGTACATTGGTAATCTGTTTTCAATATATTAAACCATTTTTTGTTACAAAAGTGTTTTGTTTGCTTCAAGCTCCTATTCTGTACTTCTGATTTTTCTTTATTAAGTGTGTCAACTTATTGTATTGCTGTGCGAGTATGGTTTCGATCTTCTTAAATGATGAAACTTGATTGTTCAGAGTTACGTCATTATCCCTTTCGAGAGTCTTGAGTTTTTCTAATCAACAGAATAAATTCTGTACATAATTTTTCACAACTTGGTATTTTTCACGTGTTATATCTGTCAGACACTTTTTTAATCAGCCAAGTATTGTATAATCGATATCTTCGGTCGAATGGCCTCTTTTGATAATCTACTTTATCCCTGCTTCCCTAAATTAATATATATACCATTTATACAGAGGTGTTTGTTCTTATGTTTTTTCTTTCGTTAGAACACAAAAGGGTTTGTGTAAAGACCAGTCTATTTTTCTTATTTCACTGGGGAAGACAGCCTTCATTACTGTTTTGCTACCTACCAATATCTTCAAAAGTATTTCCAAGCTATTGTGAGTCTATGAAATTTCAATCATCAGATAGCAGATTCATACTCTCACCTCACTTACTTTGATTCGAGAAGTTCACTGGTATCATTTTTATTTACTTGTAGAATTCGGTTTAAAGTTGAACACGTAAACATGCCTGTGGTCATTGGCTTACAGTTCTCACATACTGATTCAAAATCTTCATTAGATTCATGTGTCGTTAAAGACAATATCTCTATAATGAATCGTAATCCCTGTGTTTTGACTTCTCCATACGTCGTTGAACAACATTGATTACCTAAGAAAATACACTTTCAAATCTGTCGAACTCTTCTGTATCTGACCATTTAGAAATAGATAATACGTTGCAAACGTTTTATCTACGTAGTTTCTATCAAACCCCTTACATTCATTGTTCATCTGTCAGAATGAAACTTGAGCAACTAAACATTTTATCCAGCATTCAGTTCATTATGGTCTTTTACTTCCCTTTTATGTTATTACTATATATATTTATATATCATTTACGACATTCTATATCATTGAATAAACGAGACAATTTACTTCTAATTTAGACCTCTTTTTCATTCATTATTTTAATTATTTTTTCGCTATTCTCACCTTTTATTTTATGTATATAGCTTTCATAAATTTATTTGGTTTTCAGTTTTTTTTTTCTATCTTCTGTTTTGATTTATCCATAAATATGTTCAACAATTTGATTTTAGTCTCTTCTCATTCATTTGTCTGTCTTTTAGAATTTTTAAGTAGTTTATGCACTTCTCAGTTTTTCTTTCTAAAAAAACAAAACAAAAACGCATATACATTGTTCACATATATGGCTCTGTTACAAAATCGATTAACATGTAACAAAGTCAACATGATTATACATAAGTATGTAAACATATCTGTGTACACTATACAATAACCAGAATAGTAATAGTCGGCGTTAGGGTGTGACATACAAATTCAATGTGAAATAAGTCTTTTTTTTCCTTTTAATATCAATTCTTTCTCCGTTTTTTTCTCATTTTTCATTTTTGTTCTTATTTAACAATCTGTTATGTTTTTTTCAAAGTTGAAATCATGAGTCAATTGAAGCTAGACCACCATGGAAAACCTGGAAACATTGGACGGCCGTTTCGTCCTATTATGGGACTCCTCAGCAGTGCGCATCCACGAACCTGCTCTCGCGAGCGGGATTCGAACCCAGGACCTACCAGTCTCGAGCCGAAGCCCTTAACCGATAGACCACTGAGCTGGCATCCAACGGTGTTAATGTCTAACTTCAACCAATCCACGAATTATGAGTGCCCATTCACCAATTGTCTTCAGTGAGTTGTTATCTCACAACAGACGTGGTTGAACTCCACTGGTCACTGCTTCCCACTAGAACTCTGTTGTAAGATAAAAACTCACTGAAGACAATTGGTGAATGGTCGCTCATAATTCGTGGATCGGTTGAAGTTAGACATTAACACCGTTGGATGCCAGCTCAGTGGTCTATCGGTTAAGGGCTTCGGCTCGAGACTGGTAGGTCCTGGGTTCGAATCTCGCTCGCGAGAGCGGGTTCGTGGATGTGCACTGCTGAGGAGTCCCATAATAGGACGAAATGGCCGTCCAGTGCTTCCAGGTTTTAGATGGTGGTCTAGCTTCAATTGACTCATGATTTCAACTTTGAAAAATACTGAAATCTCCACAAATCCCCTTCTAAATCTCTTATGTATTCATTATATGATATTTGTTGATGGTTTAAGCTTATAACTAAAAAGAATAAACAATATAGACTATTTAATGAGTTGATTATTATCATTATTCATCTTTACTAACCAAATCATTAAAATGTTCGAAATTGACCAATCGAATTACAGTATAATGATTAATATGTTTATCTCATTGAGGATTGGTTGCTCATTATTCAATCAGTGATTTTTTATTGGATATGTGAAATTAATTAACTCAATTTATGTATTATTGGTTGAATATCTACTGATTATTAGTTGAGAATATCATTTTTTTTTTAAAAATCAAAATCATTATTTCTGTTATTAAATGTTTTCTATCGTAGAAGATAATAGTCGTTCACTTCCGGATGATTTTAATGAGATTATCGGAAAGTTGGATAATGCATTATTAAATGATGAACTAAAAAAATATCCTGAAATGATATACATTGATGAAAGTGTTAAATGTTTGTCATCTCAAAGTGATCTATTTTTTAAGAATGAAGATAAGTGTAAGATAAACAGATATGGAAAGAACTTATTCTCTTCATCGGAGCAACAGGATATTAAACGGAATTACAGACTGGAAATGACTGAAAGTGGAGATTTCTTATGGAACAATACAGGGAATGGTTTGATTGATGCTACAATACGGGATAATGATAGTCAATCATCAAATTCAAAAAGTGCTGCGGGATCCACTTCGTGTCATGAAGATGCAGGTGTATGGAGAAAGAGATTTTCGACTGAATTCTGTAACTTGGATAAAGTCGAGTAAGCTTGTATGAGTTACATGGAATATTTTGTTATTATGTAATTTCTGAAGAAACACTTCAGGCTGTCAAGACGATTGATTAATGTGGTGTTAAATTACAATTTCTTGTCTGTTTTACCCGCTTCAGTTTCTAGAGTGTTTTTCATATAAATGCAGTTCACAGTTCGTATATAAATCTACACAATTCTATGGTGTTGTACTTCTCGTTGATAGTTTTTTTATATCATCAGAATTTACTGCTAGATAATATATAATCTGAAAATAATAATTACAGAATGCACGTCAGTTTACAGGCATGATCAATTTGATATAAATAGTAATATTAGATTTAGAGAACAAACTTGTGATATTAGATTGCTTCAAGTTTGCTAGCTCAGTAATTGTTTAGGTAGTACATTTTTAACATGTATTACAACAATCCAATGCATCAGCAGGGATAAATTCAACATTTCTATATGAATAAGTGTTGAACACTTAGGAGATAATGACGGAAGTCCATATCTCAGAAGAAGAATTTCGCTGATATTTTATCCAATTATTCGGGTGGTTATTGTTAGTAGTTATTTTCCTTGATGTTTTTTAGTATGGTTCAATTTTCGTCATGCTACTAATCATGAGAAAGTAGTTATTGATATATACATAACTATAAAAAGCGATTAATTTACCCTTTTCTTATGTACCACCTAAATAACTTATCACAGAAAAACATGGACAAAAAAGCACATCACCTAAAACTCAGCTTATCAGTTCGTCTAACAGAAAAGAAAACTGAGACGTTCATTCATTCGTGCATATATATATATAATGATTAAGATATTGTTACCACTAGATATTCTTCAATATAAGCAGAAAAACTTCAGCTTAAAAACAACGCGAAATATGAGCCAGTTAATACTTGAAGAGTGTGATGTAAATGAAAGCATAGAACACTAAAAAGTGATTGCATATATGCCATCAGAATCAACTTTTTAACGTATCGCTTGTTTTATATGCACATTATCACACCTTATATTCCCGCGAATTGCAATGATGTTATTTCTTAGATAATTTATTTAATTAACTATTATTGATTCTTTAAAATGATTTGTATAAAGAAAAACTTAGGCGTTTACCCTAACAAAATATGACCAAATAAGTTTCTGTTGGATTGTCTCCCTACCCAAAAATTTTTTGTCTATACTATCTTCAAGGATATTGAATAAGCTTCTTTCATTCAAATATATTAGTTTCAAAATGAAAACATATACATAGAAATATAAGTGATCGTAATTAAAATAACTACATTTTTCCTGGCAATCTGATACAATTATTTTTAGGGAAATCATTAAAACTCAAAATGATCGAATAAACCTGTCAAGTGTAACGTTGGAGTTATTTTTAATTTTAATAGCCTAGATATTTACAAATATAACTTTGTTTTTGATGTATTATATACACCTGACTCCCAATTATTGCGAAAATATTGGTTTCGAATTTAAACGAAGATTCTTACAAAATATCTGATATTTGACAGCAGGAATTCCAAATGTTCATTCGACTTTTTTTCTAACTAAGATATATATTTTCATCTATTAATTACTAAGTACTCTTCACATGTAGTATGATAGGTTAACTTGTTTAAGATATCATACGATGAATAAATTTGTTGATATTAGCTTCTGAAATTGATTCATGAGTAGTTTCACATTCAAATCCTAAATCTTTCATATTTCATAGGTTTAGCTACTATAAATTCCTGATTTGTTTTGCACAAGCCATAGATTAATAGAAAGCAGTAGTTATTCGAAAGCATACATATCGTAATAATGTTGATAATTCAATCCTCGACTTTTGAAATCTACATTATTTTCAATTATACTATTTTCTCTTTGAAATTTCAATTAGTTAATCATGAAATTGCAATTCGAGTAATATTTCTTATTATTTATTGCTCGACTACTAAAATCCTTTCTTCTTTTTCTACTTTTAAGAAATTATGAAACAATACACAATTGTTGGTCGTTACCTAATGCGAAATCATTCGTAACAGGAATTAATAAATCGAAAAGTATAGATTTGCCACTTATCTCAAATTGTCGTCAAGTAAATGATAGATCATGCAGTATGCATGTAAACATTATGAATAATAATAATAATATTTTCAGAAAAATTATCAGCGGACAAAAATCTTTGACTACTAAATACAACAATTTACATAATTTCTACTATTTAAAACGAATTGGAAACAGTCGATTAATGGGGCATTTACTTGGTAAGTAATCATTTAAATTTATTGTTATTTATTCACTTTTATTATAAGTGATAAAAAAAATTGAACTAATTTGTTTCGATTAAGATGAAAACTCTGAAAATAGTACCTTGAAATATTAATCACTTATAAATATTGTAGAAAGGCATCATATGCAAAGATGGATAGTGGCTACCAGTGGAATCCTAGACGCGCGTTTTGTCCTATTTTTAGACTCGTCAGTTGAATATATATGGCTATCAGGATTCAGTAGCTAAGTAGATAACGTCGTGGCGTTCGAAATGAACGGTACTTAGTTCAAGTCTAGGAGTGAACATCAACTCTGGAATGCAGGTACATCCAGCTAATGAGTCTCGGATAGGAAAAAACGTACGTCATGGATTCCACTGCTAGCCACCACCCATCTTTGCAATATCGAGTCAATCCTCACAGGATGCACATATGCCAATAAGAAACTGATCAATTGCAATCCTAAACATCAGTGGGAAAATCCAAATAAACAGTACAAAATGAGTTGTAGAAAAGGGAGATTGGCAATCCTTTTTTTGTATTTCTTTCATTTTTCTTCATTATGATTTCTTAGTTGCATAGGTCTTTATTCAAAATATTTTTTTTCTTCAGCTTGATAACCTTTCACATTTATAAGTATTCCTATCAAGAGTTAAGTTGATAATTCCAAATAAATGGACTTCCTAACTAAGATCGAACTAACCATTTATTCGAATACACTACAAATATTTTTTTCACTGTGATTACTACAGTTCTCAGCACTAAATTTTATTTATTCGTTTACTGAGTAATGATAGAAATCATGTGATATGTACTAAAGACGGATACTAGATGCCCTAAGCTATGTTTTTTCTAATGATTCTGGTACTACCGTTGTTGTCGGTTTACTAATCTAATTAATCAATCGACATTTTGTATGTTGCAGTTTGAGTAGTCATGATTCGTATTATTTTATAAAATAGGATAAAAAATAATGCTTTCTGTATCTAACTTAGTTACTTTAATAATAAGTAGTACCTGGAAAAGCGTTATTATCTGATGTCAATCATAGATATGTACAAATATATCATATGCTAGGCGTATAATAGACCATATCACATGTGTGTGTGGTTGAGTATAATTCAATTCATATTGATTGTGTTATATTTTTTTCACTCTGTTATTGTACGTGGTTTAGTTTTGAACAATTACATTATAAGTAGCCGTTGCTAATATCAACCAGAATTCCCATTCTTCTTATTTTGTTTGTTTGTATGTTTGGGCGATTCCTTTTCACTAAATTCTTAACTAATGAAAATGTACTCACAGAAATACACACTTGCATAGTTTATGTATGTTCACATTTTCATATACATATATATTTCATTTAGTGAATTGAATGTCTCTCATTAACATTGGGATATTCCTGTTCCCTCTTAACATTTATTGGACTGTTTCAAATTCTCCACTAAATCATTGCTGTGTTCACATTTTTTCACATAACAGTAAGAAAATAGTCCATTTTCAAATTAAACAGTACACCGATAGGATATTTCTAGTGAATAGCAGTACTATTTAATAGTACTGGTGCTTACTTTTTATTCTATTCAATGAATCATACCTTTCGTTATTTCTTTTCTATATTAATTTGCTGAAACCACTTATACTTAAGAAGTGATATTTCCGGAATTTACTTTATGAGATTTTAGAATACATTAACCCTTTTAAAATTCTATCATACCATGAGTAGGTCAGTAGTTAAATTATGCAATCAGAAATCTAAAGTCAATCACTATTCGATTGTTATAATCCATGACAAAGTCATATTATTTATCCACTCAGTGCAACGATACTATTCGGTCACTTTTTTTCAAATAAATTTCATTATTAGTAATAAGCTGGGATCCAGGACGAGTGTGTCCACCTATTAAGTACTCGTCAATTCTATGTACCTCGATCTCATTGTTGATGTTCACGCTGAAACTCAAACCCAGTACTTTCACTCCAAACTCTAAAACGTCATCGACTGAGCTCCTGAGTTCAGACAATCACGATCATGTACAAAGTATGAACTTTATCTACGAGTGCTTGTGTTTTCCTGTATTTTCCAACTTTACTAATGCCTTGTGATTAAATGAAAATATTGAGGCAGTCAGCTAAAGTTGGATTTATTTTAAAAGAAGATAAACAATTACTGTATTTAACATCATCAGTTAGAAAATATAAACACATACAAATAAATTTTGCCTCTATTCCAAAGTTTTTCGAATGATCGTTTGTGATTATTCCTGTGAATTTATGAAAATGTTTCATAAATGAGTGTATGGTACTACTATATGTGATTTCACTAGGCCATACAGAACGAATAACTAGTAGTTATGTTGATATATATATATATATATCTTCAGTCAGAGTGTTCAGTGTATCTTACTTATCAGTAGTTATGTGTATTATATCATGAAATGTATTAATATCTACTAGTTATAATTTTAAAGCTATTTGTTCACATAACAACAAGCCATTTTAACTTTTGTTGTACAGTGATTGACATTTTGTCATTTTGGTATCAACATTTATTCATTAATAATGATAACTTTTTGTTTCGATCAACAATAAAATGTACATATGTTGAAAAATAAGGTCGATGTGTAATATTATTATGTAAGTTTTTCTTCTGTTAGCTTCAATGAATGTTTAACTTGATATGTATATTCTTCCATCAAATGGCTGTCACTGTTTAGTTTTTTTAGAACTGATTTGCTTTATAAAAGGGGTACTTACTGTGTTAAAAGATAAAATCGCTGTATCAAACACATGAATAAGTAGTTAAAACGTAAGCTAAATAATAGTTTTACTTCAGAAATTACTTTAGGGAAAGTTCATTAAAGTTTGATTATTAAAATAATAACTTGGATTTTATATCCGTCCATGCATATTGTTTATGCAAAATTGTCAATGTGTTTAAGCAAGTTTACATATGTCAATTATATTGACTTTAGGTCACCCACACTCCGTTTGTTCATTATAATAATCACTTGATTTCTGTTCCATCCTATTGAACTAGCACATCGTTACGTTTGTTATTAACAATTTTTATTCACAAAAGAAAACATTTTCTTCGCATACGGAATTCATTGTCTGAGTGTTTGCTTGTTCCAATGACTTTATACTTATAATGTCATTTGAAATCTATGAACATACTATTTGATCGTAGAGCCACCTAGGCGAACTTGATCAAGTGTTGTATAATACATTTACAGATTACCGATAATGTTGCTGATATTTTTTGGATTCATTGACTTAAATGGATGACGTCAAAGACTGATATCAGTTAAAAAAACATTTTCATAGTGTTAAACTCCTTATCAGTGAGCATCTACAACCGAATTGAGGATTGAATCCAGGACTTTCAGATCTCGTGATAAATGTTTGACCTTTAAACCATTAAGTTGGCATCCAGTGGTCTATAAATTTTCAACATAAATCAATTCGTATTATTGTGCAACCACTTTCTAGTCCAATAGGTGTGTTAATGTCTCGCACGTAACACAGTTGAACTCGAACGGTCACAAATTTTACTTGGACATCGAAAATTACGTCTCAAAATTAGTCGTTTACGGGTAAAAATGTTTCCACTTTTATGCATACTTCACTATTTGCATTATTTGAATAATGATAATATTTAAGTAGTGACTAGTAATACAATTGTTCTATTTTGAAAACAATAATTTGAGAAAATAACTTGATATAACAAAGACGTTTTTACTAAGCACTGTTTAAGAAAGCATTTCATTGTCTTGTTAGTATATTTGAACATTCTACTCACATTTATATCACAATAAACTGAGTAAAAATATAAATGTAAGTATGTATATTCCTTTTGACAAGCTGTCTATTGTGTACATTTATGAAATACTTTCTATTTCTGAATATTTTCAGTTCTTTTCAACCAGGTTAATAATACGCCTTTTTTTGCTATTTATATTTATTGTCAATATGCGTGTAACTTATATTAGACACAAAAGAACATTGGTCTAATCTAATCTGTTCACTCTCTTTATCTATATCTCTTACTACCTTTTTTTGTCTTTTGTTCATAGAAATGAGGGAAGTTAGGTCATTTAAATTATTGTTATTTTATCTATTGTTTTAATCGGTTCAACTTAATCATGGTGATGATCATCGTTATCTTTTCACAAAGTAACAAACAAAAAAAATCGATCAGTCATGTGCGTGCTGGCTGGTTAAGTTTCAGCTGTTCACCCATTCACTCACTCACTCGCTTGATCATTAACTCATTTACTCGTCCATGCAATGGTTCACTTGCTTAGTCATAATTTTTATTATTATTCTATATATTAGCATATTTAATGTATTAAACTATTGAACAAAAACGACTGATTTTAAAGTAAATAAATGGTTATTCATTCAATTCTTTATTTTGGCGAGTTATATACCATTGTATAGGAGTTTAACTGTCTCTATAGGTATTAAAAACCATTATTTACGTTGTTGAAAACCGTATAAAGATATGTTATTACTTAAAGATGTTAGTAGTTTAATGAATTTTAGTGTTGACAAGACGTTGAACTTTTTAATTAAATTTAAATAAAGTTCAGTTAGTAGCTTTTGACAGAAATACATGACGAAGCTGTGCAGTTTGACAGTTGTTTCTAGAAATGTTTGATTGATTAAATCAAAGCTTAATCTAAACAATTTTCAATGAGATAAAGAATAGTGTCCATAAGTGTAATAAAAAGTTTCTTTTCTAATATATTGTTAGAAAATGGTAGTATTGTATTTAATACTATACTATATCCTCATATACAATCTTTCTTTTATATATTACCACTACTAAATTAACTATTTCTATGAATCCCGTGTTCATCTTGTTGTGCTATCGAGGTATGACAACTTGGAACGATACATAAATGTGCCTGGTCCTACGTTGTAACTGACTGACTGACTGACTTTCTAACTAGTTCACCCATACTTTGTTTTTTTCTGAAGTTGATAATCTTATTTCCATTGTTTTCATTTTAATCTTGTTCACTCCACTCTCTTTCTATGTATATGTATAAAATGTAATAACTTGGATCGATTTAAATTTCAATTACATTTTATGTTACCTATGACTAACTAACTCTAAATTATTTACTAAAATGAGTGACATTCCTCATCAAACTAACTAGTTTAGTCGTCTTTTATTCGCTTTTTAGAATTCAAGGTGAAACATACAAATACTAAATTAAGAAATAAAAAAAATTTCAAAAGTCGTCTTAAAAGGACATCAAAAAATAGAAATTGTATGAGTTCGATTTCTCTAAATCTGTACAATCAAATTTCTAATGAAATGCTCAGTCATACTAAATCAGTTGTTTCACAATATAGTTCTGTTGACACTCAAATGTTCCATGTTGATTCAGGATCAAATTCAGATTGTGAAGTAACTAGTAACCACAGTTATTACTGTAAATCGATACCTGATAATACAAGTGAATTGGAACAACGTCAGTGGCGAATGCAGGTTAGAACATATTTAAATGCAGCTGAGAAGGCAGAAGAATTAATTCGTAATCGATATTCACCAAATCGGTTTGAATCCTGGCTAGCTGGTTTAGAGGCTTCGAACCTCAAACTTGGTCAAGATAATGATGATAATAATAATCTGGTCGATTTGACAAACAAACAATTGTTAGTGAAGAAAAATCAAAATAATAATGCTTATGATTCATGTTCTTTATTCATGAATGATTTGGATGAAAAAGATGAAAAGAGAACTTGTCAAGATGATAATGATTTATCGCCTTTGGAGGATTCACATGAGCCTTTATTAAATTTTTGGGATGATTATCAGGTGAGTTCGTTTTCTTTTAATTGTTTTAAATTATACAAGTTACGTCGTCTAATCGAGTAGAGTTATGCTCATGTTTTAAGTTGTAGTAATACGGAACTTGGTAAGCTTTTGCGACACAAAGGATTAGTAATCAAAGTATATAATGTTTAATGGTTAGATCTTAAGTTGGAATCCCCACTTCATCAATTACTATTCGAATTTTCAAGTAGCATTGTAATGAACGAGGATGCAAGTCAGGATAATCTATTGCATACACCACATAATTACAGACTTACTTGATAAAATAGAAATGAGTACTTCATTTTCAAAATGTTCATTAATTGTCTCAGACTTCATTGTTTCTGCATTTCTAAATTAATTACTTTCTGTTTCCGTTTTTTCCTCGTCGATTTTCTCAACCTTCTGCTGCCAGACATTCCATTACCGATTGGTGTTATATGCTACCTATGTCGACATGAGTAACACACACTACAGCATCACTAACCGATACACAAAACGGTATAAACTAAATCTGAGTATTTGAATTTGAATTTCATCAATAAATTGTGTTAGGTTGGGATTGATTTTAACTAAAGTAAAGAAGATTGTTTTGCTCTAAAGTTTCCTTAACAAGTAGCTGAATCCCTTAACCTACCATAATTTTAATTTGCCCTATCCAAGTTATTCTAATTAAAATGCTTCCGAAATTGATATTACCATTAAGTGTTTATCACTTTATTAGATTATATGTTGGCAATCGAACTGTAAATTTCTAGTTTAGACACTTAATTTCTAAGCTCTATTTCATTTGATTGCTCATAGTCGGCTCTCGTATGATAAATGTGACAAGTTTGTTTCCACTTAATACGTTGTGTATATTTGAGAGAAAAATCTTATTCCTTAAGTGGCTGATTAGTGGCTAAGGCATTGAACTGAGTTCCAGGCTGGAATCCAGGTACGTTACTTTTTACCTGGCAAATGAGTTGACTAGTGAAACCAAAAATCACCATAGGACTTGTCTTTTCATGTATCCAGTAAAAAAAGAATATCAAAATAAACCCTGCCTTACTGCCTGCCGAACTCTATTTAGATTTGAATAAACTTTTTCTGTTTTATGTTTTAACCACTCAATCTTATTTTTCGTCATTTATTGTCTATAGCATTATTTTTCTATGTATTTTCAGGCATCACTCTACTCAAATTCCAGTGATTCTCAGGCTTATGAGCCACCAAGTATGTATGCTGAAGAATTTCCATGGGATGATGTCGAAAGTCCATTGTTTACTGATATTGAACGAGAACTGAACTCACCACCTTTATACAGTCATAAAGAACCAAAGAAATTTATGAAATCGAATTCTAGTAGTATCATAGAAGAAAATGACTGTTCCAAAAATCAAGGACAAGATACGAATGATATACTTTCTACATCTACATCAGGCTTATTCAATCGAAAAAGTAGTCTAGATGCAAGTTTTGAAATTTTCAATAACACATCAATAAATAATACTCATGGGACAGAAAGTTGGTCTGCCGAGCATACAGATAATTTACTCAGTCCAGAATCATCTGTTCGTGGTTTGCGTACATGTCCTGATGGCGGTTCACAACATTTACCAAGTATAGATACAATGGATGTCATATCGAACGTAAGATATTTCTATTAAATTTTATTAGATTTTTCAATGAGAAGTAAAGGGTTTCAGTGTTAAGAAATGAAATTACTTTTAAATTATTAGATTTAACCTATGCTATCGATAAATTTTAATCACAAATAACTAGAAATACTTTTTATATTCGTTTACCTGTCTGGTTGTGTGAATACTGACTGTAATGTAGGTAAATCACATTAAATTTATGTTTGTAATAGTAGAAGCTATGATAATAAATACCACTCTGTGCTATCACATAGTACGTTTGACTGTATACAGTTTTTGTTTACTTTTAAAGTCTGAGTTCCAAATGTTCTTTTTTTTCATTGTCTCTGCATAGTAACATCTTATAATTGATAATTATTGTGTATGTGTGTAACTATGGACGATCTTATTGATTTGTTTATAATTTCCATAATATAATGTTACCAGTTAGTGTGTTCATTGCAATGAATCAAAACTACTTTAGAATAAAAATCAAATCTAGAAATTACCAAACAGGTCATTTTACAACACTGTTCTTCTCACTTCTTATTGTTTGTTTGGATCTTCCCATCGATGTGTTTAGGACTGCAACTGGTCAGTTTCTAATTGGCATATGTGCATACTGTGCGTATTGCCTCGATATACCTTAATTCACAATACCTTAATTCCACTGCTAGCCACTATCCATCTCTGCTTACTGTTCTTCTCATTTCTAATTAATAGAAATTTTATCTGATATTACTTTTACTGATTTTGTTGAGTTCTTCAACTTTTCAAATCTTTCTTAACTATAATGCATTCTAAAAGGTATAATGGTTAAGTGCTAATTGACCCTAGTAATTATTATTTTTGTTCTTAATAATTTAAAATTGTTTACAAGCACGATTTTATTTTCTATCAAGTCATGTTAATCTTGTATGTTTTTTTTCTCTCTTTAGCAGCATGAAATTCAAGATATCAAAAATCATTTATATCCTATGAGTAGTTTCAATGAACATCTTAATTCTTCTAACTATACATATTACACTAGACATCATAGCAAATTGCATAGTAAATTATATGAAAGAAAATATCAAACAATTCCACGTATTATCAATCGTAAACGAAAAGCTCAGATTAATTCATTTCAATCAGAAAAACAATCGGTTAAACGTGAATTTTTATCACTTGATGCTAGTCTTAATCGTTTGGATAATCGATATTACAGTGATATTCATAAAGGAATTCTAGAGCATTCTGGAACAAGGCTTATGCATGCGGAAACTTATTTACAACATTTAATCAATTTAGTCAAGAGAAATAGTAGTGTACAACGAAGAAGTATGTGGTCTTGTCTTTTTTTACCTACTACTTTAAACTATCTTCTTTGAATCATTTATTATGACATTCGCACAGAAATGGCTAAGATACTTGTTTATATCTGGATTTTAAACTGGTATCTGTGGTAAGCAGGTGTTAGAATCTCAAAAGAATTAGTATAGCTTTGCTTTTTCTAGTACAACATAGTTTGGGGGATTGTCTACAAAATTTCATTTTTTATTAATCTCGGTGTGTGAAGTCATACAGTATCAGTTAATTTAAAATATTAAAAAGGGTCGTTATGTTTAGTATTCAAACTATTATTCACTTGCTAAATACTGTCTACAACAGCCCGTAGACAACAAGCGTTTGAGTTCACAAAATCTACCTCTAAAAGAAATAGTCCGGTAGACCAATAATTGGTTCAGGTTGGTTCAGGAAAATAGAGGGGACAGTAGAACACATGAAATCATAAGAATTACAATTTTCCTATAAGTGAGTATCTTTTCAAAAAAAACTTCTATTTCAAGTAATATGGACTAATTCCAATATGTAATTTCAATATGTGTGAGGATAATTTTAGTTGCCTTTGTCTATTTGAACTGGTATTAATTTACTGAACAGCTAATTATATTTATACCATTTTATCATGTTTGAATTAATGTTATGTGTGAATTTTAAGGTCCATTTTTCTGTACAGTGTACATTTTAAATCATGTTTTAGATCATATTTTTACTTATTAACTGTCTCTATGACCCTCAATAGGGCTCAAATCTAGTGCCGTCTGACATATTAATGATATTGATTATTTCGTTAATAAATAATGCATAGGTGCTAAATACGAGTACTTACCTTGCAAACAGTGTTTTGGTTTGGAGTCATGCAAACATTAGGTACCGACAGCACGATAATATGATCGTTTTGACAAGTTTGAAGAATTTTTCCATAAACATACATTGGTTGTAACATTAATGTAAACTAAATGGAGAACTAGACAATTGTCTTTTTTAACCGTTTACTAATCTAATTATGTAATGAACACAGGTTGGGAAAACCAACGTATTACAGGAAATCTTGGTAAAATATGAGAACCATTCAATAAATACTTCATTTGTCTTTCATATTCTGCATGATTCTTTCGATTCACGATTCCTCCCTAATTCCATTCCTGTTTTCTCCAAGTCAACACTCACAGCCTTCTACTGCCAGGTTTTCCACTTCCAGTTGGTGCTACACATTCTTTATGTCGACAGACATAAGTAGTATACATCACAGTTATACGTGCTGTTTGTTAATTGAACGAATTAGGCTTTATAATCATTAAAGTAAACGATTCATAGTCGAGTGTAGCATTTTGTAGCGGCATATCAATTTACAGTTCACAAGCTTCAATCGATTATCTCAGCAAAGCCAGTAAAATTACAAACTTCATCTATAATAATGATAATAATAATAATAATAATTCGTATCGAATATTTATCATTGATTCGGCTATCCATTTGTTCACATTTTATCAATAGATCTTTCAAAACAGGTGAACTCAAGCAATTGGCGTCATCGTACTGATCTTCTGTTGCAAACTGCTGAAGCTCATGTGAAATTGCTTTCCAATTTGCTTGATGATCTTAAATCTTATTGCTCTTCAAATGTCTCTGAATTATCAGATGGTAAGCTGTTGTTTTCTTTTTAATTCTATTAACTGTCTTCGGTTTTTTATTTGCTGCTGCAAAATAAAACATGTTTAAAGGAAATTCAGGTCTTCGGATATGCATAACTCTTATATAATGTTTATTTGGAGTGATTTTTTAACTTCACTAGTAAAAAAATGAGTATTACATTTTGTAGTTTATTCTAACCTAATCGATATCTATAAATATACTCCAGTCTTAATTTAACTGTGATATGAATTGGAAACAGACGAGTTGTAGGCGGATAATTTATTTATTTGGTGGTTAGAGTAGCGGTATACATTAGAAACAAAAATGAGTTGGAAGAAATCGTTGATTTTAAGTGACTGCTGATAGTTAGAGATGTAAAAAGACAATTTCAAGTCCAACTACCACTGATAATTGCAAATCAGTGGTGCATTTCAAAGCATCGTGCTAGGTAGATGTTCACAACTCTATGGGGGACGAATATTCATATGAATCGAACTTGGTTCCTAAAGTCAGTTAGACCTATGGTGGAAAACTTGTTGTCAGCATTGAATGGATATATTTTATCTTTATTTTTAATACACCTATGACTCAATAAGACCCTATTTTATGTTTTTCATTGTTTTTTTGTCTTATCGTTTGCAATGGCCAAGGTGCATCCACTCTTTATGTTCTGCTGAATTCTAATCTTCTGAATTGTTCATGTATCTATCTTTTTTCTCTTTCCAAATTTATTTCATTGGATTGTACTCCTTGAATAACATGTTCAAACCCTAATATTTCCGATTACTGTTTATACTTTTACTACCTCTGCCACTATGAGATTTGATTCGACAACTGCATCTCTGAGCTAATGTGGTATGGCGACTCGAACTGATGTACGTCCTTACGAAGTTCTACGTTGTGACTGACTGACATTTCTTTATTAAATTGGAAGACAATCTAATCTATTCTACATATTTTTAGTTATTGCCACCCAGTATATTTCAGTGCATGGGTTAATTTGAGCAACGCCATAGGTTACAGCTAAATTTATTTATCACTGAATAAATTGAAACATATTTTGTTGTAAACCAATTTTTGAAAATTAAATAAAAACGTCCATTATTTTTTCTTTTATCGATTAAGGATTAGCTTATCAGTGTTTGACGTTTCGAACTTTCACAATCATGATGTACAGATATCACGACATGTGATGCAGCTTTAATGAAAAGTTCATTTTAAGGATCTCATAAGATTATAAAGTAAATTGAGTAGACATTAGAACATATATTGTATAATATTAAATATCATTATGTAACTGTAAACACAGATTAACTGGGTCTACTTGTTATATTCTCAGTTCTAAAGTAGTGTATTATGTGACAAATATTCTAATAAGTTAATTATTTGAATGAAATTTCTTTTAAAGTTAACAATCATATTTACTAGTCGTGGATAGTTTAAATAAAGACACACTGTACTCATGTTTTCAAAGAAAATCTTGCGTGCAATAGAATAAATTTATTCTTTGAAACTCTACTTCCTTTTCAAAGCAGTTTCATTAGAAACAATCTATTATATGTTGAAAACTTTTTATTATGGATGTAAACACTGGACTTTGTCATGATCTTACTTATTTCATTGGATAGAAACCTGATATCATGTGTAATAGATATCTCATCAGACCGTCTAATTTATTACATAGTTGTTAATATTAGTAATTGATATTAAACAATTGAAGAAATCTGTCCTCATTGAAGTTTCGATAGATTTTAAGCACATCTTATCTGCCATGATATCATTAAACGATTAATTTAATATTAAGCGTACACGTCTATGTGAAACAAGTAAATCTGTCGAAAATTTTCAAGTGGTTGACGGTATGTTAGTAAAGTACTTCTCTCTTTTAAATAAACACTGTGCTTTTTTGACTAAGAGTGTATTTTATTATACGATGGTTTGATTTTCATACATTGAATTATGTAACGTCGAAAAATGGTAATATTTGATCACTCAAGAATCACTATAACATCCCGATATTATCAATTCGTGCTTTGTTTAGAAAAACACTTTCACTTTGCTGATAAAACAACTTACCTGTGCTAGTATGATGAACTTATTCATAACGAAGGGCTTTTAAGTGCGATAAATTTATGGATTTTTTCGTGAAAACTTTCTTGATATGTTTATTCAATCATCAATTTTGTAATTTTCATCATTATAGATAGATTATCAGCATCATTTATTCAAGATCTAACACCCTGTGAGGATGATAATAATTATGTTAAAACTGATAATGCTGATGATGGCCATCATCACTCACCATATCGTTTAATCATTTTGAATGCTTTAAAATTAAAATCACAATGGATTAATTTCTCATCTACTGTACGTCATATTTATCAACAATCGAATCAATATGAAGCATTGAAGAAACAGTTATATATTCTTCAATTACGTATGCATGATTTAAGTAAACTTACACGTCAAATTGGTCTGTCAATGTATACAAGTAAAGAGGTGAATAGTGTGAATCCCAGTAACGTTGATACTCAACATATTTCTGATTCTATAATATTCGATGAAAATCAGTCAGATAAATTAACCTGTGGCTTCAAAGTAAGTTGTACAAGACGTGATGAAATACAGTTTTTTTCTGAACTAAATTTTCAGAAGAAAATATTTTGCGAAATTTTACAATAAATACATGCAAGTATAACCTCTATATTAGCCTACAAAGAAAGAGAAAGGACTTGTTCAAATCTCACTGGAAGCATTAGTTCCCTCAAGATTGCAGGTATTTATTATACTAGCATGACTAACATGAAACCTAGGTTCAAATTTGATCATCCACCACCTAAGACCATCAAATATCAAAGCTTAGTGCACGTAATGTCGAGTCATTTTAACTAGTGCGTACATTGCAGCTTGATGAATAAAGTTTGACCAGCATTAAAGAGCTAGATAAACATTATTCAGTGATCGACCAATATCACATATATTGTCCAGTATGACTGAAAGGTCTTTTTTAACCCTACATCATCACGGTTGTAATAGATATACATTCATGGTTAAGTTGTATTATAATTACGCAGAAGCTCATACCTTAATGATAAAACATTTACTCATTGATCATTGACTTCCAGAAGTGGATTTGAAAAGGGAAATTGTAATGTTTTGACGTTAACGGTATTAAGAGTATTGTCTCAAATTACTAATAACGTTAAATGGAGATAGGTTTATATCAAGATTTAACTGAAGATGAAAATTATGTAGCCAGATCTTGCATTTTTGATTCCATCCTTGTGTTAGATTATGACTATGTTTTGGTGAAGTTTTTTAAAGGTGGGTAGGATTACTATTCAATGTTTTTTGGTATTTAGAAATTAGTCATCTATTTCTCAGTTTATAATAAAAAGTGCTTCAGTGTATATGAAAATAGCTCAACGAAAATAAAGGGAGTTTTTCTATTATAAAGTAAATAGGAGTAGTTTAGGGGAAGGCCATGTGAAGCCAAACTAAGCTATTCTATCAATCTCTGAAGACAACAACTGTTGGACTTAGCCATGTAGGTAGATACAGACTATCTAGTTAGGGTCCATACAGTTGCACTTTTTAAATGAACTTCTCCAAATCAATCAGTGAATATTGCTTGATTCTACTTTACTTGAAAAGATTCAACAATGTACTGGCTTTAATACATTCAGAATCACTGACATCATATTTATCCCGTGATAAACATCTTAGTATTTTGAATAGAAACATGTATGCAGCTAAATTTTTTTTCAATTTTAAACATAAATCATTTACAGTCTATCTGTCAAATATAATTTGTATCTGATTAATTAATTGATTAAACACTAGTATAATAGTGTAAACATATAAGTTTTCTTTATTTCAAAGATCAGTAACAAAGTTCAAATACTTTTAATAGAAAGAAACATTTTTCAAAGAATTACATTGATGATTGTGTTCTGAAACGGAAATAAACGTTAAATCAATAAAATAGTGTTCATTTCAAAGAAATGTGAATAGTTTTTGTTTTCTCACAGAAAAGAAAAGCTTATTAGATATACCTGATTTTTGAGTAGTCTTTTGTTACTAACAAACAAATGACATAGAAAATATATGGATCATGACTAGTAATGGAACCCAGGACGAGAGTTATGTTCTGTTTGGGACTCATCTGTATGAAGTCATTAACTCAGTAGATAACCTGTTGGTGTTTAAAGCGAAAGATACTGATTTTGAATCATTAGGTGAACAGTAACGCTAAGGCTCAGATACATCCAGATGGTAAAGATATTCTGAAGTCTTTATATCTTGTCTCGATGGCCGTCATATAACAGGATTGCTACATATACGTACTCTACATTGTTTAGGTGATCTATCAATACAGGATATTAGTCCAAGGAAAATCGTAACCAAATAGTATCACTGTTATCTCAAATTTGAATGGGTATGGTGATATTTCAACAACTTCACTACTGTCGTCTCAGGTGATACTTCTTTCTAAGACTATGTTTGGCTATGTGTGGTTGAATAGATTGAGTTAATTAGTACTATAGGTGTCTTACCAGTCATTTCGAAGATAGACATCACCATAAGATTCCTTAATCAACTGGTTCACATATCGCTATGAAATAAAGGCAATTGATATTTGTAATTTTATTCTTAAAATTGTAGAGAGTATATAACGCTTTAGCTCCATCATTATCGTTCACTGGTTCCAAGTCCCTCCATCTATGACATTCTAGTGATCTAGTTTAAAACATAACAAACTAGTTGAGTACGTTATTATATATATATATATATATATATATATATATATATATAATGAGTTTTATATATGTCTAAAATTTAGTGCTTGTTTTAAATCTCCTACTTTATTATCTTTTTTCCACACGAAAACGTGTACCCCTTTCAAACATAAGTTTCTTTTTTTTATCTAGAGGTGCTTTCTAGAAGTGGATAGTTTGAATTTTGCTCTGGAGGAAATACAGAATGAGTTGAATAAAGAAAATTGTCAGATGTCAGTAAATAATAATAACAGTTCAGCTACAATCTGTAATACAATTAGTTTGGATGGTAAACTACTTCATGAGATTGATCGTCTTTCAAGTCAGTTGGCTATTAATCGATCAATGTAAGTGCTTACTTATTCCTAACTAGTTATTGAGCTAAGGAGGTAATTGTTTTATTAAAAGCATTTATTGTTCTCTGATGATATGCATTCATAAAAACACTTTAATCTTTATTGGTAAGACCGCTTGACACCTATCTGTTGGATGTCGAGTTCAAATGCATTTCATTCAGCTCGGTACGTGCAGCCAAATCTTGTTTTATAGTGTTCCTTCAATGATATCTGAGAATACTGGTATCTGCTTATACATTATTCTCATGCTTCATTTGACAGTCAGTATTTGAAAGTACCTTTTCCAACCACATTAAAAATTAGAGAACATCTAAAGTGGCACTTACAAAACTGTCCAAGTTCTCACAAAAGGATAGTGATCAACAGTGTTTCATTCTTCTTTTCACTTGTGCAATAATATTTGTTTTCTTTAGTGAATCATTAGTGGTAAACCGAAGCTTTCCATTTACTTTTATCTTATACTTGTAACTTGTGTCTGCCTGATTTAACATTTTAAAAATGAGGCAGACGGCGGCAAAGTTATGTCATTTGTTTGATTATGAACTTACTAGGGTGAACATCTTTCACCGTATAAATGTTATTCGTATTTCTAATTTTGCCGTTTGTTTATTTGTTTTATTGCGTCAATCAGCTTTTGTTGATTAATTCCCAAATTGTCTTCTTGAATGAGTCAGTCAGCTACAACGTAGGACCAGGCACACATATGCATCGGTCAATTTGCCATACCTCATCAGCACAACAAGATGAACACCGAATTCATAGAAGTAGTTAATTTAATGGTGGTAGTATATAAAAAAGAGATTGTGTATAAGGACATAGTACAGAAAGAAAGCCAGATATGAAGCAATTTTAATCTCACGGTTTAAGGAAAGTCGGAGAGTGTATACACCTGTATACACCATTGTGATTGATTCTGAGTCATGTCGTTTTGTATGCTTGATGTAAATTCAATGATTTTACAGGAAACACTAAAAATTAAAAAAATTGTTATGTACTGTATCCTAATTATGTTTTATAATTTTTATTATTACAATTTTGAATAATTTTTTAGACGTAACCTTTGATGTTCTGTTCTTAATTTAATCCGAAATAAATACCAATTGATTGTATATGTTGGTTATTTAACCAAAGTTTGAATCCACAAAATATGTAAACCTATCTCTTTTTATAATTCTATAAATTAAAATTTATATGATATATTACTAAGACATGAGATATGCTACTGATTATCAGCGATAATTTTTTATCTTTTTCTATCTTTTTTGTTGTTGTTAGCCTTCAAAGACTTATTCGATTGTTTGAATCAAGTCATTCAAATAATTCTCTTCCTCATCATCAATTAGATAATGAATATTTAACTGATAGTATAGAAAATCAATTAGAAACTTCTATTGTTAATCCTGATAAAAGTACACTGGAACAACAAATCAATGAAGTCTATACAAATGAGGTAATTTAAAATTATTCCATAAGATGTACAATTTTTTTTAAAAAAACATTTTATTCTTATTCTCTTGACAGTGATTGAATACTTGAATGATTCCTAAGTGATTTGAAGAAGTTTTGATACGTTGGTCATCTGTAATTGTCGCTGAGTCGTTGAAATACTATGAAATATATATGAATTACAATTATTACTATCATCATTATTATTCTCCACTTTACATTCTTTTAAAATATCTAACCAAGCATTATTTAAGTGAATAAGTTAAACGCGTCAAGAGATAGATAAATAGATTATACTTTTACATGTTTAATCATCGTCTTACTTAACATTGTCGTACTGAATAGAACACTCTCACTTAATTGAAGCAATTACATCAACAATTGTATATATGAAGTCATTGATTAATGATTTGAATGGTTTATATTGTTGCTGCAAAAGTAATCCATTGACATAATTGAACATATTTAATTTTGTTATGATAACTTAGTATCTTATTTTAATCAAAGATAGATGGTAGCCATCAGTGGGATCTAGAAGGGATGTTTAGTCCTAGTTGGTACTCGTCAGTTGGATGTACCTGCATCCCATATGAATCACTATCCTATTATTTATGTTCTATGTTGTACTGTGTTCTTTTTATTCTAATTCCATTGTGTTTTAACTTTTTATGAGGTGTTAGGATGTTTGGGATAGTAGGAAATCCTTGGCCTTAGTTTCATCCTACTTGGCATCCTTCAAGAAGTCATATATGAAACTGATGCTTCCTTTAGGGTTTAAACCCGTCTTCCAACCGCCTAACATCATCGCAAAGTCTATATGATATCTATCCACTTGATTTATAGAATTTGATCAGTACTAGAAGTCTTGACATATATGACATCAGTTTGGTGATACATCGGTGATTAGTGAAAAAACAGGTCCTTATATACAGTCTTCCTTTCTACATTACGTTGGGATAGTGGTCTTATTCTATTGTAGTAAGTCGTAAGTAGCACTTATTCCACAGTCGTGTCAAACAGTCATACCAACAGCAGTATAAGTATTTTTTTTATTGAATCATAACGATTTTTGTCAAATTATAAATTTTCGTTTCTTTCTTATTTTAGCATTTATTTGAACGTAAATCAGTCGAAAATCATGATCATCAACAACATCCTGTTGGTGTTTCAACCTCTACAACTGAAAAAACCCCATCTATTTATTCATCCATTTGTAATTTGTTACATCGAATATTCCCATCCACTAATAGTCAGAACTATTTTATTCTTCTAATTAGTGGTTTCATATTCTTAGCTTATTTATCCTATTATATTTTAGGTAGATTACTTGCATGTAACAATTATTCTCGTCGTCCACCTTCTTCTACTACTTTTTCTTCATTACGATGTTTTTTTAGTTTAAACAATAATAATAGTGATGATAATAATAATGATAATGTTCAAGGTGCTACCACATTCGGTAGATGTCCATTAGAAAGAGACAGATTATCAAATATCATTGATTATACTAATGGAGCACAACCTTATTAAATCTATAAAGTCAATTATCAGTTTGTGCTCTTTTTCATAATCTGCGCCAAATAGGTTATCATTTCTAGTTTTATAAAAATTAAATGAGAAGTATATTAACGTACTTGATTACTGTACAAGAACTCAATGAATATTTCAAAGACGTTTATCTTCAGTGAACAAATTTAAAATATAAATTTCAACAATGTTACTTCATCAGTGTATGCACGTTGTCCATGTATCTGTGTGCATAATGGCTTTCATAGATAGATGTGGCCTTAGACACCGATCAATTTTCCTTTTTTTTATTGATCAAACTAGGATTAAATCATGGATGATCACCAACATTTAGGCAGAACATTTTCACTTTTTTTCTAGCCTTTTTTTGTATTTCCAGTGTTATGATGCTATGAAACATTAATCTGATGATATTTAGTTTGTAAAAACTTTGCTATTTATTATAGGATCATTGTGTACCTCGTTGTAAATATTAAAAAAAGAATGATGTTATTAGTCATAACTACTAGCACTACTATTACTACGAATCCCCCCCTAAAAGTGTCATTATATAATTAATACTCATTGTATAAGCCTTTAGTACCATTGTCTATAATTATATTCACAACCATTATCAGTTACAAGTAATTTTGTATCTTGTCTTCATTCTTTTCTCTTTCAATTTGGCATTTGAATTGTGCAATGACAAATGATATATCACTATTATTCATAATATTTCTAAAATAGGCATATATAATGCATGTAATATTGTTATTTAAAGGCATGGATACAATTTTTTTTCCTCAGTTTTGATATTGACTTTTTTCTCTTCTTCTCTTTTGTTTTTCTATGAAAATGATGATCATTCACTTATCTAAACTTTATATATCTGTGCATGTGTATACTTCACTTTTTCTCATGATTTGAAAAGAAAAAAAAAGAAATTATCGGAAATGATACATATACAAAACAAGTGTGTATATGTTGTCTACTATGTAATCTAGTCAAACACACTAAGTTTCCAAGCTTAATGTTATAACAATCGAGTGTTATATGGGTGAGAATTTATTATTCTTTACTATCTGAGGATGGTTACGTAGCAACGCTAATTAATGTAGACTTGGATAGTTGACTGAGTACTAAAGCTGTGAATGATAACCTATCGACTAGTACAGTGAATTTGATAAATAATTGGTCATATTAAAAAGAAATCACTTGATATCAAATCGTAGTTTATGTCTCAATCCCATAGAACCCCTCATTTGAGACTGGGATAAATAGTGTCATCTGATAAGAACTTGTTCATTAACACGCTTCACGTGTGTTAGAGACAAAGGTGAGAAATTACTGACTGAACTTATTGTCTTTGAGACACCAGAAGTTTACAGGTGGAAGGAGTTGTGTACAAATAAACTATCCTATGTTTCTTTCAGTTTTCCAAACCGATCGAAAATTGTGTTCGATTAAATGATTCTGTGGGTAATTAGAAGTGATGATGGGGACACTAGTGAATAAAAGCATTCCAGATAAAAACTGTTCCTACGTTGATATATTTTTCTACCACTCGATGTAATTGCTACCTCATATTTTGTGATAGAGATTGTTCATATACTTTCGGAGGTTCATATCACAGTAGTAAAAGCTGTATCCAATAGTAAATCCGTGCTGAAAGGAAACAAACTAGTAGACTAATCACTAAAAATACGAGATCTGTCAATGAATTTGGTACTTGTGGGAAATATCTTTGGATAATGGTGGAACATAGCTCCTGATGTACTGGGATTTGTAGTGCGTTTGATAATCGATGTTTAGTGTCACTGTTTGTTCGTTGTTTTGAATTCATGCCTCAGAAAACATGTAAAAGCTATATGAGTTGAGAGGACTCAGTAAACAGAATATTAGCTGATCCTTGGGTAAATAAATAGACCATCTTTGTTCTACTTCTAATTTGCCGTTACAATGTTCTCTTGAATCCAAGGAGAATCATTAGGTAATTGACTAATGTTAGCTCACCGTTGGGAGGTCAAACGGAGATAAGATTATTGTCTGAAAATACTGTTACCTTCTGACGCTCAGAACTCAAATATTTATCTAGCTGTCAAGAGACCAATAGGAAATGGGAACGACCTCTCTTAAACAAACTGATACTGTGTATTAATTCTACGACAATGATACAATGTACACTGAATCGATGTATATAAACTGATCATACTTCTGGAACCTTATTGCTGACTGATCAATCAGCGTTAGCCTTTTTTGATATAACGGATAGTTTGAAATATTTTTCTTACTCTCAGGTATACTAAGATAATACGTTAATAAGATAACAAGGTTGGTCACTTTATATCAGATACAGGATTCACAGCCAAGAATAGAGAACCAGATTAAAACTGCATAATACTTTATTCCACACAATTACAAGCAGTCACTCTCAATGAGTTCGGAATAGAAGTCAGTAATAGTAAAGGAAATCACATATTTGTTAGTCCATAGGCTAAGTGCTTGTTTGTCCACTCAGGAAAAATGAAGATACTGTGTGTTGTTTGTATAGCAAAAGTCCTCATCTGAAGTTTCGCTTTCACTCCTAGTAGAAGTCGGTTTCTGAGAAAACAATGTTTTGAAATTAGTGATTCTATCACTGTGACGCTTGAGCGCAGTAACGACACAGAACAAAAGACAGCATTGGGTTCAAGTCACATCTCTTTCATTTCAACGATCTTAACCGCCTTGTCATACAGAAATTATTCCATATTTTGGGTAGCTATGGACGATGGCTTCTTGTTGGATCGGCTTAACTTTGTAGAGTAAATTAAGAGGTTCTGTATATAACACCATTGTCATTCTACTATTCAATGAACCTATTTGTAATCGAAGATGTTTTGATAAGTTTATTGTTACGAAAATTAAAGTAAATTAACTAGATTGTTTATTTCTAAATATTTCAAAAATATTGCTATAACAAGTGAAGTCTGTAGTGGTATTGGCTCTCAGCTATACAAACCCTGACAATCGATAGTCTACATCATAGAGAAGGCAAGAAATGGTGAACACGGGTACACTTGATCGGTAAGGAAAGGCTCAGCCATGCAAATATGATCACCAATACGTAAACTCTTGCTTCCATATTAAGTATATTATTCTCTTCCCAGCCCAAATGTGTTATTTAGACGTCTTCAGTCTCAACCACTTGCTATCATGTTAAAACGAGTCAGAAGAGTTAATGATATGACTTCCACCTAAGGTCTGATAGATTAGATAGTCATGTCATGGCGAATCTACAATTGTAAAGTATATATATTATTCTAGTACTATAGGTAATTGTAGACATAGACCGAAAATCTAACAAATACACGGACACAATTTCGGCTAATATTTGTCCCATATAACAATGATGATTGCACTTCACTTTGTTGCACGCTTAACCAAAATTACAAAGTGCCACAGTTCTTGTGCATTTTGACATTTCAAGAGGAGACGTCTTTAAAGATTACATGCAACTATTTGGAATCTGGTTCACAACTGTATAAAGAAATATTGATTATGATGAATTTGCATACTAAAGGTCACTTCGGGATGTTAAAACATCAGGCTTCGAAATTTCTGATACATCACAAAGTTATCAGGATGACTCAAATTCTCAGGTCCGCGCAAGTTTGTATTTGTTTAGTGATGATCTTCACTTTATTGAAGGTATACTCAATAACTTAAAAACAATTTCAAATCTGTGTATAGAGGTGAGCACAAATCTTTAAAATTATTTATGCTGTGGTAAAAGCTCATTCTTGGAAAGTATGTAGTGACCGGCCAGTCTCGATAAGAACACGATTGGAATAACAGAAATAATAATTATTATTGTAACCAATTGTACCAGAGATTGTTTTACTGTATCAGATTCACTTCTTGTTTCGCTATCCGCCTTGTTTGGTTCGAACTTGCTCACGCTCTGCCCATCTTGCCTGTACCCTTTGGCATGTCTTGGTATTATTTCGATACCATGAGATCGCCAATAAATATACTTGATCTGGATTAATAAAGCCTTCTGATTTACGAGTTATCAAAGGAACCAAGTCGTTTTTGGGCGCGTAATCGAATAGTAATGGTGATCATAGTCCGTCTTCGACTCGACACCCACTACAAGTATATACGTTTCATGGTAGTAAATATTTTAAGTATGACAAAACTTGGTATATCAAGTCTCAACAGAGCAACTACTATTTTCTCTGTCAGTAATGATAAACACTACAAATTTTGGTTCATTATGGCGTCAGTTTATAACAATTACACAATTCCCTGTGTATTACCTTTAATTATTCGTACTCATACAACCACACGTAGCCAATAATTTTTCTTATGGCCTCATAGTCGACACAGAGGGCATAATTACATTGTTTCAACTAAACATTTAGTCACTATGAGAAAACCTGATAACATCGCTAATATCACTAAATGTACATCCCCTGCTTTCGAATGTAGCAATTAACTGAATAAAAATTAACATGCCCCGTTAAACAACTGTGAAATATAATCACTAAGAGTGAACCACATGTACTTGGGTCACAGAAATCAGGAGTGATCCAGGTACGACTTACGTCTTTGACCATAAAAGATATATCTGAAAAATCTTTAGTAATATAAATATAACGTACGAAGTGTAGTGCGTAATTCCAAAACACTCTCACTCTAAACAAGAAAGCTGTAAAAAGATACAAGCTGTCTCGTTTTCGGCACAAGACATAAAGAAGTAGACTGAGTGAACTAATTCATTCAGTATAAAATAATCAAACTTTAAAAATCACGAAGAGGTGGAGAATTCATCAAGATAACTACGCGCATAATTTTAATGACGCATTAGAGTGCTTCCAAGTATGCTTACTGCTTCCATTCTGGCTTGAATGCTGGTTCATTAAAAACTTTTAAAATGAGAATCGGGTGTCCTCAAAAAAATACTACGGTCAGGTTATTTCGCGTAAACTTGTAGGTCCACAGAACCTTGTTGTGTCAATAATGTTGTAGAAGATTTTCCAAGGAAACAGAGCTGGAGGAATATTCCAGTTTTATTAAACGATGAGAGTAGAATGCGATAATAATGTCAAATACTCAAACGTTGAAATAAATATTTCATAGTTCAAGTAATCTCGTAACAACGTTATTTCCTAGTTAGTTTAGAGATGTCACGACTATGTAAGTTTTGATTGGTATTTTGTCGATAACAACTCCATAATCGAAAGATACCAAAATCAGTCAAGCCAGAATTAACAACCCGATCTCCTGATTTTGGGGAAATTCTGTGGAATTTTGAAGAGAAACCCCAAATCCATGTTGCGCAGCTTTGTGAACAATAATTAATAATTAATGATGTTATTAATTATGTTACACGATGATCAAGTTTACTACTCATCCAGTGCTAATGTTTTGATCTTTTAGTCTGTCAAGTAGACAAGACACATAAAAGCGTCTGTTCCACGACACTTTTTTTTAAAAACCCCGCTTCATGCAAGTGAGTTGTGATTATTGTTACAAACTTCGACTGCTCCGTTGGTGAAGCCTAGCTTAAGCCAACTGTTTATTTCGTAGTCAGTATCAAAGTCTTCATCATCGTGGTAGGAGTTCGTTAGAAAATCAGTCATTAGATATGTTGAAAGTGCTTCCATCAGAACCGAGTAACTATATACACTTGGGCACTTCTAAAAACGTGATTTCTTTGTGGAATAATGAATTCAGAATATGACTAAAGCGGATGAATTCATCTATTTTCGCAAACGTATGTGTAGCCGTTAGCTTCTGTATGTAACACACGACTAGTAACTTTTAATGAAAATGTCCTTCACTGCATGAGGTTTCTGTTTCAAATCAACTGAATGAAATTTGTTTTTAATATACTTAGATCCTGTAGTTCTGCATGATGAGTTGCTAACGTCGTCAAACATAGTTGTCTAAAATCATTTTCAGCTTTTCCTTTTGAGTAGCATGTGAGAGGAATTAGGTGTTCAGTACACTGCGTATTCGCAGGGACATGTCGAAGAAATTTCTTAAACCTCTACTGAATCACGGCATGTCACATGATATGAATGAGTCTAAAGTTAGTCACGATTTCTCGAAGGAGATCAATGCTTGCGGAAACTAGAAATTTCCCCTACTAAGCATTATAATGGGGTTATTGGAAACGGTCTGCCTGGGTTCACTACACCAATTATTGAGGCGGAAGGATTAGGTTTCTGGCATTCAGGTAACCCCTAAAGTCATTTCTCTAGGCCCAGCATCCATAGAATAGTTCATTGTAGTAGGTCTGCACGTTAGTCTGTGCTTAGGTGTCGTTCACTGGAAGGTTATTACGAATGTCATGGATCTGCTGGAAGAAGTGTTTTAAAAATTTCTAACGCCATTTCACTGACTTATGATTTATTATACCCTAATTCGAGGAAGGGAAAAAAGCAAATGTTAGAAGTCACTGACAAATGACTGATGAAGAGCGACTGTTTGTCTCCAGGGATGATCTCACTCTGACCTATACTGTTGATTGAATCGACCCTGATGGTCACTTTACATTGAGATCATGCGTCGTTCTGTATCATATCATTAAGTTGTCACCATTTCAAAATCGTCACTTTCAGATAACTACAGGATAGCTGAGGAACTGAAAGTGTTCACTGGAGTACTTCATTATGTAAACATGATTCTACACAATGATGACGCGCTTCCGTGTGGAACGGAGAAGCCGGAAAGGCTAATTTATAGACATATTGTGATGTTTAAATAAATCAATGACTTCTTCGTATTGATGACTGTTGTAATTTTGAATTCCAAATACAATACATTCGTTCGGGCTCACTTAAAACTTCTTGATTAAATTGCGTTATTCCTGAGATTAGTAGTTTATACTACAATTCAAATGCTTCTGATTATCATACATGTGCAACTCACTAATTGGTACGGCTGTCAAACGCAAACTTAATGTTTATTTGTGCACCTCTGAAAAATCAGTGGTTGTTGAAATAGATGTGTTCGAGTTGAGTTTCCAGTTGTGAACATTTTGACTGAGGACCTTTCACCGACAGCTATACATATACCATTCAATACATGTTCATGAAGCAGTTCACCAAAAACAAAGTTGTTTTCACCACTGCTTCCGCCTTCTATGGCTGTTGGTAACAGGTTCAATGAAATATTAGTAAGCACGATACCAATAGGTTGCATACTGATGACAGTAAAATACTGAAGACGATTCTGGAAGCATTCACCGATCTGTCCAGCAAGATCGACAAACTACTTACATAAGAAGTTCATACATCACTGTGAAGGACAAGTGTAACGACAGCATATACAGTCTGAGCCACGTATTCTCATTGCAGACACCTGCAGAAATGCGCAACACCAATAATAGATTGAAGGAATAACCGTTAGTCAGCTTAGATCAAATGCTTCCAGAGATATAGATAGCCTTTCAAATATAACTTTCAAATATAACCTTTTCGCTTCTGACTTCGTATTTGGCTGGGTTGTTAAACCTCGATTTTAGAATTCGTTATTGATAACGGCGTTGTCAAACTCAAAATGCCTGTGGAATCTTTAGAACTATTTATTATGCGACTTATTTCCCACCACAAATTTATGGTACACAGAAAGCATACATTCCATATAGACTTATGTGAGTATTAAAGATTCCCATTGTGAAGATTAGAACAACATATGTAAGCGAACAATTGTTTTCAATTAGATCGTCATCAGGCTTTACTCTAACATATTTAATATATATTTAATATCTAATATATTTACTCTAATATAAATATTCATGTATATTAGAGTAAAGCTTGATGACGATCTAATTGAAAACAATTGTTCGCTTACTTATGTGAGTGTCATGGATATAGTTTGTAAGCAAACCCTTTAGAAACGACGAAGCACCCAACAAAGAATTAAACCGCAAGTATTTCGTAACTTACAGAAAACTTATATGCATTTTGTATATATTGTTTTTCTTTCCTGTCTACCCTAAGTGTCCGCTCTTCAACTCCGATTAGGTGATACGACCAATAAAACGTAGGAGAATGTTGACCCATGATAAGGATTCCACAAACAACTAGTGAACAGGCTACCTCTTTAAAGTTATGATATATTGAATTTTCGAGGGTATTTTCACAATTAAGTTCAGTTAGCGGAACAGTCAGATAACAGAGATGATCTATTCTACATGGGTTTAAAAACAAACATTCATGCTCGACTAATTTATTGCGAGAGACGATTGGACAGCAACCCCAGATAACGGCTAGATGTCGATATGATATTCATAGACTTTAATAAAACGTTTGACAAGGTTTCATTCTTAGGTCTTATGAAGAAGCTCTTGAGCTTCAGAATAATAGGTGCTGTACATGAATGGATAGGAAACTTCTTATGTAACTGCTGATAGAGTGAGGGTTAATGTAATGTCTATATGAACTAATGATTCCTTTGTACTTGGTTTCCAAATCCAAATACAATACATTCGTTCGTGTTCATCTAGTATTTCTTGATTAAATTGCGTTATTTCTGAGATTCCTAGTCTATACTATAATTCAAATACTTCCAATTATCAGAGTTAATGGAACGCTATCTGAATGGAAGCCGGTCAAAAGTGGTGTACCCCAAGGCACAATCTTATGTTCCTTGCTTATCCTTCTCTATGTCAATCAATTAACTCTATTGCGTAAGTTGCCGACATTATTGTTTGCGGATGATGTTGAAATCTGGAGAACAGTAAGATGTGAGGCTAATCATTTTAATCTTCAAGCTGACCAAGACGAATCAATTTGAAAGGTTCAAGGTTGGGGCTCAGAAGTTTATTCTAGAAAGAGTGTTCTCATGTACATCGGACACGGTAATAGTTACCATCACACTATTGATGGTATATCTCTTCCATGTGTTCGGAAACATAAAGATTTAGAAGTAATAATAAGTTACAACTTGAAAACAACTACACATTGCAACGCGACCTCTGCCAAATGACTTCGTGCTGTCGTCACTTCGTCGAGCTTTCAGATGCTTTGACAAGATGTTTCGAATTTTATATCCCACCTATGTAAGACCACACTTACAATACTGTATCCAAGCAGCTGACCCATGTATGATCATGAATACTACCTCATTTGAGCGTGCTCAGCGTGTGAAAATAAAATTAGTGGAGGGTCTTTCAACGATGAACGCATAAAAACGCCTAAACCTTTTCTCCTTATCTTACCGTAGGACTCGATGTGACCTTATACTGGCATTTCGCATCTTTAATTATGATTTGGGTGTTAATATGTCCAATCTTTTTGCTCCCTCCAGCACTAATAATCTCCGAGGTCATAGCCAGAAGGTTCATAAACCGCGACTTAATAAACTTAAAGTGGGGTCTGTTTTTCACATCGAGTGTTCAATGAGTGGAACGCCTTACCCGAACAAGTAGCATCAACCCTATCAGTGAACATTTTCAAGGAGAAGAAAGACCTCCACTGGAGAGCAAACCGACAGGATTAACACAGGTTCATCAACCCACTATCCTTATTACTGAAGACTGATGACTGAGTGCCATAATGATGACCTTGGCGACATTTTAGTTTTGTTGTCACTGTTCGCGATCGCTTTCGTAGTATAGTATAAATAAATTCTATGTGGCTGATGGTTCATCGGTTAGCCTTCGTCTTGTTCTCCTGTAGTGATTCTTTTATTACGGTACTCTGCACAATTCTTTCAGCATCTAAAGTACCTTCAACCTTCGTGACTGCTTCATAGTTTTCTATGATTTTGCAAAGCTTTACTGTTTTTTCCTATATTACAGAGTACCCCAATCACTTATTTATATTTTATTCTTCAGTGAAGTGTACAGAGAACTAATTTATAATGTGGCCAAATGTTAACTGAATCTTAAGAAATATACTGTACTTTATTTTTAGGTGCTCATAGGCACCTAAGACTTATTTAGAAGTTATTCACTAATAATGCATTGATCAATAATACTGACAGATCATAAGCTGAATCTTTTCAACACAATACATGTTTGTATTCATAGTTGTCACTCAACCCTGTTCTCATGAAAAAGCTGAAAAGAACGGAGTGACATCTTAACCTACTTTTTAGTCATCGATCTAGCCATGCTTTAATACTTAGACTTGTGTCTACAGTAAATTGATCGCAACATTAACCCAAGTCTCCTATTAATAGGCTTATGGAAATACATTAATATCTCCAAATTTTCGAATAAAATTTGACATTGTTTCTAGCTTTAGTAGTTAGCCAATACTACGCATGCCAACTTCTTACTGACGTTAGGTGATATGAATCAAAGTTTGTAGCACTGACTCAGTTGTGGCAGCTCTCTGTATTTCTCCGATACTTGAGGTGTATCATATTTTTTAAATCTGTGTTTCGAGTTATTTTAAAGGATATCTCCCGTGTTTAGAGTTCTCTTGAGATTTATATTATTTTTCGTCCTTCGTCAATACTCTTACAGGTTTTACAGTCTCCTGAACTTTCCAAATAGAACCTCAATGTGAATGTAGCTGTAAATAATTCCCCAAAATCAATAGCTCTTTAAATGTTCAACATTGGATGCTGACCACATTGTTTTAAGTGAACTTGTTTAACTGAAGGCTTTCGGTCATGCATCCGTACCAGATCACGTTACGACCCAGCGTGGGACACATCTTCTACGCTCACCAGCCAGATTAGAGTAAACGATTCTCGATATATTGATAACGTATCAAATATATATTTCCGATCTCTTCGCATCTGGCTTCTAATTTCAACTGGTTGGGGAATGCTTCGAATATAGAAGGTGTTACTGGTTGCTAGTTGCCAAACTACAATATCAGTCGTATCTTCATGAATCTCATCTTAAAGGTTCCTCTCTAGCTTTACTGATGAGGTTTGACAACTTATACTGTTATATTTTTGTGCCAGGTTCTACATTACTTTTTACTATATAGTAGAAATTACAGTCCATTGTTTTTTCAAATTTTACTTTGCGTTTCACTTTCTCATTTCTTACCAAACGACTTTTTAGCTGTATCATTAAATGACTCGATCCAATTATTATGACGAAATTTCATATTTAATAACACGAATCCATGAATGGTAAATATACACTTTTTCAATATACTTTTCATTACAAACACTCATTAGCAGGGAAAGGCGTATGGAACTAATGAAAGAATATGCTCTAATCCAACAAACCGACTCTTCTGGGTAAGTAAAGAGATAAAAATAATAAACTTAGGTTTTTGATGATAGTTGACAAAGAACTCATGTCTGAAACATAAATTAAAACGTGTGGGATTCGACTTTTTGTTAGAGATTCTAATTGTCAAACTTTACTGAATAAAAGCATCGAACCATATATTCCTTGAAACCTGCTTTTGAGTTGTGGAAGAAGGTTCTTAAAACCAACTGGTTTTAATCCTATAGGGACCTGAAAAGTTAAGTATTAAATACGCATAAATGATAGGGCAGTAACACCTTGGCTAATCTCCATCATTATCGCCCTAACTAGTGCAAATATTGAGGCTTTTTATTATGGAATTACTGGAACCTAATCTCCCTATTTTAATGAACGGCATAAAATCCCCGAAAATTTGCAGATGTCTCGAATATTTTGTGGATTTCCTCAGAATATTATGACACTTTGGGCGAATGTCTTTATTCATTGATAAAACTCAGAAATTCTCGGTTTTCCCCTAATATTTTTGACAACCTTGGGGAAACCCATCTACGTTCTGTCACCGAACCCCATTATTTTTCTCGCACTTTGAGGACGTTTTGCACAATTTCGGGTTTTCTCCTATACCGTATTCGGAAAAACCACTAGATTACACATTGTACAGAAAAGCCTATCAACTTAATAATAAGTTCCCAAAACTTACTGCACATATATCCATCTTTTTTGGTTAACTTCGCAAAGTGAAAGCAATTCCAAAGAAATATAACCACAGTCGGTAACAGAAACCCGCCTGTCACGATAGATAAGCATTACCGCTGTTAAAAGACTGATGCGTTAATGATATTGTTTATTTAAGTTTAAAAAAAGGAAAAATGATTGTCCATTTGCAATTGAAGTCTTTCAATTCTTAATGATTGTTATTGCGTTTCCATTCGGTGTATCAAGTTGATATTGAACTTTTATTCAGTATTCTATAAAAATAAGGAAAAATTACTCTTCTGCATTGCAAACGCAGCATCAAAACAGCCTAATTGCTAATAGCAGACAAACAAATGCCCAATGTCATAGCAATCATCCAACCTATGAATCCATAATTCCATGTGTAACGTTGATTACGCACCAATGGTATGGTTCCTGGGATTTACCTTTGGCTTTCTCACCGCTAAGGTAAATTTCAATGTGTCTTTTCAGTATGGCTTTTCTGAGTCCAGTGAGATGCAAGTAAATGCATGCTCATATTGGAGCATGATCAGAGTCTGAAAATGCATTCTAAAACGAGTGGCAGTCTTCTATCAAGCATCTTCATTGATGACTGAAGGCAATATGGTCTATTTGAGTGCATCGTTGGTTTGGTGCAGGAGGTCGCTAAGTTAGATGATGTTTCTCTTTATGTTTACAATTAGTGCTTGTTAGAAATAAACGATTGTCTGAGCATAGCGGTAGCAGACGACCACCATTACCTGTTCTCTGAGCCAGAATGCCGAAACACCCATCTAAACGTCTTTCTGTTTGGTTTAAGTTAACTACCTGGGCATTAAAGTCACCTACTATGAGTACTATGTCTGAGTGTTTGGCTTTTTGTAAGATCCATCATTCGCTTCATTTGTGCTGCAGTCAGTGGGAGCGTAGGTAGAAATGACAAAAAGACAACTATGTGTGTCTCTATCCTTCCGAGTTCTTATGAAGCCGTTTGGCCGAACAGATGGACGACTGCTACACGGGGTTTCATTCTAATAGTGCTTGTTCTATCCTCATACTTAGTACTATATCTCAACCCGCCAGTTCACGAGAACTAGCCATCGGTTTGCTAGATACACGAAGGGTCTATCTCATCTGCTCCTTTTCTAGGTTAGGTGACGTCAAGTGCGTTTCGAATGCACAGCATACATCATTGGTATAATATTCTAGAGTGTTATCCAAGGAGACCTCAGACAATGTATGAATGATTGAACTAAATCATTGATCGATTAAAGTTAGCCTCTAACATCGTTGAATGCCAGCTCAATGGTTTGGCGTTTGAGCGTTCGCTCGCGAGACCGAAAATCCTCAGTTCGATCGTCGATGTGCACTGCTGAAGAGTCCTATACTAGAAATAAACAACCATCCAGTGCTTCCACATTGTCAGTGGTGATCTAACACTGGTCGATTTATGATTTCAATAAAAACTCTACATTCTCCACAATCCTATACTGACACCTATGAATAATTTAGGAGTCAGGTTACCCAAGATGTTAAACAGAAAACTTATTTTCGAGTGTGTACTTTGTTCTCCCCAGAATGTCAGTTGAAGTAATATCTTGTGCATCTCACAGAATAATACCTTGGTCCTTTATCATCGAAGTAAGTATTTTTGTAGAGTTGTCTAGAAATCGATGCGTCGACGTATCCTTACTATTTACCTCTGGCGTTCTGTTTACCGGTGCTCATAAAGAGGATGATGTTGGTGTCACAGTAGTTTTGTCTGTTCGAACATTTCTTAACAGAAGAGATAACTGTGATACATTGTAGCTCTTTTCTTACCCTCAAATAATTCGTAAAAACAATAAAAATAAAATTTAATTGAGGTTAAAACTTTGTGGTACTCTACTTGATAGTATAGACCGATCCGATAACACAGAGAGAAATTTGAAGGCTTGTAATGTTTTTTAATATTCAGTCCTATAGCCAGTTCATAGAACATCTGTTGGTACTTAGTCATTTCAAGTAAAGAATTTTATTATCAACTAATTTGAATCCTTTTAAGAAATTCGATAGGCCTATTTACACAGAACAGGTATGCTCCATTAGCATTGTTTACTCATTCCAGGTAGTTAACTGGTTTTATCATAAGATTTACAAGAAAGAATATAGCCTCGTAGTTCAAACGGAGTAGTTTTTAAGTAGAAAATCTTTGAAAGATTCATCTATGTACCTCTCTTGAGCTTTCAAATCCTATATCACTTGATAACTTAGCTAGAGATTTGGCCATTATAATGCTTACCATCAAATATTTTAGTAGGCCTATTTATATAAATAAGCCATTGTATAAATATTATATTGATGAAGCAAAGAAATGTTTCTGGTAGTATGAATGATAAAACTGTGATAATTAGGAGTATTTGAATTAAAGTATAAACTAGGAATCTCAGAAATAACGCAATTTAGTCAAGAAATACTAGATGAACACGAACGAATTTATTGTATTTGGAATTCAAAATCAAGTAGTCACCAAGCATAAAGGAATCATTAGTTCATATAGACACCACAAAACCCTCAGTCTCATTCATTATCTATGCCAAGAAATATTGATTTTTTTCGTATAAAGTTCTTCATCATTAGTTTCGAATTTAAATGCGGTCATATAATGACAACCTACATGTTTTGATTATTTCATAGATTATTACTTCTATCTACAATATATTTACTTTCTGTTAATGAATTTTAGTGGATATGAAACACCGGCTTTGTATTTTCTATTGATATTGAAAAAGTCTCCATGACTTTCTCGAGTCACCTGGAACTTTCATTCTTGTTATATCTTGTGATGTGCGTCTGTGCCCTGTTTGATATAAACGGCGTGATGATCCCCGCCAATCAGAGAGGAGTGAGTTATCGATCAGAGCAATGATACACGAAAGCCGTATGAGCAATCTTGAGTACTTATCAGTCCTGTTTTCTGCCTAGCCCAGTCAGTTAAGTCCAAAACACCAATAACAGCCTCTGCAATATGAATCATTATTCTCAAACATACTGAGTTTATATACTAAACAAACTGACCACATCGTCTCATAAAATAGAAAATAACATTTGTACAAGATTTAGCCAAAGTGGCTGTGAATAGGGGGAACAGTAATTAATAGACTGGGGATAACTTAGGAATGGTAAATCGTATAATAATAGTCTATAGGTTAAAATAAAGCTTATAATAAGAGGGACAAGAATATGAATAGTTTAGTTACTTAGCAATTAGAAAATATACACATAATATTGGTTCATAGATAGTTCTCAAAAGTTACCATTCATAATTCTCTTCGGGATAAATTTGATCAACAAGATCCAATCAGTAACTAATGTTAATAATAAGGACATATTGTTTTTCTAAAAATTTACAGGAACAATTCCCTTTCAACTCAACTAATTCAATATAACATAAATTTGAGAAGATTAGATGAAAATGTAAGAAAAGTAGAAAGAAAACATGAAATCTTAAAATGTCAATTTGAAAAAATTAAACAAAATACTAAAGAAGAATCTATATTGGATATGAATAAAACATTGAATCATTCATTTAATAGACAAGAAGTTAGTTTGATTTGTCACATAGTAGTTATTGTATATTTATTGTTGTTTATTAGCACTTATCATTTTCAGTATAATCTTTGTTGTTAAACTTAGTTAACAAAGATATAATCGTTGAAATCATGAGCCAATTGAATCTGGACCACCATGCAAAACCTGAAAGCACTGGACGGCCGTTTCGTCCTATTGTGGGACACCTCAGCAGTGCGCATCCATGGTGGTCTAGCTTCAATCGACTCATGATTTTAATCATAAAATTACTGAAATCTCCACAAAAACCCCTTCTGATTAAGACATCATGATCGAGAGATCAATAAAAACAATTTAAAATTATAATCTAATAAAACATTAAAACAAAAATTTACTAACAGATATCATGCTAAAATTCACTTTGAATGTTGTAAGAACAATACTGAAGTATTAAGCTTTCAGAGATTATTTTTGCCTACGACATATTTATCATATAATAGGATAGATATAATAGATTTAAATGATTGATACGATTGATAGAGTGTAAGGATTTCAGAAGAAATTTTAAATGTTGATGAATAATTCTATAAATGAAATCACTCAAATGATATTAACCTTACTTACTCACTTACTTACGCCTGTTACCCCTTGTGGAGGAGCATAGGCCGCTCACCAGCATTCTCCATCCAACTCTGTCCTGAGCCTTCCTTTCCAGTTACTATTCAGCCTTTTCATATCGGCTTCTATTTCCCGGCGTAGTGTGTTCTTTGGCCTTCCTCTTTTCCGCTTCCCTTCACCATTCCAAGTTAGGGATTGAGTCGTGATGCACATTGGTGATTTCCTTGATGTATGTCCGATCCACTCCAACGTCTTTTCCTAATTTCCTCTTCAGCTGGAAGCTGATTTGTCCTCTCCCATAAAACGCTGTTGCTGATAGTATCCGGCCAGTGGATGTTGAGTATTTTGCGTAGACAATTGTTTATAAATACTTGTACCTTCCTGATGATGGCCGTAGTAGTTCTCCACGTTTCAGCTCCGTACAGTAGGACTGTCTTGACGTTCGTATTAAAGATTCTCACCTTGAAATTGGTTGAGAGTTGTTTTGAGTTCCATATGTTCTTCAATTGTAGAAATGCTGCCCTTGCTTTGCCAATCCTCGCCTTTACATCTGCATCCGATCCTCCTTGTTTATCAACGATGCTCCCCAGGTACGTGAATGTTTCCACCTCTTCCAGAGTTTCGCCATCAAGTGTGATTGGGTTGGTGTTCTCCGTGTTGCATTTGAGAATCTTGCTTTTTCCTTTGTGAATGTGGAGGCCTATCGATGCGGAGGCTGCTGCTACATTTGCTGTCTTCATCTGCATTTGGTCGTGTGTATGAGAGAGGAGGGCTAGGTCATCTGCGAAGTCCAAATCATCTAATTGATTCTGAGAAGTCCATTGTATTCCGTATTTCCCTTCAGATGTCGAATTCTTCATAATCCAGTCAATCACTAGAAGGAAGAGGAATGGGGAGAGTAGACAGCCTTGTCTGACTCCGGTCCTTACTGAAAATGCATCTGTCAGCTGTCCTCCGTGCGCCACTTTGCACTGTAGTCCATCGTATGAGTTTTGGATAATGTTGACAGTCTTTTCAGGAACTCCATAGTGTCGAAGAAGTTTCCATAATGTTCTCCTGTCTACGCTGTCAAACGCCTTCTCATAGTCAATAAAGTTGACGTATAGTGATGAGTTCCACACAACTGATTGTTCAACGATGATCCGTAGTGTCGCAATCTGGTCTGTGCACGACCGATCCTTACGGAATCCAGCCTGATGATCCCTAAGTTGGGCGTCTACTGCGTCTTTCATCCGATTCAGCAGCACTCTGTTGAAAACTTTTCCTGGTACCGATAACAAACTGATGCCTCTGTAGTTCTCACATTTGCTCAGATCTCCTTTCTTTGGTATCTTGATGAGATATCCTTCTTTCCAGTCCGTTGGCACTTGTTCCTCTTCCCAAATCTTCTTGAATAGAAGGTGAAGCATATTTGCAGTTATTTCAATGTCTGACTTCAGTGCTTCTGCTGGTATATTGTCAGGTCCTGCCGCCTTCCCACTTTTGATTTGTCTGATGGCCATCTTGACTTCTTCGATCGTTGGTGGAGTGACATCTATTGGAAGGTCTGTGTGGGCTGCTTCGATGTTCGGTGGATTCAATGGGGCTGGTCTATTCAGCAGTTCCTCGAAGTATTCTGCCCATCTTTTCCTCTGTTCTTGAATCTCAGTGATTGTCTTTCCTTCTTTGTCCTTGACTGGTCTCTCTGGTTTGCTATATCTCCCTGCCAATTTCTTCGTTGTGTCATATAGTTGTTTCATATTCCCTTCTCTTGCAGCTTTTTCCGCCGCCGTTGCTAGTTCTCCCATATATTTCTGCTTGTCGGCTTTAATGCTTTTCTTCACTTCTCTGTTTGCTTCTGCGTAGTCTGCTTGTGCTTTGACTTTCTCTGCTCGTGTTCGGCTGTTGTTAATTGCTAGTTTCTTGTTCTTCCTTTCTTGAATTTTGTCCAGGGTTCCCATAGAGATCCATTCCTTGTGATGATGCTTCTTAGGACCAAGAACCTCCTGACACGTTGAAGTTAGTGCTTCTTTTATCCCTTTCCAGTTGTCCTCCAAAGTAGTTTCTTGTTCTTTCAGTAGATCCTGTACAGCTTGGAACCTGTTGTTGAGAGTTATCTTGAATTCATGGAGCTTGTCAGCATCTCGAAGGAAGGCTGTATTGAACCTTCGTAGTGCTGTTTGTCCAGTTGTCCAGTCTTTCTTTAGCTTCAGTCTCATCTTGGCCACAACCAGGTGGTGATCTGAAGCTATGTCAGCTCCTCTTCGGGCTCTCACATCTTCCATTGATCTTCGGAATTTTTTGTTGATACAGATGTGATCAATCTGGTTCTCTGTGGTGTGGTCCGGTGAGATCCATGTAGCTTTGTTTATACGTTTGTGTGGGAATATTGTGCCGCCTATAACCAATTTGTTGAATGCACATAGGTTTGCAAGTCTCTCCCCATTTTCATTTCTCTCTCCTAATCCATGTCGTCCAATTACATCTTCATATCCTGTGTTGTCCACTCCAACTTTAGCATTTAGATCTCCCATCAGGATGGTGAGGTCCTTTCGTGAGCACTTCTCTATAATTGATTGCAGCCTTTCATAGAACTGATCTTAATCATCGTCGTTGCTATCATTGGTGGGTGCATAACATTGGATAAGGTTCATTGTGATCCCTTGCTTCTTTGTTCTGAATGATGCTTTGATTATCATGGATCCATGAGATTCTCATCACACAAGTGCATTTCGTGCTTCTCTGGACAGCATTAGAGCAACTCCCTGAGTGCGTGGAGCATTTTCCCCTTCGTGACCGGAGTACAGCAGCATCTCTCCTGTACCTAGCCTTTTTTGTCCAGTTTGTGTCCAATGGGTTTCGCTGATTCCGAGTACTGCCACGTTGTATCTCTTCATTTCCATTGCTATTTGGCTGGTCTTTCCTGTCTCCCACATTGTCCGGACGTTCCATGTACCTATAAAGAGTGTTGCTCTGGTTGTTAGAAGGTGCATCGGTCTCGTGACTTCCGAAGAATTTCGGCTTTCATCATGAGACGTCATAATTATTCCTTCAAATCCCAGGGCAGAGTTTAAATGGTTTGAATGATATTAACCTGTCAGTTTTTAATAAAAATTAGTGTTATACATTCATAAATAATAATCTAACTGTTTGATAGAGAGTGTAGTGCCGTGCATCATTCATTGTTCACCTCGATAACCGTTATAATACAAATCTTAACGGTGTATAAAATCAGAAGGCAAAGAGAAGCGGCAACTACAGTTTTATTAACAAACGACGCAGGCCAGAAAGTGATAACCAAATATCATCGAGCGAAACAAAAATGACATGCATTGGAGATGGCGGGTAAGCCAACTCACTTTATTCAAGCGTTAATCAATATTTATACTCAGATAAAAATAAATGACAGATATGTAATAAATAGGATAAGAAGTGTATACTCACATACACTCATAGAAAAAATAGTCAGGGTTAATAAGTGAATATTTAACAAGGTGAAAACATGACTCAAGATAGATAGGTAAATTGACTTGTCCAGAAGCTAGAATAAACTATATGAGCTTAGCATATCAATCGATGCTACAAGAGTCAAGTATAGACTAGAACAAGAGTTCATTAACAGAATATATGAAGGGTAGATTAACACATGATAAAATAAATCGTTAATTATATATGATTCAGTAAACATACCTTTCTGCATTCTTTGACTAATCACAGATTACTTCAGTTAAATAATATCAAGTAGAACTAAGTTTCAGAAGACATGTTTATTTTACATGAAACTAATCATTAAGATTTGTTTGCATTCTAAATTTATTATCTCCCTTAAGATTCAGGTAAAGTACTAGTCACTTTAGGTGCACAAAAGTTTGGAATACATTCAACCCACTTTCGACACTGGAAATTATATAAACCTATTTTTCAATAGACTAAATAATAAGATAAAACAGAAAAGAATCAGTAAGTAGTAAGAACTTTTGAAATAAAAAGATAGGATGGAATCATGTGTATTAAGGAATCGGACTTGCCGCTTTTTGAACAGGATTGGACTGGAGAATTACTAGAGCATCTTCTGTGTGTAAATTACTGAACTATATTCGCTTCGTGCTGGTTTGATTTCCACTATTTATCTTTTGAAAGTCAGGCTGATAGTTACTTTTGACACCATTAATGACAACTTTCACTGCTCACATATCTGGTGTATAATTGTCAGGCTATATCAAAAATTAATTTATATGGAAACAGGACCATTAGACACCGACCTAGCAGTTTTAATAATCAAAGGTTATTTGTGAAACCTGTTTGTCCTGAATTCTATCCCTGGTTGGGATCTTGTATAATCTCATACAAGAATGAATCATGTATACAGTGCTCCTTACTCTTCAATGTTATCTCAACTGAGATCAATCTGTGATGAATACAATAGACAAATTAAATCAGTTTTTTATGAAACCTCTCAAAGTAAAAAAAAAACAGTTTTCCATCTTTGTTATCAGCTTCAACAGGTAATTAAAAGGACAAAACAAATTTTAGATGCACAAGAAATAACGTTGAAATCTATATCATTTAATAACAACGATGATGATGAATATGACAGCGTTGATAATAATATGAAACATGAAGAATTATACAAGTTATCGTATATTAACCAAACCAGGATTGAAACACCACAAAAAGATGGTGATAATAACGAGATGAAGAATAAGGTAGAAAATGACAAAGAGCTAAGGAAGGATGAAGATGAAGAATTGGGACAAAGAAGACAAATCAATGAAATAACAGATGATGATGATGAATCATCGAGTCATGTTGTCCATAAAATTAGATCACCAATATTTTCGGAAGATCTAAATTATTCATCTGATGATTTTTATAAACAACCTAGATTGTTTCATTCAAATATTTTATCGAACAATGATAGTAATGGTGTGAAATCTAACAAGAATAATGATTCACAACAAATGGTCATAGAAGAAGATGAAGAAATGGAAGATGATAATGATACTCAAGAAACAGAAGATGAAAACAAGGTAGACTTAAAATGGGAAAATGTTTATCCAACAGTTCCAAATAAAAATGGAATAAATCAAAAAGGTAATGTATAGCTACTGACGAATGTATTCGTTGTTATTATTATTACTGGTTTTAAACCTAGGTGATATTTGGAAGGTTGATTGTTCAACCAGTGAAGGAATATGATTGATTGTTTATTATTTCCGTTAGTTTCTTTTCTATTTACAGGGATGCTAAGCTTATGTGTAGATTAAATGTTAGTTAAACTATTTGATAAAGCCATAATTGAAGAATTGATTCAGGTATAAATTTAGCTATAATATTTACAGCTAGACGATAACCTATCGAAGCTTGAACGTTGAACTCCTTAAGGTTGTTCTGTTTCATTGAAATTGAAACAGTCAACTTGACACTAGGCGCAAGTTTGTGTCGATTCCAAGTTTTATACTTCACATGAGCAAAGTTCTACAGACGCATAAGAATGCAGCAGTATTAAACACAATAAAAATCTCAGTATAAGAATTATGTTCAAATTGGATAATAGAAATTTTGTAAACTCACCAAACTCATTTTAAGCAAGATAAGAAAGGGAATCTAAATGTACCACTAAGATCAAGACATTTCGCCTAGCATCTCCAATTGGAGATTATAAATATTGTTCAGATCCTAACACAAAAATCCCCAACTACTGATACTAACTCAGTTCAACACTCTACGAGCACTCCCATTGGTGCCTTGTTTTAGTTTACGCACTCTTGAAGGTCATTCAGTCTGCTCTTATGATAGTCATCAAATGTCTAGGAAGGTGGTAGCTAGTTATGCACAAAAAGTGTTACAATCATCTTGCTCAATGAATCTTTATAGGTCAATCAATCATTTACTATTTTAAGTAATATTCTAGAATTAAACTCAGCATTACTTTATCAGACAAGAATGGTGCTTTAATAACACAAATAGTCGAATACTCACCACCTGGATAGGAGAAAAGAATATTTGATTATATAATCATTTATGAAACACTTGTATACTTGTGGTTCACACGAAGACCAAGCTCAAATAATAATAAGTAATTTGAAATTGAACCTTGGTTGGTTACCAGGTATTGGGTCTTAATCCTCGGTAGTGAACCTGGATAGACAGCCTACTAGCCTCTGTAATTAAATCCTGCATTGGATAGAATCACCACTTCGATTACATACTCCCGTTTTTTTTAAAAATCACAACATCGTTATAGTTTTCCTACTTGAAACTATGATTTTACTTGGTGTTGAGTGAATCATTTTTGTATCATACCACAAATAGGTTAGATAGTAAAGTTACACAATCATGAATTGAAGGAGCGCACAGGTGAAACAGCTTCAGATGAATTCATTACCTAGTAAGCCATCATTCTGAATGCTGTTTCACCTGATTCTAGTGAGAAGAGAAAATTCTCTTTAAATGAAAATAATATCCCTCGAAAAATTTAACCTAATAAAATAATGGAGCATATATAGTGTTAGACAGCGACGAACTTCCTTGGATTGCTTTTTATGGATTTCCATCATAGAAGATATTCAATGCTTGGATTCAACAATTTTCTTTATTATTATTATTATTTCTGTCGTTACAATTACTCTCTTATTTATGCTTACTATTATGTTATAAAGTGCAAGTATTCCCATCTTAATGCATGATCCGGCAATATAGATTAACATACGATTAGTCATTCTATAATTTCGCACATGAAATTATTGTTCAAGTAGACAAATATACTACCTGCCATACCTCTGTATTTATTGGTTATATCTTAGCTACTTTGTTTCTTTAGGGTAGTAACAATTTCGATTGGATGTATGCTAATTTATTATTTCTCTTGACACATTAATTTCCAATACTTTGCTTGAGTTCACGAGATACTTAAAAAAGGAGGAATTTACATTCGATCAATTAAATATTTACATTGTTTGAACGGTGTCTTTTATCCATCTAGTTTTATGTGTATAAATGTGAGTATTAAACATTGATTACCCTGCCATTTCAAACATTCCCTTATCTTACACCATTAATATACATGAAAATGAGTTATCTTTACCGAACTTAGTTCTTATTTATAACTTCAGTTATCAGTTTTAACTGATTTCGCAAGGATACAGTTGATGAAGATTTATAGTAAAAATTTAAGAAAAATCATGACGAATTCAGGCAATATAACAACCTGATTATCAAATAAATGAACCATTGTCCTGAAAACAGTATTTCTTCTCAAAATAGTCTCAATTTATGACAATACATTTCATTAACACTATTCAAAGCATCTATTTACATTAATGTAGAATAGGTGAGATGTGGTCAGTAGTAGAATTCAGGATCTCGTTTCGTCCCGTTTGGGACTCACCAGCCGGATGTACCCGTATTCCAGAGTTAATGTTTGGTCCTGGACACGGAAGCAGTACCATTTGCTTCAAACTCTACCGCATCATCCACTTAGCTACTGAATCCAAAAAGCTACTCACTTGTAAAGTGGGTATGAGTTTTTAGTTCCATTTGAAATGGTTTGAATAACCTCGTTGATATTTTTAACTGAAATCTGGTCAGTCGGCGTTGGTATATATGCATTCTGTGCAGATTGCCACGACATAACCATTATGACATAACTTAGTATGCAACAGATTGAATGCGGCTAGTAGTGGTATCCAGAGTTCACATTTTTCCAATTTCGGACTCGTCAGTTACATCCCAATTACAATGCTTACTCCAGGATATTCAATATAATCCATATTTACTTGTATCGTAATGGTTAGATTAAAGCAGTCTGCACAGGATGCATATATACCAACCGGGACTGATCAAATCGCAGTCGAAAATATCAACAGCGGGATAATCCAAATCGTGTCAAATAGGATCCGTATACATTTTTTGAACTTCTTACCCGTTAGCCCAAAGTTGATTGTTTTAACCGTTCATTCCTTTGATACTACTATATATTCAGGTATATATAATGTTAACTACAAATTGAAAAGTCTAAGCAATCATCCCATACTGATAATTTTTATCTTCTCATATTACGTGATTTTATATGGGTTTAATGTAATGTAGTTTTCCTACCGACTACATCCAACCACCTAAACTTTCAGCATAGTATAGTTGATTCATTTAAACTAGTGCCCTTTTTTGCAATTAACTAGGACAGAACTTAAGTTCAATGTTATTTTTCCTTTAGATATCATCCTACCACCCAACAACTTAAAAGAAATTTACAATATAAACTGATATTGATTGAATAAATATTGAAAATCTTTTAGTACTGGATACCTGTTTAAATCTAATTCGGGATTAATAAACTAACGACTATTTGTCATTAGTAGTTATAACAACATATGTAAGCGAACAATTGTTTTCAATTAGATCGTCATCAGGCTTTACTCTAATATACATGAATATTTATATGAAAATGTTAGACCAATCAAGGCTATTCGAGTCAATAATAATCACAATGAAATAGAAATACGTTACCAAGCATAATAATAGTTAAAAGTACAAGTTGATAGTGGGAAGACAGGTGTACTGATAGTAGTAAGAATAGTAAATTACAATAACAAATGTCTTATAAATAATTAAACATAAGAATTAAGAGGTCAAACGTGGGTAAATAGTCTGGAATAGTAATCACAAAACATTAAAATCATTACGTAATAAGAAGTATGTAAGTAAATAGATAATGAAGATAACTAAAATAACTCATAATGTCATTGAATAAGAAAAAGAGAATTCAGCGAAGAAAATTTTCTTTTCGACGAAATCATTTACTTAAGCTGTACATTCGTATATATAGTAATATGGAAAATATATGTCTATAGGAGGCTAGAAAAGATTGCATTACAAAATTGATTCGACAATAAATAACAAATGAGGTGACGTACTAATCAAGGGGTAAGGAAGAAAATAATTTATGGGTCAAGCCTGAACTTTGCGTGCAGAAACGATTTGTCCTACCTCTTACCCTTCCTTGGCCCTAATTCCCTCATTGAGTACGTTTTTTGGTTTTTGGTTTTTTGTACTTTTATCTGATTATTATCGGTTTTTTGTTTTTTAAATTACTACTTTACATTTAATCTCTAATCAGTTATTATTATTATTACCTTATACAAGTTTTCTTGATTATTACTCAGATTATTATTATTATGACCTTTGTGTTTGTCGCTCTTCTTCATATCTGTTAATTGAACTATTATCTGACCCATAAATTATTTTCTTCCTTACCCCTTGATTAGTACGTCACCTCATTTGTTATTTATTGTCGAATCCATTTATAATGCAATCTTTTCTAGCCTCCTATAGATAATGAAGAATACAAACTGAAAGAGGTAGAAAATTACAAACAAATGATATTAAATTCAACTTAGTATTAAATTCAACTTAGTATTGTTTGTTTGAATCTTCCCATCGATTTGTTAGGACTGCAACTGGTCAGTCTCTAATTGGCATATGTGCATACTGTGCGTATTGCCTCGATATACCTTAATTCACAAGCATGGTTAGCAGAGATGGATAGTGGCTAGCAGTGGAATCCAGGACGCGCGTTTCGTCCTATTTGGGACTCGTCAGCTGGATGTACCTGCATCTCAGAGTTGATGTTCACTCTGGGATTCGAACCCAGTACCCTCGCTTCAAACGCCATTGCGTTATCCACTCGGCCACTGAGTCCTGATAGCCACTTGCTTGTGCGATGGGGTGAAGTTTAAATTCAACTTAGTATTGTTTGTTTGAATCTTCCCATCGATTTGTTAGGACTGCAACTGGTCAGTCTCTAATTGATATTAAAGATTCCCATTGTGAAAATTAGGACACCTGCCTTCCCACTATCAACTTGTACTTTTAACTATTATTATGCTTGGTAACGTATTCTATTTCATTGTGATTATTATTGACTCAAATAGCCTTGATTGGTCTAACATTTTCATATAAATATTCATGTATATTAGAGTAAAGCCTGATGACGATCTAATTGAAAACAATTGTTGGCTTACATATGTTGTTCTAATTTTCACAATGGGAATCTTTAATATTAGTAGTTATGACTACAAATTACCATATACATTCACTTCCATTACAACCATCATTATCATGTAAAGTAAACAACTAAAAATATATTTTTAAAGCATGAGTCAATTGAAGCTAGACCACCATGGAAAACCTGGAAACACTGGACGGCCGTTTCGTCCTATTATGGGACTCCTCAGCAGTGCGCATCCACGAACCCGCTCGCGCGAGATTCGAACCCAGGACCTACCAGCTTCGAGCCGAAGCCCTTAACCGATAGACCACTGAGCTGGCATCCAACGGTGTTAATGTCTAACTTCAACTGATCCACGAAGTTGAGCAACCATTCACCAATTGTCTTCAGTGAGTTCCTATCTCACAACAGACGTGGTTTTGAACTCCACTGGTCACTGCTTCTCACTAGAGCTCCTCGTTATACTTCTCGAAGTCACTGGTGAGCATATGATTATATTAATTATCAGAGGGGGTTTTGTGGAGATTTAGTATTTTTCATATTTTTAAAGCATGAGTCAATTGAAGCTAGACCACCATGGAAAACCTGGAAACACTGGACGGCCGTTTCGTCCTATTATGGGACTCCTCAGCAGTGCGCATCCACGAACCCGCTCGCGCGAGATTCGAACCCAGGACCTACCAGCTTCGAGCCGAAGCCCTTAACCGATAGACCACTGAGCTGGCATCCAACGGTGTTAATGTCTAACTTCAACTGATCCACGAAGTTGAGCAACCAAGCAGTGACCAGTGGAGTTCAAAACCACGTCTGTTGTGAGATAGGAACTCACTGAAGACAATTGGTGAATGGTTGCTCAACTTCGTGGATCAGTTGAAGTTAGACATTAACACCGTTGGATGCCAGCTCAGTGGTCTATCGGTTAAGGGCTTCGGCTCGAAGCTGGTAGGTCCTGGGTTCGAATCTCGCGCGAGCGGGTTCGTGGATGCGCACTGCTGAGGAGTCCCATAATAGGACGAAACGGCCGTCCAGTGTTTCCAGGTTTTCCATGGTGGTCTAGCTTCAATTGACTCATGCTTTAAAAAAAAATATGAAAAATACTAAATCTCCACAAAACCCCCTCTGATAACTAAAAATATGCTGAAACATTACTAAAAAGCCAAATACTCAATATACATTTTTCCAGAACTTGTTTTCCATCGCACTGAATGATTACAAATAAGAAGAATGTATAGTTGAGTTTAAGTTGGTGGCTTCTTAAAAATTAGTTCATCAAGAAAGGTTTCATTAGTAATCAGTACTAGCTAGATAATCAATAAAAAAGATCCGATTATTTAATCGTGAGCAATGTAAAACCTAGCACATATGTGAATCAGTACAAGTTACCACACAATGTTAATATAGTCAGATAAAATTATTTATACAAATGCTTAATTGGTAGTGTGATGTGGGTTACTTATATCCATATAAGTAGTATGTAGTGATGATTAGGCATAGAATGTATTTTGGCAGAAGATCAATAAGGAAAGAACATGAACGAAGCGCAATAGGTGTGAAAATGTATGAACAATGAAATCAGAGAAGATGGACTGATATTTGCGGAAGGAACAGTCAATATTGAGACAATTGATTGTTTTTTTGCAAATTAACTGTTGTCAGATTTCAGTGAGATAGTCTGTAATTCGTGCTTAAATACATACGGTTGTCCCCACCCGTGTTCTTGTTTACTACAGTAGAACTATGAATAATATCAGTGAAAGTAGGAAATACGAAGCTTAATTGATATGATTTGAGAAGAAAAAATGAATTTTCGGATAAAAAAAGATTATTAATATAATTTCAAAACTCAAAATCTTAGGGAAGACAAGTGTTTTATTTCCGATTTATACTTTCTAAGTCAGGGTAATCTAATCTACGCGTGATCGAATCCACAGTTTTCAGGTCATATGATAATCATACAAACATTATATCACAAATTCAAAAAAAACGTGTGGTTGGTCAGTTATCAATTGGCAGCCATCCTTATTCATGATTTGCATAACCCAATATATATGCCTTTATTTTACTAACTTATTTATAGGTATATTATGGTGTATTCATGAATTGCGACACCTTATAGCAATATATTAGGGTGATCCTTGCTTATGCAGTAATATTAAAGTTTAAATATTTTCATTGACATCATAATCCAATCAATGTTAGACCACCATTTAAAATCTGGAAGCACTGATTGGCCGTTTGGTTCTGGTATGGGGCAGCTCGGTAGTGAGTATAGCAGAATCTAATCCAACTCCTTCGGTCTCACACGCGAACCCTAAGTTTTTGAACCACTGAGCCGGCCTCCACTGGCGTCGGGTATATATTTCGTTCTGTTCGGGACCCGTCAGCTGGATGTACTTGCATCCCAGAGATGGTATCAACTCTGGAGCTCCAACCCATGCCGTTTGCTTCAAATACCATTGCGTTATTCACTAAGCTGCTGGTACATCCGGCTGACGACTCCCAAATAAGACAAATTGAGCTCCTTGGATTTCACTGCTAGCCACCATCCATCTCTGCTTAAAACTACTTGTGACTCAGTGGTAATATCGAGGCAATCAGCACAGGATGCACATATACAAAAAGGGACTGATCGATGACAGTTTTAAGCAACAACGGGAATAATCAAACACCTAGTATATTTGAAGTAACAAAAATAGTTTTCCATCAAATCACTTTACTTATTTCATGTTTTATTAATTAACTTTACAATAGTTTAGGTCAATCTTATGAAGAATTTTTAGCAAAAGCAACATTCAGCATTGAAAATTCAACTTATGATCCAGTCAATGAATCCAATGAACATGAATCTGAATATGATTCAACAATATTAGGAAATAATATGAATATAAATGAAGATATGAGGATTTCAAATAAGTTATTTGGTATGTTTATTTATATAAATAGAAGTTTACATTATCCGTTTTATATATAATATAAGTTTATGTAATAATTTACCAATAAAGACATCATTACAAGAGAAATAAAATAAGCAAAAATGGATAATGGCTAACAGTGGAATCCAGGATCCCCGTTTTGTCTTACTTGGAACTCGTCAGCTGGTTGTACCTGCATCTCAGAATTGATGTTCGCTCTGGGACTCAAACCCAGTACCTTTCGCTTCAAACGCCATCACGTTATCCACTCAGCTACTGATTCCTAATAGCCACTTGCTTGTGCAATGAGGTGAAGTTTAAATTCACTTGGTATTGTTTGTTTGGATCTTCCCATTGATGTTAAGGACTGCAGCTGGTCAGTCTCTAATTGGCATATGTGCATACTGTGCGTATTGCCTCGATATAAAATTAATTCACTGGCATCGTAAGCAAAGATGGATTGTGGCTAGCAGTAGAATCCAGAACGCGCGTTTCGTAATGTTTAGAACTCGTCAGATGAATGTACCTGTAATATGCACAGTATGCACATATGCCAATTAGAGACCGATCAGTTGCAGTCCTAAACCTCAATCGGAAGATTCAAACAAACAATACTAAGAAATAAAATAGTTTATTTTATAATTAGTTTGGAATGTTAAATGAAATTATATAGAGAATTACATTTTTTAAGTTAGCGTTTTTTTGGCGGGTTAATTTTCTACGGGATGGGGTCGCTAACCCCATGCCTAACCCTCTTCCTTTATCCTGGCTTGGGACCGGCAGCAACCCCCGGAGGACCTACAGGCGGAGTTATATAGAGAATTATTTGAAACAAGTACAAATCAAGATATTTTAGATAGATATTTCATTTGAATTTTGAAATTATTCATTGACGCTAGTTCTTGATGTTAGAAGACTAATTACTATTAGAATACACCTCCATATGTCTCCATAAAATTAATTTAAACAAAAATTGCAATAAAATTAGTGTTGCATAGTTATGTAATAATTTCACATGTAATTAATTGCTAAATCTTGTGCCCGCCTGTTAGAGAGCAGCGTTTTATTGATTGGACCAATGATACACGAAACCCGTACGAGCAGTCTAGAGTACTTGTCGGTCCTGCTATCTGCCTAGCCCAGTCAGTTAAGTCCAAAACACCAATAATATCCTCTGCAATATGAATCGTTTATTTCAAACATACTGAGTTTATATACCAAACAGACAAATCACATCGTATCATAAAATAGAAAATAACATTTGTACAAGATTTAGCCAAAGTGGCTGTGAATAGGGGGAACAGTAATTAATAGACTGGGGATAACTTAGGAATGGTAAATTGTAAAGTGATAGTCTATGGATCAAAATAAAGCTCATAATAAGAGGGACATGAATATGAATACTTAAGTTGCTTAACAATTATACAATAGGAAATATACATATCATATTAGTCCATAAATAGTCCTCAAAAGTTACCATTCATAATTCTCTTCGGGATATAACATTAATCAAATAATGTTACATAATTCAGTAATTAGAAGAGGGAGGATAAAGTTTGGAATAGAAGACTTAAATATAAAATTGTTATTGTTCCAGTTTGTATTTAAATGAATGAAATCGATAATATAAAGTTGGAATGTTAACAAGTTTGAGTTTAGAATAGAAGTAAATGTGACTGTGAAAAGAAGTTTGTATATTTTTATGAAAGGATATGAAATAGTGAAGAACAAGAGAAAAATATAAACTAATAACTTAATATAAGAACATAGATTGAACTTAAATTTAATGATAAAAAACAATCAACCCTATTTGCCAATGTACATATATACGTGAACTCAAGATGATCTAGCAATGGAAACTAGAAATTGAGGATAGTAAATTTTTAAATAGATTAATGTATTTTTTCTTCGGTTAATGTTTGATTGTAGATGTCTAGATTAACTAAGTTTTTAATACAGACTAGGATAACCGGGTAAGTAATAGTGAAGTCACTAACTTCTAGTCTGTGCCATGTTGGTAGATGCAGACTACCTGGTTGGGGTCCGCGTGACTATCGTAACCAATGTTTGGAGACTCTAGGTGACATGGCTCAGAATCGATCACAATGGTGCAGGTGTATACACCCTTTATCTTCCCTTAAACCTTGAGATCAAGACTGCTTCATATCTATCTTCCTTCCTATACTATATCCTTATATACAACCTATCTTTTATATACTACCACCACCACTAAATTAACTACTTCTATGAATCCGGTGTTCATCTTGTTGTGCTAACGAGGTAATGGCAACTTGTACCGATGCATATATGTGCATGGTCCAACGTTGTAGCTGACTGACTAATACAGACTAAAATTGGTTACGGGAACTACAGAAAAACGTAGAATTAATTGATTAGTTTTCCATTCTAGATATGAATTAGCTTATATTCAACTTCATACGTAATAAAACTTATCTTCATCAGCCAGCTGATACTCATGTCAACTTTCAGTAAGTCAGAAGGAATTCAATACTAAAGTATTTTCGATACTGTAATATAACTTAACATATTCGAGCTTATGTACACTACTTGGGTGTACAGGCCAGCTGTTCAAAGAGAAATAGGCTCATCACAGTTTGGAACTCGAAATTATTTGCTGAAAGCGGATTATTTTAGTCACGAGGCCAGTGTAATAATGATAATTTAAACCATTTACCAAGTCCAGGTTAATGGGCTAGCCTTCAAAATACATATTTCGAAGTCAGTCTACAAAATACACAGGACAATAATTCTTCATTTAGTCGTTGTAAAATTTAAACAAATAAACTTGTAACTACTAGTTAAACGACAACCTACTTATTATGAGCCTGAAGCTTCTATGTAGACTCTTTCTTATGGTGTTAAATATGAAAATTAATACGAAATCGTAAAGCTATTAATAAGGGAATTTTCCTCAGCTGTAAATGTTTGTGGTTAGGTACTTTTATAGTTAATATGGATTTATGGAAATCTAAAATATAATGGTTTTATTAACATGGAATGTTTGCGGATAACCTTTATTTTGAAGATGGCTCACATCAACCTCCTCAAACTTTCAGTGCTAATGAAGGCCTTGTACTCAATGATAACTAACTTTGAAGAAAATCCAGAAGGCCATAGTACGAAGCTGAAACCGGTGGATTTCAATTGTATCGGGAGTCAGATAGTTATCATTGATGACAAACACTAGTAAACAACCGTAGCTTCTATCTGGACATGGTGGTCTAGTTTCCTTATCGTAGTGACCTAATCGAGTTATTTTACCTGTGATAGTTTTCCTTTTAGGTTCTAAAGTGCTGGCCAGGTCTATCGGAATGTAGTTGAACTGAAGGGTACAACTTAAGGTTCGAGAGAAAAGTTGAATTTTAGTTCCTAGTGGGATTTGACTTTAGTAAGGCTAATTCAGTGGTCTAAAAATAATATGCCCAATGCAAACGTTTGGGATTGGTGAGGAAAAAAATTAGTCCAATGCTTTGTGATTTTGAACGAATGCCTGTCTAAAGTATTTTCATAAAGTGTAGACTAAGTGATAAAGATGATTATTTTGAGTAATAATTACTTGTTTTCTCAGCAGTTTGAACCTTCTTACACTGTTAGGGACCAAGCACAAGACCGTCAGCTTTCCTAGGTTATCGCGTTAACTTTAGAATACTGGGTTGAAATCATATCTAATGTAATGTAATCCATATCTTCAGTTCTTTTGCCAATTCGCAATATTAACAAGACATCAACCAGAGATTTTCTTTTCAGTAAACTGTGCGGTTTTCCCGGCTATTTTAAACTTTTTTTTTTTTTTAAAAAAAGTGGGAAAACTAATTAATCACTTTATTCTTCAATTTTAGATTCTACAAATGTCAATCTACTTTCATCATGGACAACATATAAAACGGAAGACTTAGAAGATGACAGTTTCTATGATTGACAAATAAAAATGTCTATGTAACACATTTCTTTTTTGTTGGGATAATTTCAGTGAAATAACGCTCATATTTCTCCTTTACATCGAGAAACTAAATTGCTTGGGACTGGCAATGAATAATTTGTCTGAGTATACAATCCACTCGCTCTATACTACATTCCCATTCAGCACTATTCTACAAGGCCTCAAAACAACTCAAATTATGAACACGCGATTCACCTGACCAGTACGCTTATTGGTCAGCAATTACCAACATACAATCCAGTAAGTACCCGGGTAGGGAAATACATAAAACATATCAATTACCTATCAGACTAGCTGCCAATCTGTCTAAGACAACAACCAATCACTATTTTCTTTCACCCAGACAACAATCGGTGCGAGTGAAATTTCGTCCCGTGTTACAATGTTTAGTGAAGAATAAATTATATTGCAAATGAACAGACCGATACAATTTCATATCCTAAAAAATCTGATTTCCGGAGACGATCCATTACTCGTGTGTATAGATCTGCTTTTAGATTAAGAATATTAATCGACTATCTAGCTTTATCATTAACAAATGATATGATATCAAGAAGTTTAGTTGTACAATAATGAATATCTGATTCATGAACATGAGAACATTTCTGTTAACAATTAAATCGCCGAAAGTTTTTTTCAGTCTTAAGTGCCAAGAAACAAGAAAGTCACCTAGATAAGTGTATATTAACTTGTTACTTGTGGAAACAGTATAAGGTTTATTGAAGTGGCTGACCACCCTGAAGTAAAAAAATAGTGATGTGTCTCTCTATATATAAACTTGCAGAAGAAACGAATATTTTGTGTAATACTCTAAAGAAAAATGAGTACTCGATGGAATACTGTAAACAAAGATGACCATGAAGGTAAGCAATAGACAAAGTCCCAATGAGTCAATTGAAGCTAGACCTATTTTACTGATCTCTGAAAAATTCCCATCATATTAAGACACAATTATATGAACGAAGAATATTCTTTTCAATAAATTCTCATCAGGTTCTACAATTATAAATTAATAATCCCTAAAAAATTGGCCAAGTTTAAGGTAGAGTACATCATTTAAGAAACTGTAATATGTGAATCAAGGATAGTTTGTTTTAGCCCATTTAGTTCAGACGGGACATAGAGCATACATCGAGCAATCTTTCACAGTAATATATCGTGTTAATAGCAGTCTACCTAATTCTGTCAGACAGAGAATCCTTCAGACGGCTGAGGCAATTGCTATTCGGATCAAAAAGCCAGAGCTCTGCATCCAAAATAAATATGTCCAGCGCTCCTTTTACCCTAGCCAACATCAGGGTCAACTTGTTAATAATCAATTTTGTAATATGGTGACATTAATTTGATTAATGTTCATTTTTACATCTTAAACTTAGTTTATCTACACATCTATCAGTCATTATTCTTATTATTTTTCAAAATTGAAATCATGAGTCAATTGAAGCTAGACCACCATCGTAAACCTGGAAGCACTGGACGGCCGTTTCGTCTTATTATGGGAATCCTCAGCAGTGCGCATCCACGATCCCGCACTCGCGAGATTCGAATCCAGGATCTACCAGATTCGAGCCAGAGCACTTAACCGATAAACTACTGAGCCGGCATCCAACGGTGTTAATGTCTAACTTCAACCGATCCACGAATTATGAGCGATTATTCACCAATTGGTGAATGTTTCCAGGTTTTCCATGGTGGTCTAGCTTCAATTGACTCACGCTTTCAACTATAATAAATCCTTGATTCACATATTACAGTTTCTTAATTGACGTACTCTGCCTTAAACTTGGCCAATCTTCTTTTGTGGATTATTTATTTTACTGATCATTTTAAAATAGAAATGTTTGTTATTATTTAGAACTTAGAGATCAAGAATAAATTTGTGTAATAGGGGTTGAATACACAATTAATGCTTGAAAACTACTAAGATACTGTTTGGAAAGCGCTGTCCGATATCTTATCATTTTGATCGTATTATACGTTTACCTATTGATTCTTATTCACTTCACTCTAGTATTTGACTATAATCAAAGTTGTGCTTCACTATTTCGTACACAAAATGTGTTGTGTGATTTCTCAACCCATTCCTTTAATGGTACCGTGATTTTGGGGTGGTTACATTTAAGTAGTTCATCTGGACATGTTTCGTAGACATTCAAGGAATTATCATTAATGTAAAGTAAATAAAAAGGAATGATAAAGATATGGAATACAGTTGGTTATTGTAAGTAATCCAACTGATTGTTTCACTTTCAGTTGCCTCATAGAATGAATTCATATCTGGTAATTGATTTGAAGAGATCAAGCTAAGATTATGCAGCATTAACGAAATAATCCAGGAGATAGATAAATATCCACTAGATTAATATTTGTTTAGTTAGTTGGTTTTGGCAACTCAAGAAGTGTTTTTAGCACATGATGCAATTACCAACATAGATATGTTGATCCGTATTCCTCATGAACAAAACTGGGGGAACTATAGTATACGGACATAACAATCAGAATGAGGATAGTGCCTCTTAGACGTGAGGGAAATTTAAGGGGACATGACGAATAGTTTGTATCTCACCAGAAGCCGAGTAAAGGTTCCCTATATCTAGTTCGAAGGATACTCAGAACCAATAAATATATCTGCTGTGCAACCACACGGCAGACACTTGGTGTGAAAGCTCCTGCGCAGATTGCGTCACCAATTGGGCGCACTCGATGTGATGACGAAAGTATATTATTCTAATGGTCTCGAGACACTCACCAGCCAATCAGGAAAGTGTTTGGTTATAAAACAATTACCAATAAAATCGCAGTGAACAAATATGCTTGTTATTATTGGTAAACCCTTACATCAGGAGGATTAAACCATGTTGATGGTCTTGGGCGATTCTAGAAAGGACAGTGAGACTCACCAATCGGAGTGTAGTCCTTGGGAATGAAATAGACATCTCGAAAAAAGACGATAAGATTACAAATATAATGAAGTCATGGAATGCTAGTAGCATAATTCTATTATCCTACAAGTAAGCCTGACCATCCTAAACTTAGTTCTTTAATAACATCACTGGACTTTACAACTTACTTTGATATTTTCAATGGTCAAACATTCTTCAGCTGATCTACCATCATCCAAATTAGCTGAAAGGCCAAACTTCATCACGAGATGAAATCCAGAACCAGACTATTTATGATTCCGTCTTAAGTATTGTGCATAAGCTCGACAATCATTAACTCCATCTTAATTAGGCGGTTCTAGTTGTTTCAGGGTCATAAGGACAGTTCGGATATGCAGCTATGTTTTACGGCACCTTCGATTTCGTGCGAAAATCCAAGGAGATCTATATCGGTTGTGATTGACTTACTCAAAGTCGTTAGTATAGTATACTTCTACTGATGTGACTAAACGCATAGTCGAGGGTGTTTGTGTGGTTCCCCAAGATCATGGGTTTATTATGACCTAACCGATACAGAATTATTCAGACTACCATATATGGGGATGACCGGAGAACGCAAAAATTACAACAGTTATCGTTCACAAGCGTTCTTCTGTTAACCCTAAGACTGGAGACCACAGTAACAGTGCTCACGCAGTGTAGTGAAGACTATAGAATTATCCTCGACCTTACGAAATCTCTAGAGGTAAACTAAACTGAAGTCATATAGACGAACTTTTGTATGGCACCTGCGTTGATTTGCACACTGATGAACCTACTGCAAACCTTAACCAGTTTAACAGAAAAATAGCGAGTATAAATATATTCTAATTTTCGGTTTTCGATAACAAATGACTCATTTCTGTCACCTACATTCTGATTAGATAAAAAGTCTCTTACGGTCTTCCGTACATTAAAGTTTGTACTGTATAATGACTACTTACTGAAGTAACTCATCAAACACAGAGTTGTGTGATTGGTCTTGGGTCATACTATGAGTAAAGACCAGAATATTGACACTGTCTACTTAACCAGACCGAAGTAAGCGGAGGAGGATTCAAACCTGAAACCTAATGGTTGGAAGGCAAACGCTTCAACATTTAAGCCACAGCTCAACCACTTACTGACGTGCTATATGGTTAATCATCATCAAAATTACAAGGTAAAATAGTAAGTTTAGTCTACTTTTTGTGAAGCTGATCAATATATGGTTCCAAAACTTTTAAGCAGTGTCAAGGTGTAGTATATTACCATGAACAGGAATTGATTGAGATGATTTTATTATAGGCTATCAAGAATTGATAAACAGGGTACATATATAAAGTGAAGAAAACAACCATTCTCTACCACTAATTTTATTTACAGAGTATAGAATTAAAACACCAGATGTAATATATATATATATATATATATATATATATATATATATGAGCTATTTAGTGGTTTTCGGTATATATAAAATAGTGTTAAGAATAAAAGTTTGAAGCGAACTCAATATAAAATATTCAATATAATCACAGTTACAACAGGAAACTGATGAACACATCCAAACACTATATATATGCATATATATATCTTCGAAGTAAGTAACCATAGTATTAAGAAAGGAGCTTTAAGTATAGAAATAGTTAAGGATTTTTACGATTGCGATGGTGTAATGATTCTCCTGACGTAGAAGGACTTGGATTACGTTGATTACGAGGTCCAGAAGAAGTAGATCTGGAAGGATCTGGTAAGTCACTGAAAACGCATTCATCTCCAGACAAATATGGTGTGCTTAATCGGTTGGCATTTACTATTTCCCTAGCTTTTGATCTGTCACTTTCTAAACAGCCATAGTTGGAATATTGTGTACACGGTAAGTTGGAAGACAGATTATTATTTGAATCATCATTAAATCCATCTGAGTTGGAATGAGTCGCTTCTTCGATTTCTGACTGTTTACACACTGATGTTGTACTATTGCTAGATGACTGAATTGTGGACATTTTTATTCCAGCTACACCCTTTTTTTCGCAGGTTAGCAAATCCCGTTTAATTCGACGTAAACGGCCAGAACGATCTTTCCGTATCTTAAAAAACAAGAATGTGTTACAAACATAGTAAAAAATGACAACTGAGACATTCGAGAAGCTAAATGCAAGGTGAATAAAATATAAACTACAAAATGTACCAAATGTATTTGAAAAAAAGTAAATAAACTAACGAAATGCGTTTTTTTAAAACCCTATGAGCAGTGTCTATGCATACGAAAGGAAACATATACATAAAAAATATAAATAATTTAATTTGAGTAATTAATCCAATTTAATAATCAAGTTCACATCTGTGTACTGGGCTTTACACTTTTCATTGCAAGAGCGAGTAATAATCTATTCAGATTCCTAGAAAAATCTTAATTGGCTTTGAAATTCAAACTTAATAGTAACAAATCGAGAGCATAAACAATTAAGCCACTAGCCCATGAAAGAAGTATGACAGGCTGTGCGATAAGGAAGTACATGACAGTCGACAGCCATGGTGGAACGAATAAGGTCATGGCCAAACTTATTTATTAAGTTGAACACATAAATATTGGTACAAAGGGGCACCGAATACATATGTGCCACACAAGTCACTTGATTTGTGTGTCGGCTATGATACTGCCCGGGTGCCCAGATTGAGGCAGGTGGTTTTCTTAGGGGGCCACACCCTGAGCCTTTGACCTAAAGGTCTGACCCATAAGGCAATGGAGCAACGCCAGAAGATGCAGACCCATGGTAGCCGGTGACCAACGATTGGTTCACACGCCATTTGTTCCTTCAGGATCCTGAAGCCCATATGCACCATTGGTTTGGATTAAGGGTTTTCCAACTCCCCTAGGTAAACCCTCTGCATCTACTAACCCGGTAAGAGCGCCTGATATTCGCTTTTTGCATTTCCGATTTCGTGAACAACACTCTTGCCGCGAGAAGGCAGTGAGTGAGACTTCTCTTTCAGTGGCTGTATACGCGTGGTAATGTGTGAGTATTTCGAGAAGGAGAGCGAACTCTCCTCACCCTCGGCAGTATTAGGGCATTTGACCAAACAACAATGTATTGGTTTATGAAGACCGAGATAGAAATTACCAAAAAATGATAAAATCAATATTAATTTCCTTCAGTAAACAGGACACAATGCTAGATCTTAGATTGATTATTATTTGTTACAGTTTCATGTGTTACATTCGATTACTCACTATATACTAAGGAACTAAAAGCATGTATAATTCTCACAGAAGTTTATTTTGAGTTACTTTGTTAACAAAAGTAGGATTCTGATTTAAGAAATCACACTGCAAATTAATAATCATAATCAATGGACAAGTTCTACAAGAATGGAGTGATTCAATTGATTTTATTTAGTTTTTTTAACACATTAGTGAACTACAAACAATGGTTACATTAGATAGCTTAGCTTCATAAGAAAACTGTGTAAAGCATTAACAATAAAAAAACTTTTATTTACTAGTTACATTTAAGTGAAATAACGGAAATATAGAGTTGGCTCCACCGGGAGATACAAATAAACAATTGTCTACCAAACTATGCCAAAAATACTCATGTTATTTATAGTTGATCTTCAACATAGAGATACGTTGAAGTGTCATGTACCTCAGTAAGTCATATCTTAATCGCGCTTACAGTATAAACTGAATAAGTAAAGGTCGAAATACTTTGTGGATTATTATGAAAATTAAATTATAATTACTAAAATATGAAAAAGTAACTCTTAAGCAATTCTTCTTACTTGAGTCATATTTTTCAAATCTATGCTGTATACATAACCTGCAATGGTCAACTCATATGACGATAATTGTTTATTAAATGCATTCTCCAATTCGTTACACGTACGTTCATCGTATTGCCACCAACCTTGAAAACCTTCATAGAACCAAGAATAACTTGGTAATTCATTAGAGTTTGAAGCATTGACTGATTGAGGTAAAGTTGACAAGCGTTCACATAAATCAACAATATGACTCAATTTATCTTGATCGTTTTCACGTAGATCGCAAACTGAAATTTAAAATAAAATCTTCAACATTAAGCATAAAGCTTAATGATTGACTTATTTCTGTAATAGTTTAACATTGAACTATAATTTGATATCATACAGACTGATGGGATCCCCTTTAAATTGATGACTTAACGGCTAAAATATTTAAGTCTTAATCACTGGATCAGATTCAAACATCATTTAGTCTACTTTGCTGTCTGATAGTATCACTAACACAATGAAACGTAGCCTGGAAGCCGACTTCGTAAATTTAGCCTTGATTACAGAAATGCATTACACTTTTGAATCAGCATTAACATTTGATTATTTGAACACAAAACGCTGGTAACCATAATGTCTGCAATGAGTTTTGAATACATTCACTTATTGTAAAGTATCAAATTATCTCTTGAGCCATACTGGTAGGTGTAGACTACCTGGTTGGGATTTGCGAGATGATAGCAATCGATGGTTAGATACCTTGAATGACATGGCTCAAAATCGTTTACAATGGCAAAGGTGCATCCACTATTTGTGTTCTCCAAAATTCTAATCTTCTGAATTCTTCATGTCTTTATCCTTTTTCCCTTTCCAAATTTATTTCACCGTATTATATTCTTTGAATAACATGTCCAAACCCTTATACTCTTACTACTTCTACCACTATGGGATTTGAATAGATAACTGAATCTCTGTGCTAATGTGGTATGGCAACTCGAACTGATATACGTACGTACGAAGTTCTACGTTGTGACTGACTGATCTCTTGAAAATGATTATTAGCTTGAAACGACAACTTTTGATTGCTGGAAATATTAACTATGCATCATGGACACAACCTTTTGCTCTCACCTTATCCTGGTCATGAGCTGCAGTTACTGCTTTCAACTCATTAGCATGCTCTAAATACTAGGTTTATTGGGCCTTACATAAGCCTTTTAAATTTTCTGGGCAAACGATTTCAATACCGCTGGACCAGCGTTTCTCTGGAGCAGACCGGTGTTTCAATAAGTTATGAACAACTCACATGAACCTAATAATCCTAAAAGGAAAATTCCACGAAGCCGCAAGCAACTTTACTCAGCATTATCGAGTTGTGCGGACGCAACCAGGGCGTATCTGGTGGATTAATCGCGACGCTTAAACGTAGCTCGGCTCGATATTTGGTTGCAACGGAAGGTGTAGCTAATTTGTTGGTCCCGATAAAAATAATGAATGGTAACTTTGGGATCCATTTATGAAACAATAATATGCCTATATTTTTATCGTATAATTGTTAAATAACTAAACTATTCATATTCGTGTCTCTTATTATAAGCTTTACTTTGACCTATGAACTACCATTTTCGAATTATACCCTAACTACCATTTACTATCACCCACATTCGCAGTCACTTTTGGTTAAATATTGTATAAATGTTGTTTCCTATTTTATGGTACGATGTGGCTTGTCTGTTTGGTATATAAACTCAGTATGTTTGAAATAAATGATTCATACCGCAGAGGACGAAATAAGTGTTCTGGACTTGACTGGCTGGGCTGAGTATAAAGCGGGACCGACAAATACTCTAGACTGCTCGCACGAGTTTTATGTGTCATTGTTCCGATCGATAATTCATTGCTCTCTAATTGGCGGTATTACCACGTTATACATTAACAGAGCATCCAGGCCATAAGTAATAACAGACACCAAACGACAAGATAAATCTGGAGAAAACCAGGGCATCATTGCAATCCAAATGGGTACTTTAGAAAAAGCGAAAATCTTATATGCATCTGAGCCAGCAGTAGCTGATCACAAAGCGACCAACTTGAGCTGTAGAAAAGAGACTTCTAGTACCACATCAGTGATAACTGTGCTGCAAGTTGGTATTAAACATCAACAGGTTGTCATCTGCACGAAGCTGAAGGTGATCACCGTTATCTGACCTGAGACCATCGAATCCCCTTGGTAACCTTAAAGACTCACTTCAATGCCGAGATCAGATATGTGAATTTTAGTACCGAGGTAGTGCCACGGTATCTGCTGAAAATGCTCTTTTGAGCAAGTCAGTTAACCCATGATAGAAATCATAACCGATTTCATCCCGAATTCTATCTGTCAGTAAGTAGGCGAAGGTTACAAAATATCGTTTCTAACTCCAGTTTCTCACATTGACTGAGGTTCCTAATCGAACACATACGTGATTATTATTGGGGATCTAGCCCATGAGTCCCGCCTCCGCTCTAGAGTTTGTATAAAGTCGACGTTAGAAAACTAAGAGGTGATATTACAGTATCCCCAGAGAAGAGAAATGAAAAACAGATTTATAGTACACCACTAGTGTCATAAATACGCCTTCCATATATATATATTACTTACTTACGCCTGTTACCCCTTGTGGAGGAGCATAGGCCGCTCACCAGCATTCTCCATCCAACTCTGTCCTGAGCCTTCCTTTCCAGTTCTTTCCAGTTACTATTCAGCCTTTTCATATCGGCTTCTATTTCCCGGCGTAGTGTGTTCTTTGGCCTTCCTCTTTTCCGTTTCCCTTCCGGATTCCAAGTTAGGGATTGAGTCGTGATGCACATTGGTGATTTCCTCAATGTATGTCCGATCCACTTCCAACGTCTTTTCCTAATTTCCTCTTCAGCTGGAAGCTGATTTGTCCTCTTCCATAAAACGCTGTTGCTGATTGTATCCGGCCAGTGAATGTTGAGTATTTTGCGTAGACAACTGTTTATAAATACTTGTACCTTCCTGATGATGGCCGTAGTAGTTCTCCACGTTTCAGCTCCGTACAGTAGGACTGTCTTGACGTTCGTATTAAAGATTCTCACCTTGAAATTGGTTGAGAGTTGTTTTGAGTTCCATATGTTCTTCAATTGTAGAAATGCTGCCCTTGCTTTGCCAATCCTCGCCTTTACATCTGCATCCGATCCTCCTTGTTTATCAACGATGCTCCCCAGGTACGTGAATGTTTCCACCTCTTCCAGAGTTTCGCCATCAAGTGTGATTGGGTTGGTGTTCTCCGTGTTGCATTTGAGAATCTTGCTTTTTCCTTTGTGAATGTGGAGGCCTATCGATGCGGAGGCTGCTGCTACATTTGCTGTCTTCATCTGCATTTGGTCGTGTGTATGAGAGAGGAGGGCTAGGTCATCTGCGAAGTCCAAATCATCTAATTGATTCTGAGAAGTCCATTGTATTCCGTATTTCCCTTCAGATGTCGAATTCTTCATAATCCAGTCAATCACTAGAAGGAAGAGGAATGGGGAGAGTAGACAGCCTTGTCTGACTCCGGTCCTTACTGGAAATGCATCTGTCAGCTGTCCTCCATGCGCCACTTTGCACTGTAGTCCATCGTATGAGTTTTGGATAATGTTGACAATCTTTTCAGGAACTCCATAGTGTCGAAGAAGTTTCCATAATGTTCTCCTGTCCACGCTGTCAAACGCCTTCTCATAGTCAATAAAGTTGACGTATAGTGATGAGTTCCACTCAACTGATTGTTCAACGATGATCCGTAGTGTCGCAATCTGGTCTGTGCACGACCGATCCTTACGGAATCCAGCCTGATGATCCCTAAGTTGGGCGTCTACTGCGTCTTTCATCCGATTCAGCAGCACTCTGTTGAAAACTTTTCCTGGTACTGATAACAAACTGATGCCTCTGTAGTTCTCACATTTGCTCAGATCTCCTTTCTTTGGTATCTTGATGAGATATCCTTCTTTCCAGTCCGTTGGCACTTGTTCCTCTTCCTAAATCTTCTTGAATAGAAGGTGAAGCATATTTGCAGTTATTTCAATGTCTGACTTCAGTGCTTCTGCTGGTATATTGTCAGGTCCTGCCGCCTTCCCACTTTTGATTTGTCTGATGGCCATCTTGACTTCTTCGATCGTTGGTGGAGTGATATCTATTGGAAGGTCTGTGTGGGCTGCTTCGATGTTCGGTGGATTCAATGGGGCTGGTCTATTCAGCAGTTCCTCGAAGTATTCTGCCCATCTTTTCCTCTGTTCTTGAATCTCAGTGATTGTCTTTCCTTCTTTGTCCTTGACTGGTCTCTCTGGTTTGCTATATCTCCCTGCCAATTTCTTCGTTGTCATATAGTTGTTTCATATTCCCTTCTCTTGCAGCTTTTTCCGCGTCCGTTGCTAGTTCTCCCATATATTTCTGCTTGTCGGCTTTAATGCTTTTCTTCACTTGCTTGTTTGCTTCTGCGTAGTCTGCTTGTGCTTTGACTTTCTCTGCTCGTGTTCGGCTGTTGTTAATTGCTAGTTTCTTGTTCTTCCTTTCTTGAATTTTGTCCAGGGTTCCCATAGAGATCCATTCCTTGTGATGATGCTTCTTAGGACCAAGAACCTCCTGACACGTTGAAGTTAGTGCTTCTTTTATCCCTTTCCAGTTGTCCTCCAAAGTAGTTTCTTGTTCTTTCAGTAGATCCTGTACAGCTTGGAACCTGTTGTTGAGAGTTATCTTGAATTCATGGAGCTTGTCAGCATCTCGAAGGAAGGCTGTATTGAACCTTTGTAGTGCTGTTTGTCCAGTTGTCCAGTCTTTCTTTAGCTTCAGTCTCATCTTGGCCACAACCAGGTGGTGATCTGAAGCTATGTCAGCTCCTCTTCGGGCTCTCACATCTTCCATTGATCTTCGGAATTTTTTGTTGATACAGATGTGATCAATCTGGTTCTCTGTGGTGTGGTCCGGTGAGATCCATGTAGCTTTGTTTATACGTTTGTGTGGGAATATTGTGCCGCCTATAACCAATTTGTTGAATGCACATAGGTTTGCAAGTCTCTCCCCATTTTCATTTCTCTCTCCTAATCCATGTCGTCCAATTACATCTTCATATCCTGTGTTGTCCACTCCAACTTTAGCATTTAGATCTCCCATCAGGATGGTGAGGTCCTTTCGTGAGCACTTCTCTATAATTGATTGCAGCCTTTCATAGAACTGATCTTTATCATCGTCGTTGCTATCATTAGTGGGTGCATAACATTGGATAACGCTCATTGTGATCCCCTCCTTCTTTGTTCTGAATGATGCTTTGATTATCCTGGGTCCATGAGATTCCCATCCCACAAGTGCATTTTGTGCTTCTTTGGACAGTATTAGAGCAACTCCCTGAGTGTGTGGAGCATTTTCCCCTTCGTGACCGGAGTACAGCAGCATCTCTCCTGTACCTAGCCTTTTTTGTCCAGTTTGTGTCCAATGGGTTTCGCTGATTCCGAGTACTGCCACGTTGTATCTCCTCATTTCCATTGCTATTTGGCTGGTCTTTCCTGTCTCCCACATTGTCCGGACGTTCCATGTACCTATAAAGAGTGTTGCTCTGGTTGTTAGAAGGTGCATCGGTCTCGTGACTTCCGAAGAATTTCGGCTTTCATCATGAGACGTCATAATTATTCCTTCAACTCCCAGAGCAGAGTTTAAATGGTTTGAATTATTTTTTCTGGTTAGCGTTTTTTTTAGCGAGTTAGCTTTTCTACGGGATGGGGTCGCCAGCTCCATGCCCAACCCTCCTCCTTTACCCGGACTTCGGACCGGCAGTAACTCTAGAAGAGCTACAGGCGGAGTTATATATATACATATATATATATATATATATATATATATATATATATATATATCACACGCTAATACCAAAACTCGAGAGACAAATCGAAATTATCTTCTGCATCAAAGTGCAGACATCGGGGAAGGAGAGTTCAAATGCTAAAAATAGTCTCGTAAAAGTGAAATATTCTTAATTCAATGACAGCATCTATAAAAACGACCGTTTAGCGACCTCAGACTCCTTAAGCAGGACAGGAAACCTAGTAATTACGGCATAGGCCAATCCAAAGACATTAAGGAACAAATTCTCTTGGTATTGTTTGCTTGTATCTTCCCATTGTTGTTTAGGACTGAAATTGATCCATCTCTTATTGGCATATGTACATTCAGTGCGGATTGCCTAGATATTGCCTTAAGTCACAAGCTTTATAGGCAGCCCTAAAGAACAATGGGAAGATACAAGCAAACAATACCAAATGAATTTAAGCTTTACCTCATTGCATAAGTAGGCGACTATCAGGACTCAGTAGCCAAGTGAATAATGTGATGGCGTTTCAAGCGAACGGTACTGGGTTTGAGTCCCAGAGTGAACATCAACTATGGGATGCAGGTACATCCATCCGACGAGTCCTAAATAGGACGAAACGCGCGTCCTGGATCCCACTGCGCGCCACTATCCATCTCTGCATATTAAGGAACAAATGCTTTAAATATCCTTAACTATTTAACCAACATAGTGGAGTCTGCATTGAGGTTTTGATTAGTTAAGAACAAAAGGAAAATGGTGGAAACCCAGGTTACTAATACCCTAAAAATGTGATAGTGAAATTGACGGTAACAATTAATAAACTTACCATTTATTAACTTGGGATTATCGAAAAAACGAGATGAGAATCTACTGCGGCACATAGGACATTTTCGTCTGTGGAAGGCACAACCTTTAATGCACAAAAAGCAAAATATATGACCACATGGTAATTGAGCAGGATGAACAAGGTTTTGCAAGCATATGCTGCACTCTAGACTATCAACTGTCATAGAGAGGAAGAAATTCGGAAAGTTGGTATTCAGTAGAGCTACAAAGGAAAATCAGATAGTGAGGTTTTAAACTGAGGTAATCTATGAGGATTTATTTGTTTATGTAAATACAAATATTGGTACAAGAAGGCAACAAATATATATGCCCCACACAAATCATAAGGAAAAGATATATTTGTCTGAAAACCCAAGAAAACTAAATTTCAAGCAAACCAATTAGAAACTGTTCATATTAATGGAAAAATTGGTGGTGAGAACTGTTGAAAAACATATCTATGGTGGTGTGTGTCCCTGACTGGAGTAGTTTCCGAAGCACCGGTCCAAGAACTGGGTGATACAAGTGTTAACCTAGGTGGTATGAGTTCCAAGAAAGTTGACATCGTTCTATGTTGTGCCGATGATAAGGATTCCCAACGTAAATAGATGATGTTGCACCAAATCTTTTTTACTGATGTTTGGTGCACCAATAACTGGTGCAAATTACTAGCAAAGTAGAGGTTTATGGGCCCAACTTTGGAACACGTCGTTTGAGGGTTAGTGATGCTATCTGTTTGGTGAAACCGAGACAGGCGATGCAAAATATCCTAACGAAGAACCCTTACGTACAACACCGGTTATTTCATAAAAAGGTTTCGAAATCAGTTGCTTAACCACATTTATTTGTTTAGATGTACAAAATGGTAGTGAGGTAGCAAATTATATACGCGCTACGAAAAAGGAGTGAAATTGTAAAAATAGGCAAAGGAAAGTGAATATAGTAAAATGAGTATATGGAACAGAATAGGATTGAGCGTATGAGTGGAAATATGATGGGAGAAGCATTCTAGTTAAAAAAAATACAATCAGAAAGGCTTTTTAGTCAAAATGTTTTTTTTTGCCTGTAAGAGGAAGGGAAAAGAAACTTGCACCAGGATCGTCATTGGCTTCTATTCTGAGCCATGTTTGGTAACGTCTCAAGCAACTGTTGATCAGTTTGTAGGACATCAACCAGTCACGAACGACCAAGTTCTATAAACCTTTCATACCATGATACTATATCATACAATGACCACCTCTACGGTCTTAAGCGGTCCCGGCGCCGACATGACGTAGAATTCGTTGGCACAACATAAGCAGTAAGTTTTCAAACCATCTCAGTGGGTTCCGAAATCGTGACATCAAGTGAATTTTTGAGCAAACACACGTCATTGAATATCCGCGCCACTATATTCGGATTGTCAGTGAACATCGGTGATCCTTTGGAGACAACGATGTCCAAACATAAAGAGTTACTTAACACGTCACTGAAGAGAACTTAATGTGGTTTGATCACAATACCTATATCATTCATTAGCGTCTCTAATGCTGATACACGTTTATCCTTGTTTTTACGACGGCAGTAGAGATGTAGAAGAGGTTTGACTTAACTGGGAGACTGGCCGACAAGACTAATAAAGCTCTAATTCATTAGGAAACTGAGCGATCTCTACCTCAGCCACTACAATAAGTAGTCTCCCGAACTACGATTATTTATTAAATGTTAAAAACACTGCTTATAAAATGAGTGCAAAGTATTTTGACTTCCGAGGCGAAACATGACTACGGACAAAGTGGCACGGTTTGGTAATAACGACGGCAAACAGAACGTGAATACACAAAAAAACATATTCAGAAAGCAAGTGGAACTTTAAATTCTATGGTCTGATAAGCAAATATTATGTTATAGTAAACTGATGAAGGAGCTAAAACTAGTAGGAAAGAAATAGCAACGACATACAAACCCCTCTACCTGGATATTTAAATAGTTCAAGCGGTTCGTAGTGGGCGCCGCTGTTTAGCCTAATTGTAAATTTTCAAAAGATTTTCCGAAGAAAATGCAAAATTCTTCATTGTTATTCTATCCTGTTTATTATTTTATGAATTTCATGATTATTGTTTAAGTGTACTGTTTTCCAATGGCAGCTCTTGCGCTAATGTAAGTTGGTTGTATACCTCATTTTCTGTTTTATTCAAAAAAATACGATAAAATTTTCAAACCTTTTAAAAGCATGTAGTCCATATTAAAGCAAACGTGGTTGGTGCAGTTTCTTTTTGTCATACCAAGCGTTTTTATCGGTCCATAAGTTTGTTTGAGTTTAATTTCGTGTTTTATTGACTTGTATAGTCTGGACAGTACATGTTTTTTTAAAATAAAACACTACAACTTTTAGTATGGCACTTTTACCGTTATTCAGAGAGATCGGTTTTACTGACTTTATAGGTTACTCTGGTATTCGGCCAGTTTCGGGGTTGTATCAGTCCTCACTAACAAGGACAGTAAATCAGCTGACCTGTGCCAATGCTTAGAGCAAGTATTTGTAAGTGTTGACTCAAAGCGATGGCGTAGCTATTAGTGGGGTTTCCTGATTATTGATAACAAGATTCCACTCTTCGTTCGTGGTTATAAAACATTTTCGTGATAAAGATGACTATACTTGAAGGGTTGAGGAAAATTATGAGGTTAGGATCTCAAAATAACACTGCACTCAAGATCATATAAGTGTTTAAAACCAACTGTGTGCATCACTGCGACTGTCTCTTAGTTGTCATTTAACATCAACCAGGATGTCTGACCACATGATGTGACTTATCGAGAACATGTTCTATTACTGATTATAAGTCACGTTTTTGTCTACGGAGACTATGGACTTTGCTCGAACTCCCATATCAATATGAATAGATGAACTATTTCAACATTTCCTTTTTTTGGGTTTTAATGTTTAGTAGAAATAATCTATCCTTAATTATCCAATCCGGAGTAATGCTTAGTATACAACGATACGTGTCCGAATGGCAAATTGTTTATGTAACTAGGTGGCTTGTTAACTGACCACTTTTTTCACCTGGCCTCGGTATATAGTGCTATGTGTGGAAGCCACTTCGGTGACGTTCGTAACGTTCAAATCACCGTAGCATGTTCCAGTTTAGTGATACAAACTGATCTATTGTCATCTCGCGAACACATGATCAGACCTCTTCATTTATTTATTATTTATTTATTTGAACACAAATATTGGTAATAGGGAGCACCAGATATATATGCATTACACAAAAAATTGTTATTTAATTGTGTGAGGGCTGTGTTACTGCCCGGGTGACCAGACCGAAGCAGGTGGTTATCTTAGGGGGCCTCACCCTGGGCCTTTGACCTAAAAGTCTGATCCAAAAGGCAGTGGAGCAACGTCAGGAAATGCAGTTGCATGGTAGCCGGTGACCAATAATTAGTACATACGCTATTTGATCCTTCAGGATCCTGGAGCCCATGTACACCATTAGTTTGGAATCGGGGTTTTCCAACTCCCATAGGTGAAATTTCCGTGTCCACCAACCCGGTTAAAGTGCCGAACATTCGCTTTTCGTCCTTTCAATTTCGTAAACAACACCGCCTCGAGGAGGCAGTGAGTAGGACTTTCCTATCAGTGGCTGTATACGCGTGGGCATGTGAGAGCATTTCGAGGTAGGGCGGGCCCTCCCCACTGGGCGGTACCAGGGCATTACTAGTTGTCACTGAATGTCAACAACCCTTTAGAGAAAACGACGATCAAACACAGAGTTGTCTGACACCCCCGTTCCAAGTTTTTATTTTATATAAACACATAAATATTGGTACAAGAACCGGGTAAATATGCGCCTCACAAATCTCATTCGATTTGTGTGTGGGCCGTGATACTGCCCAGGTGCCCAGGCTGAAGCAGGTGGTTTTCTTAGAGGGCCACACCCTGGGCCTTTGACCTAAAGGTTTATTCCAGAAGGCAGTGGAGCATCGTGAGGAGATGCAGTCGCATGGTAGCCGGTGACCAATAGTTGGTCCATACGCCATTCGTTCCTTCAGGATCCTGGAGCCCATGTGCACCATTAGTTTGGAATCAGGGTTTTCCAACTCCCCTAGGTGGATCCTCCACATCCACCAACCCGGTTAAAGCGGCGGACATTCGCTTTTCGTCCTCTCACTTTCGTGAACAACACCCCCACCACGAGAAGGCAGTGAGTAGGACTTCCCTGTCAGAGGCTATATATTCGCTTGGCCATATGAGAGCATTTCGAGAGGGAGAGGTGACTCTCCCCACTCTCGGCCGTACCAGGGCATTTGGGGACCAAGTAGGTCATATTTTACAAGCATGAAACAAAACTTTTCTCATTGACATATTCTATACCCAACCCTTAACATCCAAATTAATATCAGCCATAGATGGCTGAAAGTTTATTCTCATCTGGGTTTCCAAAACGTCGTCGATGGTGAAGTTATGGTTCTATCAGACAGAATGAAACAATAGAGAAATGTGTTTGTGTACAGAATCTTTAAAATGCTAGCAAACTTCGCAAACACCCTTTAACATACAATTCCAAAGCACGGTTCTATCCAACTAATAGAAGTTGATTCTGATATCAAGAATCAACCATTACTGGCTTGCAAGAGGTGTGGCGTCTTAACATTCTGTGAAAAGTGTAGATGTGACTGCTACGTTCATTTGATCAGAAACCAGTATGCAAAATGTCATGTGATTAAGATAATAATGTTTCGCCCGTTTTGCAACTCTACGTCTTAGCTACTTCATAAAAACTAAAACTTCTGGTTTCCCCATTGATGGTGCATTACATATTTCCAATTACCAATTGTTAGATTCTTTTTATTAGTTGCTCATTGTTAATGACTTTATATCTAATTAAATCCAGTGTTGTTGGTAGTCTTATAACTTACACCTGACCGTCCTGTCTTTAATGTAGTCCTTGAAAGTAGGAAGTGTTGCTGACTAATATTTGACCGTATCGTCATGACATCGCTTGCAAATGGCGAAACAGTCAGTCAACATTGCTTAGTTTAGGCCAAAAGTCGAGTACCTTTCCCGACCGTTGCTGCTACCTTGACGTGGTGGTCGGGCTTGCCTATCGTGATGAAGCATTCGAGCTATGCTGGCTGGAACAATCGTTCCTCGAGGTCCTACCATGCCAGACAGGTCGGTTGAAGAGCGGTGAGACTAAAAGCAGCAAACCCAAGGTCCGAAGGCGAAGTCGTACTGTCGACTGTACAGAGGTGTGACGGCAGTAAGGTGTTTCCTTCAGACAACCAGCATGACAGCGATGCTGCCTTCCCACAAGGAGGGGTGGGGTTAGAAAAGGTCGACCCTAAAAATGCACACCTCGCCTTATCCCACAAGTATCCGTCTCCGGCGGCAAGGTTTTTTTTTGAAGAACGGAGCTAACACAAAAAGGTCGTGTGTGACCGACCTCAAGCTGTTGTTTCTTTTGAGAACTGCGGTCACGCTCTCAGGTCATTAAGACCACTTCTAACCCAATTTCCTTTTCAGGTACCCCCAGAAGAACCCTTCCACGGTGTGGGAAACCGGGAAGTGATAACTGCCCTCGTACCTCTAACAGCACTCAAGACCACTGTATCCATAATCAATCTCCAATTCCTACTATTCCTTCTACCTTGACTTTCAACACTAAACTTCCTGTTCCGGTTTCCTCAAGTTTCACCATGGCCAACGATTCTAGTGCGCGAAACGCTGTCCCAGTTTTACTAAAACCTCGCTCCAAACTACGCGTTGGAGCCTTCAACGTACGTACCCTATGCCAAATCGGTCAACAGGCCTCCTTAGCTAAAACTCTAGAATCTCGTACCATTGATGTATGCTGTGTCTCCGAAACACGCACACAGGATCCCAGTGTGGTCATTCACTTGACCTCACCTCGCCAAAATGGACAGTCGACGAAATACACCCTCCGTGTATCTGGCGACCCGTTGGCTAGTTCTCGCGGACTTGCAGGTGTAGGCATAGCACTAAGTACAAGGGCAGAACAGGCACTACTAGAATGGATCCCCGTTAACAGTCGCCTGTGTGCTGTCCGGCTAAATGGCTCCGTAAGAACTCGGAAGGATAGGGACACACGTCGTTGCCTTTTCGTCGTTTCTGCCTACGCTCCCACTGACTGCAGCCATGATGAAGTAAAAGATGACTTTTACAGAAAACTCTCTGAGCTTCTTCAGAAAGCTAAGCGCTCAGACATAGTAGTCGTAGCGGGTGACTTTAATGCCCAGGTAGGCAGCTTAAATCAAACAGAAAGACATTTAGGTGGGTGTTTTAGTATTCCGGCTCAACGAACCGATAATGGTGCTCGTCTGTTGCAACTATGCTCAGACAATCGTTTATTTTTAGCAAGCACTAATTTTAAACATAAGGAGAGACATCGTCTAACATGGCGACCACCTGCACCAAACCAACGATGGACTCAAATAGACCATATTGTCATCAGTCATCGTTGGAGAGGCTCAATAGAAGATTGTCGCTCGTATTGGAATACTTGTTTAGACTCTGATCACGCTTTAATACGAGCGCGCATTTGTCTGCGCCTCAATGGACGCAGGAAAAGTTCACTAAGAAGACCCATTAGGATTAAACTGGAGGACGAGAAAGCCAAATGCGAATTCCAGAAACAACTGAGTTCACATCTAGGCAGTTGTGTAAACAAGACTGACACAGATGCTGCTTGGAAAGATAAACGAACAGCTGTGGAAACAGCAGTTACATCTATTAGTCATTTAAACCATAGGGCTCCAAAAAACCAGTGGATTTCTTCTAAGTCTATTTCACTGATGGATTCGCGTGAACTCATCCCATCAGGCTCTGAACATGACGAAGAGCGTAAAGAAATTAGATCTAGGTTAACTAAAAGTCTAAGGAACGATCGTGAGCAGTGGTGGGCAACGAAAGCAAAATAGATAGAAAAGGCAGCGGCTGTAGGGAACACCAGGCAACTATTCAGACTAATAAAAGAAACCGGAACTAAGAAGTCAAGTGTAAGTGAGACAATCTCAGAAAAAGACGGAACCCTTATCTGCTCTCAACCCAAACGTTTAGAACGATGGGCGGAACACTTTAAGGAGCAGTTTAGCTGGCCTTCAGCTACTGCACAACAACCCACTATTCCTAGAAAACCTGAATGGAACATTGAAGTAGGCCCCCCGACCCTACTTGAAGTTCAAAAGGCTATAGGTAATCTGAAACGAGGAAGAGCAGCTGGCCGAGATGGATTGGCTCCAGAGGTCTTTAAATATGGTGGTCCGATTTTAGCGATTAGGTTGACTAATATTCTGGCTAAAATCTGGGAGACGGATGTAATCCCATCCGACTGGTCACAATCACTAATTGTCCCAATATATAAAAAGGGGTCAAAATCATCCTGCGATAACCATAGAGGGATTAGTCTGACTAACATAGCATCTAAAATACTAGCCTCAATAATTATCAGGCGCCTAACTAAGACTCGTGAACTCCAAACACGAGAAAATCAAGCTGGCTTCAGACCTGGTCGTGGCTGTATCGACCACATATTCACCATTCGTCAAGTTTTAGAGCACAGACACGCTTATCGGCGTCCGACAATGATAGTTTTTCTTGACTTGAAAGCAGCTATTGACTCTGTGGACCGACAGGTTCTGTGGCAGTGTCTGTCATTGAAAGGTGTACCTGAGAAGTACATAAACCTTGTGAAGGCTCTTTACTCGAACACTACCAGTCGAGTGAGAGCTTATGGCGAACTGTCATATGATTTTACAACCTCAAGTTATGTCCGTCAAGGCTGTCCACTATCCCCATTTTTGTTTAACTTCATTATAGACCTGTTGCTGGAAATAACACTCTCGTCGACTGAATTTACAGGAATTGATCTCCTACCAGGGGGACCACTAAGCGACTTAGAATACGCAGATGACATAGTCCTGTTTGGTGAAGACGCTGACAAAATGCAGAGTCTTCTGTTGGAACTCAGTAATAATGCCAGGATGTTTGGAATGCGATTCTCCCCATCCAAATGTAAATTGTTACTCCAGGACTGGCCTGCGTCAACACCTGAACTAAGGATAGGGAGTGAAGTAGTCGAACGCGTCGACAACTTCACTTATCTTGGAAGTCTGATCAGCCGTGATGGGTTGGTGTCTGACGAAATCTCAGCACGGATTCGAAAAGCTCGTTTGGCTTTTGCCAACTTACATCACCTATGGCAAAGGCGAGATATCAGTCTATTAATTAAAGGACGAGTATACTGCGCATCAGTTCGCTCTGTTCTACTTTACGGTTGTGAAACATGGCCATTAAGAGTAGAAGATACTCGTAGGTTACTAGTATTTGACCACAGATGACTTAGAAATATTGCTCGCATCTTCTGGGATCACCGGGTAAGTAATAGTGAGGTTAGACTCAGGGTATTAGGGAACGATGGTAAATCAGTTGATGAGGTCATGAATCTTCATCGACTGAGATGGTTGGGCCTCGTGTTATGTATGCCTGAACACCGATTACCACGACGCGCTATGATGACTAGTACTGGGGATTGTTGGAAGAGAGTTAGGAGCGGCCAAACCAAAACATGGCATCAGTGTTTGAAGTCACTAACTTCTAGTCTGAGCCATGTTGGCAGATGCAGACTACCTGGTTGGGGTCCGCGTGACTATCGTAACCAGTGGTTGGAGACTCTAGGTGACATGGCTCAGAATCGATCACAACGGAGTAGGTGTATACACTCTTTATCTTCCTTTAAACCTTGAGACTAAAATTGCTTCATATCTCTCTTCCTTCCTATACTATATCCTTATATACAACCTATAATTTATGTACTACTACCACCACTAAATTAATTACTTCTGTGAATTTGGTATTCATCTGGCTGTGCTAACGAGGTATGGCAACTTGGATCGATGCATAAATGTGCCTGGTCCTACGTTGTAACTGACTGACTGACTGCCTTGTCCGCCGAAATATGGAGAATTGGTTGATGTCCGCCTGTTGAGATCCCTCGCATATTAGTGGCTCCAATAACCGTCTACCTCCACTGCCAATTCTGCCTAGCGTAGGGGTAACTTGAAAATATTTACGAGCGACCAAACTCTTCTTCCAGATCTTGTGTTTCACTATTAATTGATACTTTTTATGCCGTTACTTTATTCCTGGAACCATATTACCAGTCTTGCTATCACTGACACTATTATTTTAACTCTTGCTACTCTCTTTGTCGACTTCACCTCACTGTTTTGAAATGGTGTAACTCATTGAACCGAATCACACTTATTTCATATCCTACGTTTTAATAAAGGTAACTTATTATTATAACTTACTCTGTGTAGTGCTTCTACGACATATAGGATATGTTTCTGGGGCTTCATGTGTTTCCATTTTGTTTTAGAGTATGAATTGATCTCAAGAATGGATTACTCCAAACTTAGTAGCTATCGACACGCCGATCCTTTAAAAGTACGTCAAGTTTGGGATGCTTTCGGTGTACTTAAATCCAACCGACTAGCAGTACCAGCAGACAAAATTAGCAAAATTCTTCGCAAGACATTAAATCTCAAAGACGACCAGATAAGGTTACTCCTTGATGAAATTGAAGGTGATGGATTAATTGAAAAAATAGAGCCTCCGTTCGGTAAAAATGGTATGGTTCGTTACCAGCTTCCTGACTTTTCGAAACAGCATCCTAGAGGCAAACATGATTGGTATTGCTTTCAGTGTCATAGACCGGGTGAAGTTTTACGCTGTCTCGATTGTTTCCGTGTATATCATTCTGATTGTGTTCAAGAAGCATCTGGTCCTAATAGTCCATCAAGAAAGTCTATGCGTTCACCGACTCTTCATGATGGACAGGAAGATAATTTTACTTGTCCTGTATGCGAATCTCGACCAAAATGTGAATTCTCCCGCAAACAGATAAGGAAGCTATTGGAATTTGCAACCCATCAATTGAGGAAGCAGCCATTGTGGAAAACATTTATTCAAGTTGGTTATAAAGGTGAAATAACAAAAAATGAGTACCTTGTGTATAAGTACACTGATCTAGAGTTATTGCAACGCAAGATAAAAGATGGTCGGTATGCCGCTCTAGAGGAATTTTCTATGGATGTACAATTGCTTGTTCATGATGTCTGCATTCTTCATGGCCCTTATAGTAATCAGGCCGATGAGATACGATTTTTCTTTCGATCTGTTAATGCAGAATTAAATGAAATTCAACTGTGTACTGACTGTTATATCAATGCTAAGGCTCGTGTTACAGACTGGATCAGTAAACCCTGCAAACCACGTCATGAACTGATATGGGCACGCAATCGCACATCAGCAGGCGCTGGCCTGTTTAACGATACTTCAGTCTCTCAGTTCTATTGGCCTGCAAAAGTTTTGTTGGAGCGCGATGATGGATATGAGGTAAGTTATTTTATTATCATGAATGTTTTCTAGCTAATACGTAATCGCTACTAATAGCTTAGGGAACAGTGCTTAATAATTACAAGCTAGACCGATACTTGAACTTACGTTACGTTTCATTAGAATGTGGTTAAGGTTAGATTCCTGACTAGTTTATTTATCTTCTATATAATACACGTTGCTTGACCTAGCACATGTATTCGAAGTTTCTATGAAATAAATCGACCTTTATCTGTTTCAAGAAATTTACTTTCAGAATATGCATGCTCAACAAATAAGTATACATAGTGATATTTCAGTCCCATGTAACAACACCATGGCTTAGACAATTTGAGTTTATTTGATGCATAATTTGTTGTTTTCAGGTGAGTCACTCTATTTGTGGATACACAAAGTTGATTTTGTTAATCATTTTATTTTACAATTGTACAGTAGCAAATCTCAAAGTTGTCTTTAGTTTTGGGGCTCTTTAAGTTAGGTTTATTCACTTCGGACTGGTATAGTGAATTTTGGATTTAATTTTATAAATTTTATCGTTTTGTTTTTTAATGTGCGTTCTAGATACGCTTCTTTGGAGGCTCCCATGAGCGGATGTTCGTAAAGAAAGCCCATACTCGTGCTTTTCACCTCCCAGCTGATGAAGTTGGTGTACTTCGACGTTCAAACGCGACGGGTGTGATCTCAGGTGGAGGATTTGAACGAGCTTGGAATGAAGTTAGTAAATTACAAGCTAACATCGATAGTGGATATTACACGCATTCTTCTGGTGAAAGCGATCTTCCGCCATCTGATGATGATTACTCAGATGAAATGTATCTTGGTCCGCGGCGTAAAACCCTCATCCAGAACCAACGTTCACATCGTGCAGATAGTCCTAGATCGTCTCTTACTTCTGGCAATACCAAGGCTAATAAGAGAAGGTAATAAAACTACATTTTCTCACGTGCTATATATGTCTTTTACATGACACTAACTGGTTCTCTTGTGTAGCTGGTACTACTGTATTACTCTTCCCGGTCATTCGCCATATCATATAGACTTTTTCCAGGTGTTTTTGAATTCTCTGTAACATTTTCTTTGTTGCCTTCTATGTAAGCTGGGCTAGTTATATTTGGTTGACTGTGCCAGTCGATTAATACTATGACTTAACTTCATCGATCCTATTGTTCAATTCTACTACTTTTTCTCCTGTTATGACTCTCCTATCTATTTAAATATAATCATCTAACCGAATTTTATCCGCAGTTGCTAGGATAGAGATCGAACTCAAAGTGTAATGTCAGTCTATTACATCATAGTTGGTTCAAAACTTGCTGGTGTCAGGTTACGTTTTCTCCAAACCAGATTTGAGTTTCTTACTCATATCTACTTACCTAGCCAAGAAGATCATTACTTGTTACAGTAATTGGTGTGTTAGAACAGACCGTAGATGTAAAGTTGTGGTTTTTGCTACTTCATAATAGATGTTTATGAATTCAAAGTATTGTAAAACACTTGTTTCCATTCTTTTTCTTTCCACATTGGTTTCAAATTTTAGTTTTGCTCGTAACTTTATATTCACCTCACATATGAAGTATTCCTAAATGGGATTTTGTAAATCCGCCCAAGTAAACGAATAAATATGTTTACACTTGGAAGCTGCTGACGACAGTTTAAAGTTATGCATACCCATATCACCTTTATTAAGTACAGCTATACTTCATTTTTTGCCCGTGGTAGTAATACTACCCAGCTGCTTAAATAAACCAGACTGTGTTGGGTTTTAAGGTGTGACTTGGTGATTCCATGCTAACTTTTAACTTCGAACTGCTCATCACTGTACTAATATTAATATTTATTGGTATTTACACATATATGTTGAAAGATATTTTTGATTTTGTTAGAAATTAATCAAATATTAGGAGGTCCTGTGCTCTTCACATTTCGATTTTTCAACAGTTTTTCGTTTAATTTGGAAGGTGACCAATTTTGAAGTCTTAATTGTCTTTTTTATTTTCTATACAGGCGTCACACTTCTTCAAGCAGTCATCAAACAACTACTAGTGATACTCCTACTGGTGGCTCACCCGCTCGTGATGCCTCACCATGTACTCATGGTGGCAAGCACTTCAGAACTCATGGTCTTTTGCTTAATTCGCACACCGATCCTACTGACAAAAGATTGGCGAGTAATCGTCTTCCAATGCCGGTTGTTCAACCCGGTACTCCAGGCGCTGCAGCTATATCCGCTTTAGCAGAGACAAAAGCAGCTATGGCAGCTGCAGTTGGGTCTGGTCGCAGGCCCGCTGGATCATTTACTGCTGACCTCTTATCTTTAACCCGTCGTAATCATGATAAACCCTATCGAAAACAATCAAAAGAAAATCATCCAAACGTTCCTATTCGTGGTCAACGGGGTCGAGGGAGACCCCCTCTTCGAGATAGCAAAGGAAGACCTATTCGGCGGCGCAAATATCGAAGTTCGTCCTCATCACCCCATTCTTCAGATAGCCCATCTTCGTCTGTTTCATCAGGTTCTTTGTCAGAAGTAGATGTTCCTCGCACCGCAAATAATGGTTCTCAAAACAACTGGTGTTCCAATGTGAGTACTTTTTCTTATTATGTTGTTTTTATAATTTGCCAAATGTAATTTTAATTAGTCGAGGCATATTCATTCTCCAGGAATCTAAATTACTTATTATTCTGATATCATTTGATGTTTAAGGCCTACCAAATTATGTCATAAGTTAATTAGCATTGTACAAGCTTTCTGTTGAATGTAACTAATGGTATTCACAAAGATATGTATTAATGAAAAATTCGCGTTCATATTTTGAGAGATAAAAAAATGTATGTCAATATTTAAAAGTAGTTGTTTCTTTCTTGATAGTAAAAGAATAATTTCCTGTTAGTAAAATAAATCTGATTAAATTCTCTGTTGAAGGTTTTGGTTATATTTTTATTCGTTCTCTATTTACTAACAGTTTAGAATTGAAAGTACACATAGTTTAAATTGAAAAATTGTAGAATTATAGTGCTAAGCATCTCACTTTACTAGATCTCTATTATTGATTTAAATAGGTTACTTGAAAACTTTGTAGGCCTGTTTGCAACCGTGTTCGTCATCATACTTATTTTATACAGGCTATCTAAATGAATGAACATTGTAGTCATAATATCCTTACTTATTATGAGTAAAATATAGTATTATCTGTAATACTCAGATAAAAATTTATTTATAAGATTTCAGTGCACGTATTTATCTGATATAGGCATTCCATTAATGTCATTAGTTTTTAACTCCCATTCAGCAAAAAAAGGTATATAAACATATCAACTTAAAGCCCGACAAAAATGCACATACATGCAACTTGTTATATTTCAAAGCAGCATGAAAAGAGGACAAATTGAATAATATCAAAACCAATGAAATACGTCGAAGTGAGGAAATAAATAACAATATGATAATCAGAGCTCTAAAGATAAGGTTTGTTAGAGAGGGAAGACTTAGGCCCTTGAGTTATTAAAAACCAAAGACAAACCACTAGCCAGATCAGTAGTTTTCCATATAATAAATAACACATATACGAAATATAAATACGAAGTAAATATGATGAAATATCGTAGGTGATTGTAGGAAATCAGCTTGTAGGTCACTCATTTTCCAATCAATCAAGACCTGACTGTGAATTCTAATCTTTTAGCATCATATCGCGGTCAAAAATATCTGTCATGTTGTAAGCCATATAGTCGTTATGTTGATCTCATCCAGAACGTCATCGTTTGTTCACACAGATCAACAGTTAGTGTATTAATGGACTAATACCGCATCACTTATCTTGGAAGTGTGATCACCCCTAATGGGTTGGGGTCTGACGAAATCTCTGCGTGGATTCAAACATCTCGTTTGGCTTTTGCCAACTTACATCACCTATGGCAAAGGCGAGATATCAGTCTATTAATTAAAGGACGAGTATACTGCGCATCAGTTCGCTCTGTTCTACTTTACAGTTGTGAAACATGGCCATTAAGAGTAGAAGATACTCGTAGGTTACTAGTATTTGACCACAGATGACTTAGAAATATTGCTCGCATCTTCTGGGATCACCGGGTAAGTAATAGTGAGGTTAGACTCAGGGTATTAGGGAACGATGGTAAATCAGTTGATGAGGTCATGAATCTTCATCGACTGAGATGGTTGGGCCTCGTGTTATGTATGCCTGAACACCGATTACCACGACGCGCTATGATGACTAGTACTGGGGATTGTTGGAAGAGAGTTAGGGGCGGCCAAACCAAAACATGGCATCAGTGTTTGAAGTCACTAACTTCTAGTCTGAGCCATGTTGGCAGATGCAGACTACCTGGTTGGGGTCCGCGTGACTATCGTAACCAGTGGTTGGAGACTCTAGGTGACATGGCTCAGAATCGATCACAACGGAGTAGGTGTATACACTCTTTATCTTCCCTTAAACCGTGAGATTAAAATTACTTTATACCTTTCCATGAACAAATTCTTTCTCCTTGTGTCATATCCTCATATGCAATATTCATTTTTATATATTACTACCACTGAAGTGACTACTTCTATGAATTTGGTATTCATCTGGCTGTGATAACGAGGTATGGCAACTTGGACCGATGCATATAAGTGTATGATCCTATGTTGTAGCTGATTGATATACGCACAGGTTCTCCGATGTGACTGACTGACAAACACTAAGGAATGTCTGGAAATATTTCCACATGCCCGAACCTCTACTTGCTCTTTGAAGTTGTGTACTTCAGAGGCTGTTTCTGTAACCTTAATCTTACATAATATAACCTGACAGTTTTTGCTCGACGCACTAACATGGTATCAGTATTTGCTTCCCTTTTTACTACCCCTCTAATCGATCTTACATTTATGGGAACCAGCATTCAGCGAGGGTTGTCCGACTGTCACCATGATATACATCTTAACCAGCATGAGTAGGTAGGAGCTGTCTACTCCAACTCGTTCTGTATTCCTTGCTATAACCTTGACTTAAATAATCGGATATCTTCGCTTAAAAAATGCATACTTTTGTATAATATTTTGTCCGTTATTCATTTCCGTAACATTTCCTATGAATAATTATTTATTCTCGCTATTCGTTGCATGACTAAATCAGATATTTCTATTTGAAGTTCCTAATAAACTGGTTTCACTGGAAACTGTTAAATATGTTGTTCTCTTTACAATACGGCTTGATTAAGATTCCTTTATTTGGTTTTTCTCACTAGTCCTCTACTGATTGGAAAGTTAATAAGACTGAAATGCCACGTCGTGGACGTCCGCCTAAATCTAGAGGTCGTGTAAAAGCTGGTAAGCTTTTTTGCATAATTTGATTCATATTTGTCTTGGTGACAAAAGTTGTGAGAACTCTCTAATTGATTTAAAATTACTTCTCATAAACTGGCATTTAATGAAATAACCAAAAATCCTAGATATCATTCATCTATCTTAACTTAAAATGTATCATAAATTGCTTTAACCGTTATCTTCAGATCAGACAATTCAGCGACAGTTTCCATAATATTTTCCCTTTGAAAACAGTTTAATCTGTGTTTAACAGGAGCCGTCCAGTTCCCTATGGTTTTTGATATTTTTCCAAATGGTTTCAATTCAGTGGAATATATTCAGATATTATTGTACCCAGTGTGCTTCCGGTGAACATGCTAAATAAACAGTCTTCCGGACTTTCATTTTGTTCTTACCAGGCATACTACTTACTTTCTTGGTGGTTATGTGGCGTTTTTTAGCACTCAGTTTTTAAATAAACTAAATATCAGAAGCGTACTTTCAATCATTAAAAAGTACAGCATTGTCGTTTTACCACTTAATTTTCATGTTTTCAAAGCTTAAATGACGTGCTTCATTATGGTTCCGACAGCTAAGTAGTGTATTCAACCGTAATGCTTGCTTAACTTTCAGATGTCCACCACTATTCAACGTTCTATCAAGACTAATAATTAACAAATGGGGAAAGGTATGAACAGTCTGAAAAAAGGAATAGCTTCAGTTCTTGCGATGGCTTGGTATTTAGAATGCCTATACCGAGCGGTACTCGTCAAAACTGTCCACATTCTTGGTTTCTAATCGTCTTTGTCATTGATACACTTATGCCTGTTACCCTTTGTGGTGAAGCATAGGCCTCCCACGAACACTCCTAAGCAATCCTTTTCATGTTTGCTTTCAATTCTCGGCGCAGTGTGTTCTTCGGCCTTCCTCTTTTCTATTTCCCTTCATGATTCCGAGTTAGGGCTTGCCTAGTGATGCAGTTTGTGATTTCCGTATGGTATGTGCTATCCACTTCCAACGTCTTTTCCTAATTCCCTCTTTAGCTGAAAGCTGGTTTGTCCTCTCCTGCAGTAGGTTGTTGCTAATAGTATCCGGCCAACAAATATTCAGTGTTTTGCGTAGACAACTGTTTATAAATATCTGTATCTTTTTGTCGACGGTTGTAGTAGTTCTCTACGTTTCAGCTTCGTACAGTAGGACTGTCTTGACGTTCGTATTGAAGATTCTCACTTTGATATTGGTTGGTAGTTGTTTTGAGTCCCATATGCTTTTCAATTGTAGGAATGCGGTCCTTGCTTTACCAACCCTCGCCTTTACATTTGCATCAGATCCTCCTTGTTCATCAATGATGCTCCCTAGGTACGTGAAAGATTACACATCTTCCAGAGTTTCTCCGTCAAGTGTGATTGCATTGGTGTTCTCTGTGTGTATATTGAAGTTTACTGATGCACAGGCTGCTGCTACACTAGTTGTCTTCATTTGCATTTGTTCGTGTGTATGGGATAGGAGGTTCTAGGTCATCTGCGAAATCCAAATCTAAGTGATCCAGTGATGTCCACTGTATTTCGTGTTTCTTCTCAGATATGGTCTCCATAATCCAGTCGACCACCAGAAGAATGTGGGAGGGGGGGTAGACAGCCTTGTCTGACTCCTGTCCTTACTTGAGATGCAGCTGTCCGCCATGCACGACTTAGCACTGTGGTCCATCGTATGAATTCCGGATGATGTTGACGATCTACTCAGGTACACCATAGTATCAAAGACGCTTCCATAAGGTCCTCCTGTTCACATTGTCAAACGCCTCATACTCAATGAGGTTGATGTATAGTGACGAGTTCCATTCAACTGGTTGTTTGACGGTGACCCGTATTATCGTGATATATATATATATATATATATATATATATATATATATATATATATATAGGTACGAGCGAGCGAATGAGTCATAGGACGATTTAAGTAACACTTAAGTTTGTATGAGGAATATATGTGGGTTGTAACGCGACAAAGCACATATGATCATCAAAGGATGTAGATAATAACCTAAAGGCATAAACAAACTGTTATCGACACAGATGACACTGTCTACTGAATAAGTTAACCACGTAAATTATACTATGTTAATGACCTTCGGCCAGTTATCAGCTAATCAGGAGACTGTCTAGTTATAAAACAATTAACACTTAAAAGTAATAGAACAGTGATATAATAGTTTTGACCTACCTAATCAACCCTCACATGTCAAGTTACCCTTGTAGTTAAGGGAAAAGACCGAGTTTACATTATAGGAGTTGGGCTAGTGTTGTGAATTAAGACCATCATACCATGGAGTTTTCATTACCAACTGACGTCAGTCTTAATGCTATGTTTTGCCACTCTTCCGTTTACAAACTTAAGATTTAAAGTAAGAGTTAGAAAGGGAGAATATTACCTAGTTTCACCAAACCCTTGACTTTAAACGTGTACAAACTCAGGTATAGTTGGCTTTATAATATATATAAAGCTTATTCGTATCCTTACATCAACTCACAAAATTATTGAAGCTTAACCGTGAATTTTCTTTTTTTAGGCTTCGATGATATAAAATAAGTTCATTTTTGAGAACTTAAATTTCCAAGTATCATATTTATCATTATTACTGTAGATTCATTTGCTTTTTATTTCACTCTTCGACATTGTATATTTAACCGATATTTTTCTCGAATCTATCTACTTTTATCAATTCAAAATAATCCACTATTCTGTTTGGTGTATAAGTCAGTCTGGTTTACTTTCGTCTCTAAATCTTAGAGTTACTTGGAGAAATTATACAAAATAATTAAGTATACGCAAGATTAGATTTTTTCTGTACACATCCTTTCACGTTAACTAAATTCAACCTTCATTTTAACTACATTACTAACGTTTCTTCGTAACTTATATAGTTAATGATGTTGCCCGTTCAAGTTGGTGTTCACCGAGAGCTGAAAGTTCAGATGCTGAAGGCAATTCGGAATTGTGGACGAAATTGGGTTCTTCAAGTGTTATAAAACCTGTAAGTGTATCTTTTTTGAGTATGTATGCAAAATTTAGTTGTAAATTCCTCATTCTTTACTATTTAGGCTCATAAACTATTTGCCTTATGATGCCTTAATATACAAGTTATATTATTGTTCAGTCATTTTGTGCAACGTTGATTTTGTACGCACAAACCATTTGTGCATATTTATCCATTTCTTTCTGAGTAGGACAATGTAAGTCTCTAAAATTCTGAGCCTTACGTATAGTCTATTAACGTGAGTATAGTTTTTGGAACAATTGAAACCACTAAATGTTTTCCCTCACTTAAATCGAAATGTCTATGTATATGGTTTTTAGGCTGGTAATAAGCTTCTCAGGTTACAATTTAATAATAATTTAGTTCAGATGTGAATTTCAGGTTTAAAAAAACTTCAACTAGCATTTAGCTGATGAGTTTTACCGAATTCTATCCTAAACAGAAACAGATTGCGTTCTGCACAAATCCTGAAAAACTACGTCCTTACTTTATCTACGAACGAAGAGTCTCCTATAGATTCCACAATACTCGTTGAAGGTTGCTCTATGAGACCATTTATTTGGCTGTAGTACCCACTGTTGGTCTCATCCTCACTGCTAATAGATTTTGTATTGATGATATACAACAAGAGCGAATTCACACTTTGTTTAAATCTTAGATGGCCATCAATACACATCAATAATGAATTAAACTATGATCTTACCGTTCTTTCTATAACCTAGCCTCAATACCTATAACTTTCTAGAATATATCCTAGTCTTTTCATGACCGAATTGTTATTTTCATTATTTTCTGCTGACTAGTCGCTAGCACTCCCTAATTGTTTTCCATTTATTTATTGACTTCAGTTTCAATGTAATTTGACTGGTATTATTAATTTTATTGTATGTCGCAATGTTGTCTTATGTGATGTGGTGACCCAATCATATGCAAATTATAGGAAATCAATGATCGATAACGAGTTATCAATTTCACTAGGCTTCATTGCTGTCAATAATATGCTTAAGCATTACGACTCCACTCGAAGTAAGAAGAATGTGATATAATCTCACATGTATTTTGCCTCTAAAAGCAAAGAATATGAACAAAAATATTTTTGTAGGTTTCGCACAGGTGAATTGACCGCATTTTAATCATATTCTGATTAGTCATACTAAATGGTAGTCATGTCAGTTATAATTAAGATTAGACGACGTTGAACATACTTTGAGATCCTATCCTACCGTTCTGTTTCTTGACTGTTCGACAAATCAAAACAGTTGTAAGTAAAGAAAAATGACAGCTAGCAGTGGGATCCAGAACACATGTTTGTCTTGCTTGAGACTCGTCAGTTGGGCGTGTCTATATCCCAGAGTTGGTGTCCACTCCGGGATCCGAACCCATTACCGTCCACTTCAAACGTCATTACGTTATCCAACACTGTTCCAGCTATTTAAGGGTTGGTCAAGCTTATTTGATGAAGCCTGGTGGCTTTTCTGGAAATAGTTTCTGTTTTTCCAGACTCTCTAACCCACTGCGTGGATGTTTTACCCTGGTGAAATCGGTACCCCCGATTCTTGGCGCACAGGCATCGCACTAGGGGCAAGTGTGCTTTACATACATACGGGTAACATATAAGTTTTGACTTATATATCCCTTGGCATACACAGGTACATTCACTCGGGAGGTTAGATGGTAACCTCTCTGTTCGAACGTATTCGCTACAACTGACTGTCTCTTGAGCATTATATGCATACCAGTGATACAAAGACTTTCGCCCTCGCACTTCATGGCATGCACATAAGCACTCTCGGAGGGTTAATGGTTACCTTTCCCTAATATGTGCAATTGTATCTTTTCATTATGTCTTCGGTCTGTTAGTTTAAGCCACTAATTTTATTAGACTTAAGGCAGACATATAAGTTTATCTTCCTTTTGCAATCCCGGTGTATACCCTCTGCATATACCTACCTACACAACTATACAAACTGAGACTCGTGGAATTCATTTACACAAACACACACCGGGGAGTCAGCAAGATTTGAGGGCCTCGTTTTTTGAACCCCAAGTAATCCATTTTCAGTTTAGGAGTGATAAATCAGTCCGGTCTCTGCTCACTGTCAGAATGAACTAACAGGGTTTCCCCCACTACCCAGCAGCTCTTCTTGGAGGCTTTGAGTCGAATCTCGCGTTATCTAATAGCTAACGCAAATGGACATGAAACAATCCTTAATATTGGATGAGACTTCGGTTAATCACGATTACTCTCCATTACTGTCTGTATGAAAACCAATTACTTACAGTTTAATAGGTGTTACTGTCCTCTGGCCCTCACGAGGAAACTAGTTTGATGTTCTTCTCTGTGTTAACGAAAAAATATTGATAATTACCAAAGCTAAATTTACAACTAGAAAAATCTCGATGGAAATGTAAAAGAGTTCATCTTATTCTTTTGCATACATTTTTCTGCTTAACGTTATATTGAAGTTTTATCATGCTTTGCTAAAATAATTATTTATTTAACCGGAGTAAAGTTCTATCCAATCGTTATTTCCTACTAAGTAGTTACAAGTATTACCTTATTTACAAAGTTCACATTAGGATGATAATCCAGACATTTCGAGTAGTCCATCTTTTCTACTGCCATTTCGCTCACAGTATACACTAATTTTTCAATAGGCTTTACTTACTATGCTCATATGTTGAAATTTTCGCTAAGTTTACATTACATTTTTAATGACGCGTAATTAAGCTAACTCTTTCCTCGTTTCCAATTGTTTCTCTAATTATTAATCTTATTTGACCTTTTTAGAGTCCATCTCGAGGACGACCGAAGTTAGCTGCCTCAAATAACTCTCTTAATCGTATTGAAGATGCTAAAAGAAAACGGTTAACGATTCCAAGTAAAAATCCGATCCAAGATACAGAGAATTCCGGTAGTAAACGTTCTAAAAGGTATTCCAAACAAATGGATAGTTTTGGTAATGTTCGAGATGAAGATGATGAGCTCACTGACCGATGTGATTCTCCCATTGGAAACGACAGTCAGAATTTGAGGCACTCAAATAACTATCGTTGGCATTCGCATCATTCATCAAGTGTTTACAACGCATCGGGCACACCTGTTTCTTCAGTGAGAAAATCTGGAATTAACGATTCGAGTATCCATAAAACATCACCATCTAAGAAGGCGTCTACTGCTAAACAGCGTTCTTCTCATTCTAGCAATTATAGTACATGCTCTTCGCCCTCTTCTTCTGATATGGATGACAACGATGAGAGTGGACGCAGACATCGTAATATTGTCAAGGTTGACGATGAAGATGATGACCGTAGATTCCGTAGTCCAACTCGCAGTGGTTCAAGCAACAAGGATAGAACTTCTGGAGCAAGCAGTACAATGTTACGTCGACCACCATTCGCTCCCCCTTTGAATACATCTGGATCCATTAGTAATTCGATCACCGCTAATGATCGGAACAGTTTATCTACTGCTACAAACTTATTTTCTCATACTGGTCAAAATCTTTTTTCTCCATGCAATGATTCAGTTGTTACGATGAATTCTTCAGTGAATTCAGGAACTTCATCCACTAATAACAGACTAAGTGGTTCCATTCATCCTACTACATCTAATGCTAATCTTTCTTCACATTTTATATCTTCAGGTGCCTTGTCTAGCAATTCAAATAATGTTGTTACTACTCCCGGAATGTCTACTCTTCCACGTTCACACTTGCCGCCAAATAAACGTGCTGCTGCTGCAGCTACAGCAGCAGCTCTAAACAGAGACTCAGTAGGAGGAGGAGGAAATGATGTTTCAAATGAAACTAATCAACGTCAAGCTTCAGTAAAAAGTCCTGAAATTTCTGTGACATCCTCTCCAAGAAAACAACTTCATAAAGGAATTCAGGTAAGCTGTTATGATCTGTCAGAAAATTTATTTCCTTTTTTGTAATTTTTAACCAGTAATTGTATAATTTGAAGCTTTTTATTGGTTTTAATTTATTTTTAGGATGTCCTACTTCTAAAGAAATTTACTAGTAATGTGAATTTCCAGTTATTATATGTGATAGAATAAACTTTGTAGTTTAATTTCCTTACATTTCAACTTATTTGTGCTATTTTAGTACCTATATGGGTGTTGATTTTTTTCCAAAGCAGCTTAATAAAAAAACCATCTAACTTTGTCAACATACGTTATAATGTAATGTGATAAGATTTTCGTTCATTTCTATTTAGCGCTTATTGTCCAAAAAGTTTGATTTTATATATATTCTTTATTCATTTTTCTTCGTTACTTAGACCCCAGCCAGTATGGAAATGCCAACATCGTCTCAACAACCATGTTCACAGTGTAAGGAACGTGAAGCTGAACGGTTGATTGCAGCTAATGATACTAAAAGAGCTTTGCGAGAACTTGAAGAGAAACTTATAGCTCAATTTAAAGAAGAGAAAGCTGCCGCTTTACATTCAGCTCTTGAACAAGCTCAAGCTAGTGCTCGTGAGGCTATTGAACATGAACGTAAATTAGCTCATGATACTTTGGAAGCTGCTGAGGCAAGATTTGCAGAAGTTATTGTTCAAACTAAACGTCGACAATGGTGTCGTAATTGTCTTATGGAGGCTATCTATCATTGTTGTTGGAATACTTCCTACTGTAGTACACAATGCCAACAGGAGCATTGGCAAAAAGAACATAAACGTCAGTGTCGTAGAAAACGATGACTTTCAATCATATGCATACCTTATATATATATATATATATATCAATCTTGTATATAATCTTGTTATTTTGTCTATTCCACATACATGTACATTACTTTTGCCTTTGTTATAATTATAATCGCTGATTATGCCACGTCAATATTCATGGTTTTTTTCGATTTCTGTTTATTTGTTATTCACAATCATGGACATAGTCAATCTCTTTACTACATCTTCAAGAAAGAAAAGCATTTCAGTAACTTTTTCACTTCAAATCTTTTTTGTTTCTCAGTGTGTTTGTGTGTATGTATAGGCAGCTGTTCATTTCTGATTATCTTTCCTTATTATATACAAATTAATTAAATCGTAAATAATTCAGCTTACAATGCATAACCACTATTAATACTCGTTTGTGTTTATGTATGATGTATTTTTCAGTTTAATTTCCTTCTTCTAATTTATGTTTATCTAAAATTGTAGTAGTCCAATTGTGACTGCTTTTTTTATTCTTGTATTATAGTCGTTTTAATTTATATATATATATATATATATATATATATATATATATATATATATATATATATATATTTATTTATTTATTTATTTAAATATAAGTTTACATGTGTTGTACAGTACTATCTATTCATTTGTATACGATTGATGTGTTGAATACACCTATTTTCAATGATCTTCTATTAGGCATCACTAATACACATCAAATACAATGAAATTTTCAAGAGTTTCCCTAATCATTAAATCATAATTTTTCATTGTCTTAATTGTGAAATTTTTGTGCTTTATTCAATTTGAATTAAGTTATTTCTCTTTTTTTTCAAAAAAACAAAACAAACTTTTTACACATTTTGGCTTACACGTCGTATTGTATTGTTCACTTTCGATAAATACTGGTGTTTCACATCTATACAAATATACATATATATATATTGTTCAATTGTGTTCATATCTTCAATTTTTTTTGTTGTTGTTGGAATGAATAAACAAGGTTGTTGGTAACGTTAGATGTTAGTTAACTTTCATTAAAGTGATTAAGTTGTATCATTTAATAATAAGTCTGAGCTTTTTGGTCTTTCAGCATGCCTACAATTGAAGAATTAAAAAATAGTAATGTGGATTTATCAATAGAAAACAATAATTCTAATTTACGAAAATTATTATTAGAGGATACTCTTGATGTTGCTCCTATTGGTCTAACATTCTGTTTTGATCGTGAATCGTTTTTAAATGTAAGCTTTTTTCAAACTACTATTGAATACATTTCTCTGCTGTATGAAAAAATGATTTTAAAATCTTTTTCAGTTCATTCCTAATAGTGATACATACATATACATATTATTATGAAGTAATTATTTGCTAAACCTGCAAGCACTGGACGGCCGTTTCGTCCTATTATGGGACTTCTCAGCAGTGCGCATCCACGACCTCGCCTCGCGAGGTTCAACTATGAAAACACTGAAATCTCCACAAGAAAAAAAAACTGATAATTATTTGCTAATTAAAGAATTAGAAATATTTGACTTTCAGACTATACTTACTAATATTTTTAGATTAATATGCATTTATTACACTGAATAAGAAGTAATGGATCAGTTCTTAATAAAATACTATTTTTTTTGAAGTTATCAAGTTCAACCATGCTAATGAAATCTAGGATGGATCATTTCTGTTTTTTAACTTTTTTAGTGTATTTGTGTAAATGCACTGACAGACATAAATAACATAACTAAGTTCTAAAGATATTCACTTCTTGGTAATACAGAATGATATCCAACAATGCTATATCTAGCTCCTGACTGTTTAGATTCTTATCCAATCGGGGTGGTTATTGAATATCCTCAATTTTTGTTTTTTTTTTATGGTAGGGTACACGTGTTCGTTATTGTTCATTCTAACAATATTAATCGGAGACTCAAAGTATATTCTACATGGAGTCCTGTTTATTGTCACTAGCGAAAGTTTCACTATATACCCTCAAAATTTCCTCACCATATAATTATTTTCTAAATTCTTGCATAGTCTGGTCTTATTCGTTAATCCGATGGTATATATGGTTTTACTGCAAACTTTGTTTATTATCCTACTATAAGCTTGTCGTCTGGTTTATACATGTCAAATATGACTTTTATTGACTAACTAAATGCTTTTTATAATTAAAAGTTTTATAGGGTGTAGTATTTAATTTCACATATATGTATTTATGTTGTCGCACTCCTTACGATGAGACAGCAATATATGTTATCTACTCAAACTTTTGGGTCACCTATTTCAAATAAACCTCTGTTTCAGATTTGTTCGAAATCAGCAATTGTGAACTCTAACTGTATGTACTACTGACACAGCTACCATAAGAAACAACTTGTCAATTATTGCTATACTAATTACTGAAAAGCTCAGACAAAGTCACCTTAATTTCTTTATACGTTTTTTCCCCTTTTTCTATCATTTGAAGAAACAGATATATTGGAATCCGTTCATCCTGTATATGATGTATGAGAAAAAAACTTAGTTTTAGTAGCTGAAATAGGGAACTTTCATAGTTGAAGATAACTAGCGAATACTGGGATTTTCGGAATATTAATAAAGTACCTTTAGATCAATTATAGTTCGAAAGTATGATGTACAGAAATTTGTCGCAATATTGTACAAATAATGCTGAAAATTCCACCAATTATTCATATCAACTGAAAATAGTAATAGTGCTTACACAGTAGAAGTGAAAAAGATTAAACAATAATGTAGAAAGATTTGGTGATTATTTCAATTAGGTAAATGGAGAAGTTCATTTACTTCGCTGTAACGGATTATGAAATCTACAATCGTAAAGGGCTCTTGCTTCTACAAACTTACAATTATCATTACAGAACAATGCAAAACACCAGACTTCAGTGTGGTTTTCTCTCGTGCTCCGAGTGGCTTTCCGCTTCAAAGTAGGGTTTTAAGGACAGATCACATCGTTCAGTGAATTGTCTCAATTTGAACCACATTCGATGACTGCTTTTAATGGAATGGTGGATTTGAGTTTTTTTTATATTTATGACTCACTAACTGGATAAAGTTGTCAGGGCTTCCAAAATTTTTTAACTAGCTGTCATTTATAGTAACGCCTATGAACTTAATATATGTACATATTTCATACCTTGTGTAATATATTAACGCAAGTTTAGTGTTCTACCCGTTAAACTATAACTTTTTGTCTGATCATTCATGTATAAAATCTATAGCTTTTGATTGTGTGGTATAATTGTTAGTATCTGAGTTAAATCACATATAGTGCGTGCATATTGGTCAAATAGACCCTATGTGCTCAACATATACTACTGCATGTACACAGTGGAAGATTAAGAAGTTTTTGCAATAATTAAAATGTCCATTACTCAAATACAGATTATTGGTGCATGTATGTGTATCAGCAAGTAAAATCAGTTATTCGTTTAGAACAAAAAGCGTACAGTTCAATTGCTCCTACTCATAATCCATTGAACCTCTGGGTTCAGTTGATGACTGGTTCGTTGCAATATATGTCGCAAGTATTCCATCACACGCTAATGACCGGTTTGTCCCTAAATACGGTGGTTAGATCAAGGGTGGGGTGGGTCCGCTATTCCCCTCGAAATACTCTTACATGACCTCGCGTATACAGTCATTCTCAGAGAAGTCCCCCAAATGCCCTGGTACGGCCGAGAGTGGGGAGAGTCACCTCTCCCTCTCGAAATGCTCTCATATGGCCACGCGAATGTATAGCCTCTGACAGGGAAGTCCTACTCACTGCCTTCTCGTGGCATCACTGTTTTTTACGAAATTGAGAGGACGAAAAGCGAATGTCCGGCGCTTTAACCGGGTTGGTGGACACGGAAAGTTCACCTACGGGAGTTGGAAAACCCTGATTCCAAACCAATGGTGCACATGGGCTCCAGTATCCTGAGGGAACAAATGGTGTACGAATCAACCGTTGATCACCGGCTACCATGGGACTGCATCTCCTCACGATGCTCCACTGCCTTGTGGATCAGACATTCAGGTCAAAGTCTCCGGGTGTGGCCCCCTAAGAAAACCACCTGCTTCAGTCTGGGCACCTGAGCAGTATCACAGCCCTCACACAAATCGAATGAGATTTGTGTGGCGCATATGTATCTGCTGCTTCACTGTACCAATATTTATGTGTTTAAATAAATAAAGAGAAGTCCTACTCAATGCCTTCTCGCAGCGGGGTTTTTGTGAAATAGTGTGGACGAGAAGCGAGTGTCTGGCACTTTAATTGCGTCGGTAATGGGTACGGAGGATCCATCTAGGGAAGTTAAGAAACCCTGACTCCGAACCCATGTTGCGCATAGGCTCAAGGATCGTGAGGTAATAAATGACATATGAACCTATTTTTGTTCACCGGCTACCACGGGCATGGATATTTTAACGTTACTCCACCGCCTTGTGGATTAGACCTTTAGGTCAAAGGCTCGGTGTGTGCCCCCTGTAAACAAAATTATATCCAGAAGGTTTCTACTTTAGGATCGTCTATTGGTTGGGAACCGAATTCCCTAACCACTAAATGAATGTCTTGTAATCATTGCGTAAATCTGCAGAAATTATGATAAGAGAAGTTTCATGGAAATGTTTTGTGGTATTTGAGGTATATGTGACAGTATGTCGATCTGTCATCAAGTTTTTCCAACATCTGTCTGGAAAGTAATTTATATTCACACTGCTTCTCTTTTTTAAAAAAACTTTTAAGAATGACTTTAAACCGGACGATTTTATTTTGGAACAACATTGTCGTGGGATATCATTAGAAAAACTTCATGATGATCTTCTTCAGTATTCTAACATCCTTAAGTCCAGTTTAATTGAATTGATCAATCAAGATTATGCTGATTTTGTAAGTCTATCAACAAATCTTGTTGGTTTGGATAAATCAATTGATACAATTGTTACACCATTGAAACAACTACAATCTTATGTATCGGTAAGCCTTTTTTGATTATTTTTTTGCATGTATTGAATGTTTGTGCGATATTGTACAACATAGGGTTTTTGATTTATTGGATTTAGGTATTAAATTTTATTTATTGTAAATTTATATGTATGTTTATTGAATCAGCTATTATTCTGTCACTAGTAGTAGTAGGGCACAAGTTTAAATTGCAATCAATTTTAGTTTTAATAGCCGAATTCTATGGTTTAAAGCTAATTACTTAGTTGGTCAGTGATTTACACTTAAAAATTTATGATTGGAGACGTTGAATAACGTGACTGTAGATAACTCATAATCGAGTAGTTCCATTCATTTTTCTTATACTCTTTTAGTTTGTAAGTTAGGTGTCACTTTGATTGGCTAGACATTTCACTTCCTGGTGCTCACATGCCATCTTGAGGAGGAAGTCGAAGAAAGAAGTTTGGAGTTGATAGTTGAAGTATGACTTGAAGAGGAAATTGATTATGAATACAGTGATTTTGAGTGCTGTTATCGGGTCGCCAGATACACGGAGGATGAATCTCGTCGGCTACTCGTTTTGCTAGGTAAGGTCACATGAATGACCACATGTCACATGAATGAACACAAGGAGACACGACATACATTAATAATAAGAGATTCTAGGGTCTTAGCCTAGGAGGTATGAGGGCGGTTATCACTTCCTAGTTCTTCTAGATGTACCTGAAACGAAATTGGGTTAGAGTTGGTCTTATTGACCTGAGATTGTGACCGCACTGCCTAAGGGACAACTACTTGAGACCCGTCACACACGATATTCTTGTGGTAGCTACGTACTTGTTAAGACTTTACTGGATATTTCGTATATTAATAAAATTGGTTTAATTTCCTAATGTATATTCATATATTTAGTCTGTTAGAAAAGTGATTTTATTCACTTAGTATAGTTTGTTTGAATCTTCCCATTAATGTTTAGGACTTCTACTGGTCAGTCTCTAATTGGCATATGTGAATACTGTGCGTATTGCCTCGATATAGCTTTAATTCACAAGCATGGTAAGCAGAGATGGATAGTGGCTAGCAGTCGAATCCAGTTTGACGCGCGTTTCGTCCTATTTTGGACTCGTCAGTCGGATGTACCTGCATCTCAGAATTGATGTTCACTCTGGGACTCGAACCCAGTACCCTCGCTTCAAACGCCATCGCGTTATCCACTCGGCCACTGAGTCTTGATAGCCACTTGCTTGTGCAATGAGGTGAAGTTTAAATTCACTTGGTATTGTTTGTTTTGATCTTCCCATCGATTTGTTAGGACTGCAACTGGTCAGTCTCTAATTGGCATATGTGTATACTGTGCAGGTACATCCAGCTGACAAGTCCCAAATAGGACGAAACGCGCGTCAAACTGGATTCCACTGCTGGCCGCTATCCATCTTTGCTTACAAAGTGATCTTATCTTTTAAAATTTGGTTCTATGAATAGAATTATCATCAGTTCAGTCATTTCTATTCCATCCTAGTAACTTTAATAAATTAAATACTGCTTCATAATAGATGTTGAATAAAATTTTAATACAATGTTTTTATCTACTATATCGTTTAAAATTATAACTACTCAAGAAAAAAGATCATTTAAGGATTTCCGTTTTTACTACTACTGAATTAATGTCTTTTGGTAAAATTTATTTGAAATTCTACAATTCTTTTTTTCAGAAAGCACTAATCAATTTTCCATTAAGTAGTTTGATCATGGGAATTAACAATTACTTTTGATTGTATAAATACATTTCACATATATATGTATAGACACACACACACTGTTATTCATAGGCATGATTAGTTTAATAAAACAACAGTCTATTTTAATCATTATTTGTAGTGTTCAATACAGGCTTTTTTCTCACTTTCATTACAAACCATGGAGTTTTTTTTAAGAAACTAGGACTAGACATTTTTTAGTACTTGTTTTCACATTTCATGGGGTAGATAAATAGGCACATACTTCCTTACACAGAAACATGAACTTACTATGCGGCATCCATAATGTATGCTTTCATCACAGGATTTTCTATAAGCTATTATGAGATTTTTTCAAAATTGGTAATCAGAATAGTAAAAAAAAGAGGCAACAATAATCACATGCCTATTTTTCCCTACTCCGGTTCATAAACTTTGTGATTGAAGAAGTGATGCATGCACAACATACTTTGATTTTCAAATTCTGTTAAGGAAAAAAATTTAAAAACTTTGATACCAAACTAACTGTGACTAGAAGTACACAAGTTGTGTGCATGGAAATATGTAAGTCAAAATAGTTCTTGGAACACAAAATTGCTTAAAATAAGTTTCCTTTTCTTAAAATAGGGCGACCCTTTGGATCTTAATACATTTTGTGATTTTATGTGCATACAAGCTGATCAACGAAACAATAACTTATCAAATTGCATAATTTCCCTTTGCTGACGTGTAGTTTAAACTGAATGAGCAAGAAAACATGGATCAATGTTTCTGGCTAGATTACAAATGTACGCCTTGCTGACGAGTACTAGGTTATTCCGCCGATTAACTGTAATTACCTATTACCTTTATCAAGTTATTGTACATTTTTTGAGCTTCCTGTTCTTAGTGGTTGATGTATTCTTTTTTGTCTGAAATATTGATTCTAAATGTCAGATACGTAAATTTTTTCAATTGACTTACAAGTGTGAATTTTCCTTTATTTCAGCCAACAATCATCTTTGATAGTTGGTTCGAGCGGCTTAGTAGAATAATCTGTGTACTAGAGATCACTTTTTACAAAAGAGTATTTTTAATTTTCAATGAATTATAGCTCGCTGTCAAATCCAAACCTGTCGCGTTACGCTATTGCTTACCTGTTAACGCGTTCCATACCACCCAAAATTCACAAAATGTTACCTAACTCATCTAGACTGAAGTTTACGGTACTTTCTTTTAATTAAGCTAACCTAATTCGTGACAAGTAGGGTACTGTTAGCACGGTTTTTTATCTGATATAACTGTTGTTTCGTCTTCTCCTATTCAGCTCATTTGCCATGTACGACTTTGTGCACTGTGCTTTGAATCGTATTGCGTTAGTGCTACTAATACTGCTTGGCTGCTCAAACTGATGTACAAATGGCAGGGTTCGAACCTGGGGCCTGTTAGTTGTAAGCTTAGTACTTTAACCATTAGGCCACCGCACCACACCGTTATCCTGAGTTCTCATTTAGCTTCAGTCAGTAGACTTTAATATACACGATTGTATAGTTGCTTAGAGTTGGTTATTTTTCATCATATTATGGTGTATATTGATTTGTTTTCCTCTGAGATTCTGTCCATCACGGATTCATAACTTCCTAAAAAGAAATAATTCAATATATGTCGAGTATTTATTTTATATTTTATTCTATATTTTTGTTATTTAGTCAGTCGTTGATGAACTTGAATCTACTGATCAAGAATTATCAGCTAAGTTGAAATCTCTTCAGCATATAAAAAATGAACAGGTATACATAAGTTTCATTTATTTCTACTTTATCTGCAAAACTGAGTTGTTTAGCTTATGAATCACTATTTTCCTAAAATGTTTATACATATTTTTATGATTACTATACACTGTTGGAGTTGTTTCCCATAATTACTTTTGTTTATAATATCGTACAAATTTGCGTGTCAAATTATAAGTAAACCACGATTTCTACTTAACCAGATATATCCATAATTTAAAGTTGCCCCTAAATGCCTTGATATGGCTGATGGTAAAGTGTCCGTTTTTTTATGTCAGAGTGTTTTAACATGGCTGCGCGATTACCATGTTTGCTAGGAAAGTTCAGTTTACTCCCTTCTCATAGCAAGAGTATTTTTTGAGAGTGAAATTGAAAAGCGAATGTCCGGCACTTAAAACCAGGTTATCGAATATGAAAGGTCCATTCACACGAATTAGAAAGTCCTGATTTTCGAATTAACCATGTACATGGACTCCAGAATTCTGAGGGAACAAATGGCGTTTGAGGCTAATTTGATCACTGAGTACAATGGAATTTTAACTTATGGGGTTGCTCCAATATACATTAAACAGTACATAAACAAAGTGTTATTCAATAGTAATCATTTCTATCAACTGATTGAAATGTTCTATTAAAATAACTATATAACAAACTATTTATGTATTCAGTGGGGCGTAGTAGCAGTAGTTATAGGGAGTAGCAGTTAGTAAAAATGCAAATAAAATGTTTTGAGATTATAAATAAGTGTGTTGTGTATCAGAAGGAAACTGTTATCATTCTCACTATTTCTTTTATTTTACACTAAATTAATTTTCTAAACACAATTCTATGTTTTATGTTTTTATTATTATCCATATTAAAAAGGTTTTCTTTTATTATATCTTTCCCATCACTTCCTCCTTTTCTCTTTTTATATCTAAATAAATTCCTTTGTTTTATTTATCAATAAGTAATAGTATGTAACCAACAATTCTCATGTTAACCTACTTGTTACTACGGCAACTCGATGTAACAATGTCTTTTAATTAATACTATACAACTTTGGTCAGTAATAATTGTTGACAGTTAGTTATATGTCATTTCCACCTTATTCTTTTGTTTCTTCTATTCGCATATTTACGTTAATTAAGATGTGTTTATCACATGTAGTTAAATTGGTGTTTACTTACGCTTGTTACCTCTCGTGAAGGAGCATAGGTTCCCCACCATCTATTCTATCGTATTTTATTAGGGTATAGAGCTTTTGTTTATGTTCAAAACACTTTCTAATCATTATTCATCAAATAGTTTGACAACTAATGAACATACTGCACATTTTGATGTAATGTAACTGGTATGAGCTCGAACATTTGTATATGTGCTTGTAGTTTATTATTTTGAGCTTAGTTTGCGGAGTGAATAGATGATTACTTCATTAGTAGCCATCGTTATTTGTTTAATGGATGAAATATTGACCAGATACCCAAACCCGAAGTTGACTGGCTTACATAGGGAACCACCTCACAAACCTTCAACTTGAAAGTCTAATCCATAGAGCAGTAAATTAATGTCAGATGATACGATCCAATAAAAAACTAAGTGATCCTGGATCCCACATTCACCACTGGTTTAATATCAAGGACTTCCACTTTCATCCACTTAGTTTTGTAAGAAAGCAACACCATCGTGGAAAGGTAGTGTGTATGACCTCCCTGAAAGAGGTCTCAATTGCATGACCATTTGATTGGATTTGGAGAGAATAAGCGGACCCCCGCTTTCAGCTGTACTGTTACTTCCTTGATCTGTCTATCCAATAATATACTGGGGAGAAATTGTCTTGATGTAGGTTAATGTCTTGACATAATAGGCTAACCTGTTCGACCTTGTGACCAGAAATACATGAGATCAAATTGAGACTAACGGGCTTAGTCAGAGAGACGAAACCGATACCATTATCTGATTGCTTGACAAATGAATGAGAGGACGTGTTGACTGGAACACTACTCTATTTATTCCTGATTTGCGATTCAGATTAGAGTAAAAGAAAATATATGAATAAATAGAAGACTAGCACAATCACAATGGACAAACAATTGGAAATATACAATTATGTCCAGACCAGGTATTGGGGTAGAAAAAGAGTATTGTTGTGAATCATGTATCAAACAAAAGCTTATGGTTTATAGAATAACCTAGGGACAATACTAAATGTTAGCATCTTACAAACTTTGAATTAAGTGAATTAATGTTCCAAAAAAATAGCTTCGGTTGGTCGTCATGACTTCTTTATTTCTCTGTTCACATCATGTACCAAGGTGTATAGTGATTGTATCTAGAATAACAATATTAGTAGTAGTAAAGACAAGATTGTCTCGGCGAATTCATCACCAGAGGTTTTAATCGTACAAGAAGCATCAATTCTGATTACATCATATATATATATATACCTTAACTCTTTTCTTACAAATGCTCTTATTTATAGGATTATGCAGATAGTTTATTCACATTAGATGCATGTGTGTCGCGTTTAGAACGTTGGCTAACACAATCAAATCAACCATCAGTGAATAAAGAACAAACTAGTGATCAACTACTTCATAAATCTAATAACATCAAGTTAGATGACAGTGATAATAATGATAATGAAACGTCAAAAGATATTAATAGTGATGGTGATGAAAATGAATTAGATATATGGCCAATTGAATTCTATGCTGATTGTTCGTAAGTTGTTGTATTTCATTTGTTATTGTGTTGTTCCATTGGATTTATACTGTCTTGTTGTTATATAAACTTAACCCTTTAATTACCTTAAGCACATGGTTGTGTAGTGATGGGAAATATTTGTAACTCAGAATGATGAGGATTTCGGTGTATTGTATTCTCCGTATTTAATGATTTAGTTGTGAAGCTTTCATTATCCTTCTAGACAAAATCATCGGCACGTACTTCAAAGAGTAGTGACCTTTTTGTATTTCTACATAATTTACCAAAAGCTTGGTCAGTTGTTCATAACTATCTGGTTGTTGTTTGTATGTAAACGTCAAATTTTTTAGGTGTACACAGTTTATGATTAAAACACAAACCTAGACCTTTACCTTAAATACCTATCCTTAACTAAGAACAATAGAGGATCTCTTAAAAGTCTATCTGGGTCCTGATAAATGTTCGAGCAAATGAACAGTCACTGTCCCTATAGCGTCTGCTATATGTAAGAAATGAGATTGAACTGCATAACGAAAGATAGTAGGTATATTATAAATTACTTCGAATGATTTATTCCTACCTAATACACGATTGCTAACGATCAAGTGTAACACAACGGAGTTGTTTATCATACCTTGTCCTAATCACGAAGAGATGCGTTCACTAACTCGTTGACTCAGTTGTCTGGATGTACACTCAATCTAGCTTTCTCCACAAGAGCATCTATATATTCGTAGATACACATGAATGCGATGCAGAATACATCATAATACGTAATTTTTGTAATTTTTAATGCATATTATCTCAGTGTCTATTTTCCCAAGCCGGTGACAACATATTTTGTCAGAATGCAATTTAGCACTATGAACATGTGGATTGACCAAAAGATAATTACTACTCTGCAACGTTGATAATACAATAATTCTCTTTTTATTAATTTTTATCTTTTAAAGTCTTCATGAAGATATTGGACAACGTATGGATCGAATTGCTAATGAATACATCAAACTTCAATTTTTCAATAAAAAGTGTCGTGGTCATCCAATTTTAAATTCATTAAAACCAGTACGTGTTTAAAAGTAATTTTAATTTTTACGGAATTTCGTTATCGTTTCATCTTGTTATCTGATTTGTATAATAACTTTGTATTTTAATGAATTAAGCATCTTGATGTTTACCCTATATGTCTAAATCGACGCATCTGCAAAAAAATGCAACACCCAAGTAATTTTTGTTACTCGCTGTACTAATTATTTTTAATCCCAATCATCAATTGACCTAAGTTAGACATCTAATGAAAACTTGGAAGCACTAGGGATCTAACTTCAGAGTCTTTAGATTTTGCTGCAAATGCCTAAAAATTATAACCACTGAGTTGCTATCTAATTGCACAACTCTAATTTCATTGAATTTGTAATAACGAACAAGATGATCATTCAATCCTATTTGTATCAATTGTTTCACTTTCGACATGCGTGAGTTCCTACAGTTACGGCTTCATATAAGATATTCGGGAACTCAGCTTGATGAAGGAAATCACTAATAAACTGACTTTCATAGTTTAGTTGAGATTTCGAAGATATCTGTATAATTTGTAGATTGTACATAGATTTACAGGTCGTATAATATATATATATATATATATATATATATATATTATTTACCTACTTATTTGTTTTATTTTCCTTATTCAATATGATTTCTTGATTGTTTACACATCAATGTCTTTTCTTTCTTTTTTAAAAAAAAACAAACGTCTGATTTTAGCGTATTAATTGGATTACAGTAAATCTTCAGGAACAATTAGAGATACGTTTAAAGGAGAGTTTCAAAGCATGTTGTTTAACAGTAATTGATACAAATGTTGATTGTACAATACCTAAGCATTCTATTGAACAATTAAGACAAGTTATATCCATATATTTGGCTATTGATAAATTATCTGATTTATTGATATTATATCGTAAATTTGTACTTCATGATCAACTTAGTCAGGTTTGTTTTTATTGGCCTATTTTGTATTCACTCTATTGTTATTGTGTTCTTTTATTACCTATTGATTTTATGTTCTATTGGTAAATTTATTAACACTTTGGATATAGGAGAAAGAATCTTCAGAGAACTTTGTTTCTAACAGAGTTTGTGTGCTACTTATTGACGTATATCATTATACCTTATCTATAAACCTGCGAGGATTGGTTTGCTCTCTCGTAGGACTCCTTTTTCAGTTAATCCTTAAAAATCACGATTAAAGGTTGACTTTCTTCTTTAAATAAGGCACAATGGATTCCTAAGGAGTTTCAAAATCGACCATATCGTGAAATATAAATCACTCGATTAAAAAAACACAGATGACTGACTCACCGTTTAAAATTACCTAAAAAGTAGATAGAAACCTGTCAAAGACAGTTAGCTTTTGTCTCTTTAGCACATTGCTGAAACTTTCGCCATACATTTAGAGGAGCTAGAACTACATGTAAAAGAAAATATATTAACCAACTTATTTATGTTTCCACATCCTTTCTGCTTATATTTCACTTCAGTTTCAACACTTTATCATGTCATATTATGCAACTTCTTTTTTCACAATACCTTATCATTATTTAAGTCTTATGACATTATTCTCGAGTGAATATTCAAGTTTCTTGGTAAGAATAATACTTTTTTTAAAGTATGATTCTGTCTACTTTACTTCTATGTCACACAATGTTAAGTAGTAGGTTAGTGTAATTTTATTGCTATGAAAATGAATTCATTGAATAAAGTAGGTTAACTCTTCACTGAACCACTTTTTTTCCTTGTTCTTATATCTCCACTTATTTATAGAAATCCTATTAAGTTTGATTTTGTACTAAGACTAGTTTAGTTGATTGATTAAATAGCTAGCTGATCAATAATTAAATTACAGTCGATAGTTTGTTTACATAATTACTTAATAATTAAAAAAAAACAGTTATTAGTTTTGTGTATATGTTTATTTGGTAGCATAGAATTCAGTGACCATCGTAACCAATGGTTGGAGACTCTAGGTGACATGGCTTAGAATCGATCACAATGGCGTAGGTGTATACACTCTTTATCTTCCCTTAAACCTTGAGATTAAAATTGCTTTATAACTTACTCTCTTCCTATACTATATCCTTATATACAACCTTTCTTTTATATATTACCACCACTAAATTAACTACTTCTATGAATTCGGTGTTCATCTTGTTGTGCTAACGAGGTATGGCAACTTGTACCGATGCATATATGTGCCTGGTCCTACGTTGTAGCTGACTGACTGATAGAATTCAGTAATTTATGCATCATCTTATCAAATTATTGTCCTTTTAAGTTTCCTCATAGTTTAAAACATAAACTGATCTTAACTAAACTACCATTAAAAAACCTGAAAGCAATAAACGGCCCTTTTCTTTCAAATTCTCGTTTTATGCTAATTTCGCACCTAGAAATTATTCATTCTCTATTATTTACCATCCAATTTCATATCGTTCAATCTCTTTTCCCTTATTATATTATTTCGTTTTTGCCATCTTTAATAATTTCATGACGAAACTGTAACATTCTAGATGTAACACTTACTGAATGGAATAGAACAAAAGCAAAGATTTAATCAATATAGCATGAATTTATCTTAGTTCTTTGAATCCTTTCCCAATTGCTTACAATCTGTATAATATTTTAATAATCAAAATTATTTTAGAAGTCGATGTAGTTATATGAGCAAAGTTGACTAGAGGTGTAAATCTGTATCATAATGATCTATGAAAAAATTTTAATAAAGTTAATAAGAATTATTATAATGGGAATTTGTGGAGATTGTAGTAATTTTAATAGTTAAATTCATAAGTCGATCTAAGATAGACCACCATTGGAAACCGGGAAGTACTAGATGGCTGTTCCGTTCTACTATGTGACTCAGCAATGCGCATCCACGATCCCGCACGCTGGACTCAGAGTCCCATACTGGGACACAATGGCCGTCCAGTACTTGCAGGTTTACAATGGTGACCTATCCTAGATCAACTCATAAATTCAAACACTAAAAAAGAATTATTTGAAACAAACACAATGTAACAAGGAAAATTCCAGAAAATCGAAATGGTAACTAAAGTCCATAGAAATGAAAAAACTTAGACTGAATCCGTAATGAAGTAATGATGGTAACAAAGAATAAAATGAATTTGATATCAGTCAATTATGAATAAAATCATGAATTCTTAAAAAATGAAAGCATAAGAAAGGGCTAAAATAAAAGTTAATGTAATAAAATGAGTGTAATGTTACGACGATGAAGAAACACTTATCACAGTTTCATATGTTTTATTACTATTGTTTCAGCAAATTCCAGAGGACCATTGTTTAACTCTTTGTTAATCACTATAAAAGACCTCACTCTATCAATTTGATGTCCTGAGTCAAGAATCTGTCTTGAAATAGCACCGCTGGAAGTCTTGAAGCCATTTGATCCTAAACGTTTTTGAAATATTCTTTGGATCAAACGTAGACCTTTCGGTCTGTTTCGCCAATTTAATTTCTTTCGGTTTTGTATGTAAATTTGTACACACAGTTGGCAGTAACATGAAAAGAGCATCTTTGCTGGCATTAAAGAATTCGTTGTTTTGCATAAAATAGGACATGTTCTAATTAATTCAGATTTTAGTCTTCTGTTGTATATCCCTGAAACATCATCACTTTTGAATTTAAGCTGAACAGAAATAGTTTTTTTTATTTATTCTAGTCTATTTGATCTTTCTATCTTCAAATTTTCCGTATTTCTCAATAAACGTCTGCAAATACTCGATGTTCCTTAGGTGTTTTTCAACATTCACTTCTAGGACATTTTTGGCAACATATTTGTGTAGTTTAATGAGAAGACAAAAATTGTCAGAACTATGCGCTAATATACCACATAGTTCTGATCATTTTCGTCTTCTCGTTACATTATTCAAATTTATCAAAGGGACTAATTGCTTTAAACATATTTATAGTTAAATTGACTGTAGTTTATAAACAGTTCAAAATATTCCAGTTAAATAGTGTATGAAAAGTGAGATTATATTTAGCCCCCAAATGCCCTGGTACGGCCGAGGGTGGGGAGAGTCCACTCCCTCTCGAAATGCTCTCATACGGCCACGCGTATATAACCTCTGCCAGGGAAGTCCTACTCACTGCCTTCTCTTGGCGGGATATTATTTACGAAATTGAGAGGAAGAAAAGAGAATGTCCGGCTCTTTAACTGGGTTAGTGGATACGGAGGGTTCACCTAGGGGAGTTGGAAAACCCTGATTCCAAACCAACGGTGCACATGGGCTCCAGTATCCTGAGGGAACAGTTGACTTTATATAAAGTTGCAATTTAATGTTTAAAAATGATTTAGAAACTATTCTATTAGTTTTTTCGGAAGATTTTTTTTACATGATCAAAAAACTACACTTATATATCTTGTTTATTTCTCTCCATCATTATGACATGGTTAATAGCTTCATGATAATACAGATTTATCCACTATCATTATTATATGTTGAGACAATAAAACTAAACATTTTAGGCCAGTTATTCATTGTCAATTAAATTAATTCCTATTGACTTATTAATCATTAAATAATACTCTGGTATCTAGTTATCAGTAGTAGTTAGACTTTAAACATCAACTTTCCAACGTTTTGATACTAAATCCGAACAAATTGACAATCTTGTCTCATAAGGTATATTACCGAATTTTGTAAGTCTAATTTATGAAGTGGGTCAATAGACTAAGAATCAGATTGAATGATGTTTAGCACTGCTTAACCATAGGTTGTTTGTGTACGTTTTGGAAATATTTTTACAGTTTCCACAAGAAAAAAGCAATCTCATTTATTTATTCTGCTTTTTTGATGAAATAGATATTTACTCCTCGACCTGAATTAACCCATGCAGGTTCTGACATTGCATTAGCTGCTGAGACTTTGAACTCGATGTACACCAGAGCACTGAAAGTTCTTGATTCACAACTGTATTATGTGAAAGAACAGATTATTAGATACTCACCTGAAGGGTAAGTAATATTTATTGTTGTATTTAAGACTTATTCAAATTTTTATGCGATTTCGAGTTCAAGACAGTTGTAAATGTGTCTAGCCACAGTTTCCACATCGATGTAGATCACAACCCCAAAATGAGTGGTGACTTTTTCCAATCTAAAAACTATATTCCGGCTGATGAGTGCTATAGAACGGGAAACTTTCCGGGTTTTCAATCTTTAGCTAAAATATACAATTCAGACTACTTGTACTCTACGATGAACACATACCATACCTATCTGATTGTTTGTAACATGGTGACATATACATAGGAACGAACCAACAACTCAAAACAATCATCCAAAAAGACTTTTTTATTATGGAAGTTGATTAATTAATTTAAGTTTGATTCCAGCATGTCATGCAAACTTTTGCCTTTTTGAGTCTCATGAAATCACGAATGTTTCAGCTTACGAAATAAATGCTTGCTTTCCCAGTTTGATATCCAACTGGCAGAATAAGGTCTAGAACACTGAAAGAAGGATATTATGTGTTAATCTTTAACTGTAAAAGAGTATTTGAATAAAGTCAGAATAATATGAATTCATTATATCTCATCGTTTCTCTTCAGCTTCTTACAACCGTATTCTTATTTTTTCTCATCAAGTTATGTCATTTTGTACCGTGTTTGAAATGCAACAAATTATGTTTGATTTTCCTACGTAGTTATACGTAGTCTATTTTGCCGATTTGTCTTCAAGTTGTTCGCAGCATAACTGTACTTTTGTTCGTGTATGCATGCTTATGTACAATTTGTGCATTAATATATTGTGTGTAATGGTCTATTAATGACTTTGTTACCTGTTTATGACTCGACGTACGATGATTACTAGTTCAAAGTATTATTTATTTCTATTTATTTAAACACATAAATATTGGTACAAGGAAGCACCAGATACATATGTGCCACACAAATCTCATTCGATTTGTGTGAGGGCTGTGATACTGCTCAGGTGCCCAGACTGAAGCAGGTGGTTTTCTTAGGGGGCCACACCCGGAGACTTTGACCTGAATGTCTGATCCACAAGGCAGTGGAGCATCGTGAGGAGATGCAGTCCCATGGTAGCCGGTGATCAACGGTTGATTCGTACACCATTTGTTCCCTCAGGATACTGGAGCCCATGTGCACCATTGGTTTGGAATCAGGGTTTTCCAACTCCCGTAGGTGAACTTTCCGTGTCCACCAACCCGGTTAAAGCGGCGGACATTCGCTTTTCGTCCTCTCAATTTCGTAAAAAACACCCCGCCACGAGAAGGCAGTGAGTAGGACTTCCCTGTCAGAGGCTATATATTCGCTGGCCATATGAGAGCATTTCGAGAGGGAGAGGTGACTCTCCCCACTCTCGGCCGTACCAGGGCATTTGGGGGCTAGGAGTGGTCAAACTAATGCGTAGCATCAGCTTAGCGAGATAAAATCAAAGAAGAATAATACCGAAATTGTGGTTGTATAAATGATTTTAAAATAGGAATTCTTAGAAATGTTGTTTACATTGATTGTTATCTGAATAATGATCGATATCATATTTGTATAGTTCTTAGTCTCGATCAAATTCTAATAATTAAGTTGCAATATGGACGCTGATCTAAGTGATTTTGCACCGTGTAGATTATATCTTGGTGATAGATGGTTTGAAGTAATCGGCGAGAAACCATGTATTTATGTTTCTAGCTGTTATGTGTCATCAAGATGTGTCCGGATGACCCAGGTTCGAACCCGCTGACGAGCATCATTTCCTTCAGGATTGCAGGTATACCTTGTTGAAAAGTGCTAATGAGCATGTCACTTAGCTCCAGGGCCTCATACCAACCACCCAATAACGGAAAGTATGAAATAATACTGAGTTCAGGGTCTAGGGGTATAAAAAAAATCCAGTCCATATGCGTCACTCCAACCGAGTTTGAGCTATATCAACTAATATCTTTAACTACTGATCACAAATATCGCGCATATCCCCAATTGGGTATTCTGCATTTGTCAAAGTGGTTCAGTTCAACAAGCAATGATTTCATGAACTGATATCATGTTTTGGTTTGGACACCCCTACTTCTGCTCCATCTAGGACTACACATCAAGGTAGACGATATGTGGATTATATATTTTAATACGTAAATTGGTTTTGTTTGTCACTCATGTTTCGTTTCATATATTGGTTTTAGTACAATAAGATGCATTATTATTCTTTTTCATTAAAATTCAACTATCTAGCTCTGAACCTTTATCGGATTTCGATTGTCTAGTCGATGGATTTTGGCCTGAAACAATTGATCTTATCTGTAATAATCTATCGGAAATATTTTCTCCAGGTCATCCAGACAGATTCTATTCCGTAAGCAATTGTCATTTTGATTTATATTTTTATGTTTTTATGCATTTTTAATTTATTCTTTCATTCAGCTACAAATTCCTAGTACAACCTAATTGTATCGTTTAATTTGTTTAAATAAACATAGTTAAAAAAAGACTACCATGAATCATAACATGATACCAATTTATAGCAGTTTTTCTAAACTATTTTTTATATACGTTTTGTCCAATAGTCGGTATTGATACACCAACTTCCCATATACAAGTCCCAACCTGCTAGTGCGTGAGAAGCCTAAGAATAAAGAAGGAAGTTTATTAGGCTAAACCGATTCACATGCATAAGCCACTTATATATATATACTCTGTAGTAAATAAATTCTTTTTTTTGCTAATCACATGCACTTGTTAACGTGATTAAATTTTCAACTTAGCTCGAACAACCTAAGTAAAAATAGCATTCTGTAAAATACAATCATTTCATTGTATTTATTCTCGTTCTCCTAAACTGTATACAAGCTAATAATTTTGCTTAAAACAATAATGCTCATTCTAAATCCCATTAATTACTACAATCCATCTATTTTCCCGCATTTGTAAAAGAAAAACTAGCTATATCGAGGGAATCCACACAGATTGCGCTTATACTAAGACTGATCAAAATTCAGTCTTAAATATCATCAACGAGATAATTTAAACTTTTACTAATAATGATATATACACCATACCCGTTGAACAAGTTAGTGATTATTTAGAATTTGTAACTCAATGGATAACTCATTGACGTTTGAATCAAAATGTTGTGGGTTCGAGCTTCAACGTAAACGCTAACACTGGATTCCAAGTACATTCTACTGATGATTTCCGAATTAGAAAAAAGTGCGGATCTCGGATTTCACTTCTAGCCACAATCCATCTGTTTTACTGTTGTACTTACTTGAAAAGTTTGTAAAGGGAATTAGTTACATAAAAATTCTTGCTCAATTAGTATACACACAAGAATATTCTGTATTGTGGAAACACATGTCTAAAATATTTTTCTGATTATTAATCTCCTTGAAAATGTGAATATTTGGATGTTGACTTAGTGGTCTAATTGGATCAAGCATAGGGTACCATATAAGGTTTGGAAATTGGTTGATGGGATAGTGAATCTTGAGGTGGTCAGGACATGTTTTACGTATGCCCAACCATCGCCCACCTCGACGGGTGATGTTTGCTAGTGTGGGGCAGTTTGGTAAAAAGTTATAAAGTGGGTAAATCAAAAAGTAACATTGTCTACCGAACCGAGCTATGTAGGTATAGGCAACTGACTGATTAGGATCCATACGATTATCTCAACAAGCAGTAAGAGGCATTGAATAATATAGCTCTGAATCCGCTTCAATGGCTCAGATTATTCCTCTTTTTGTATCATATTAGATCATCAGTCTCAAAATCCTACAATTCTTTTTCTTTTAATACCTAATAGTTTCTACTGATACTGTCGCTACTTCTATTATTGTTATGAGATTTGTCTTAATAATTTCGTCATTCTATGCTAATTTAGTATGACAACATGAACCATTGCACATATGTGCCAATTTCTACGTTGCATGTGACTGACTGGTCTAATTTAGATACATTCATGACGGCCTAAAAGTCCTAGACTCGGCTACTGATGAGATTGTAGGTTTCCAATGGACCAACATATGTTATATACTACAATAAAACAGTTATGTAGTGCTCCTCAATTATCGAAGATTGTCGAGCTAAAGTCAACTCGTGATCGTAAACTACAAAAAGAATCTCAGAAATGTTGTGGAAATATTATCCATTCGAATTTATGATCAAGAATGCATTTTCCTCCCTATTTTGTATTCACTTTTCCAGTTATATACTATCAGCATGAATTTTATTAAGACAGTTGAAACAAAGACTTGGTCAACTAGCCAACTTGTCAATTTACGCAATCATCCATCTTATTCAATGTTTATAGATAAATGGAGTTTACCAGTTTACTTTCAAATCAGGTAATTTAAACTGAAATATATATGTAGTCTAGTTTTTATTTCGAATAAGTTGACTATTATTACTTGGACGATAATTATGATTGTTCGGTTGTTTTGTTTAGTAAATTTTTTACATAATGAAAACAAAATTGATTTAAAAAAGAAACAATCACATGTTTATCAGAAGGGGTTTTGTGGAGATTTCAGTATTTGCATAGCTGAAATCATGAGTCAATTGAAGCTAGACCACCATGAAAAACTTGGAAGCACTGGACGGCCGTTTCGTCTTATTGTGGGACTCCTCAGCAGTGCTCATCCACGATCCCGTCTCGCGAGATTAGAACCCAGGACCTAACAGGCTCGCGTCAGAGCACTCAACCGATAGACCACTGAGCCGTCGTCCGATGGTGACTGGCTTCAAGAGATATTTCCTGGAGTTCTTGTGAGAAGCAGTAACCAGTGGAGTTCAACTAGGTCTGTTGTGAGATATCAACTCGCTGAAGACAAATTGTGAACGGTTGCTCAACCTCGTGGATTGGTTGAGTGCTTCCAGGTTTTCCATGGTGGTCTAGCTTCAACTATGCGAATAACATGTTTATTATCATGATTATTCATGAATATGAAGTATAGGTTAGTTCTAGAGTCAATTTCTTTCAATGTCTCATCTATGATAAATAGAATGAACTGATATTATCAATGGATAATTCACTTTGTAATTGCGAAATACTGAAAGACATTTAGGTGTTTACGTCATGTTGTAAGCATAATAATTATAGTCTTTGAAATCACACTGAATGAAAACAGCTTGAAGGCTAACTACATTTGTTATGACTCTCTTTTTTTAAGACTAAGACTTTTGCCTTCAGCTTAATCAGACTTGGACTGATGTATTATGATTAAGAGCGTATGGAGAACATGTCAAATATAGATACTATGCACTTTATATTTTTCAACATTTATTAAATTGACAACAGAAACCTATTGGGGATTATGGTATCCAATCTGTAAATTTATTTAGGCTTCAATCGATATATATATATATATGTATATATATAATATATATATATATATGTCTAGTTTTCATCATCCGACATTTTACCAACAAGATTAACTACTATAGTTGACGTAGGTGCCTGGGCATGAATATGTAATCAGTTCAAGTAGGCATACTTCACATAAGCATCATGAAAAACAAATTTAGCACTAGGTGAGAAGTGAACGACAGGAATTAGTTTTAACTGTTTCTGTGAACGAAGATTCAGGTGGGGATGACCAATTTATTATTTAACGCAAAATCACAGAGTTCTTTGGTAAATTGTGAAAACCATACATTAAATTCTTCAAGTGCAAATCCTCCATCAATTGTCTCAATCTTAATCGTTCCTTCATTGCTATTAAAATTACTCTCTGTTCCTGTTCCCTTCAATTCGATCTTCCCAACCTTCTGCTGCCAGGCGTTTCACTTCTGATTGGTATTACATATTACTTATGTCTGTCGACAGAAATAGCATACACAACACTGTGGTGGGGATTTTAATCTGCCAAATACGTTTCAAAAATTAGTAGTGAGATTGAGAAATGACGAGTGATCTTAAACTAAAGATCAAACTAGTTAATAAAATAAGAATTCTGGATCACAGAATTGTACTAACTGTGACCTTTATAGGCCAAGTGTGTGTAAATTCGGAGCCTTTTTCATATTTGAATATTCAAATGAACTCCATCTTTGTACTGATGAACAATAACTATCTGTCAAACGCCATCATACATCAATGCACGTGAAGAATTGTGGACGCACATTTAACTGGGGATATTTTGAGATGTCGTACAAAGGAAGTACGAAGAAGACTAGAGGGCTTCTAGGAGTTTGGCACTCAAGTAAATTAGTAATCAACATGCACATCGAAATTGACCCGATTCGTCAACATGTTAGAAAAGTCATAGACAAGTCTTAGGTAAAAAGCAAGTAAATGGTAGAGGCAGTTAGGAGGAATATGCAGGTAACGACATGTTAAATGTCAACAATAGCCAATTAATATCGAAATCAACGGAATAAGCTGTCAGTCATATGTGAAAAATCCGAATAATTCACTTCTACATGAAGTTTGGTTTGATGATGTTGTCCAGAAAGACAATGAAAGCTTCATGATTAAACTATCTAGCTCTCAGAGAATGAAACTCCACCAAAAGTACTCCGTTTATCATCATATGTCAACACGTTATCTCTGATAAACTGGTGTGTTTTCGTGTGTATTTATACAAATATACCACTAAGCAGTAGTCTAGCCTATGTTTTACCAGTAGTTCACACTCTTTAAGGACAACGCTAAAGAACTGAAATCCCAAATTTCAAAGAAACTGTAAGTTTACCAAGTGTAAGAAAGCACACCTATATGACAAATACCACCACCACTTACGAGGTTTGTGCCTAAAGTTGCTTATTGTTTGTCAGTAAATGTTAAACAAACTCTTTCATGTGTTTCAATTTCAGTTACTATAAACACGTTTTCATGAAACGTTTGTGTAGAGCGCATTTACTTTATGAGGCCTATCTAAATGCTGCTATCCTTATAAACAGTACATGTGATCTTCCGTCTTGTGTATTTCAGTGGACGTTTTTGATTAGTATCTAACCATCATTGTTACTATTGTTTCCTAGGTTCCAAGAAATAGCTGGAAATGTTGAAAACGCTATGAAAAAAGGTCTGATAGAGATTAAAGAAAATCGAAAATGTATGTTTATTTATTTATTTGTTTAAAGTGGAAAATAAGTATCGTTCACTTTTTTTCCTATAGGGTTTCTACATTACAATGTTGATATTATTATACTGCTTGCAAAAGCTCAAATTCAGCCTCTTATAGCTTACAACGTTTCGTAAATTACTCTCAAATGTACACTGGATTCTCTACCCCACGTCCAACTATGAAAGGAGCATAAAGTATATACTATCTAGTGTTTGTTATCTTCTCAGTTGTTAGGGATTTGGGGATAGTAAATAATACAAGGTTAATACTTTGATTATGGAATCTTATAGTACCTGTACATTCCATAATAGCACATACTTGTTATTCAATAAAGAAGCGTTTAATTCACTACAATATAACTGAAGCACTGTGACAGCAAAGCTAAAGTCCAGTTACACTATCTAATCAACAATTCGACAGATAGACAAAATCATTGCAAGACCTGTTACAGTATGCGGTAGTCTAATCTGTAACAATGTACAGAAGCTCAGAAAGTGGGGATTATTCTAAGACTGTTATGTAATCTAAAGCCTCCGACAACTGACTCTGATGTTCTTGAACTTTAATCACAAAGTTTATAATCTTTGAAACTGTTCCGATCTCTAAATTCTGGTTTTTCGAATAAAACACCTTATCGCTGTCATACCCTTCACAGTCAGCAGTACGACTTCGCTCTCGAACTTTACGTTGCTTCTTTTAGTCTTACTGTTCTTCAGTCGACATGCCTGGCATTGTAGAATGTACAGAAACATGTCTTCCTGTGATTATAACTCGGTTGAGCCATCACAATCAGGAAGCTCGACCACCGAGTCTAGCTAACAGCTATAATCGAGGAATACTTACAGTTCAACACGAAACCTATATCCAGAGTTTTTTTGCATATATAACTTTATACACATGTAAGTATGTATTTTTTGAAAAGCATTAATTTTGTCTTTGATATCGTTAGTGAGTTAACCTTCAATGTATGTATTTACACATACGTATTTTCATTCTATAAATTTACAGCTTGTTTAATTGAAGTTACCGAAGTAGTTATCTGTCAGTTGAATCGCTGTTGGGAAAAAGGAATTTATTTAGATAAGTTAATCCATAGATTTTGGAAATTAACTCTACAAATATTAAGCCGTTATTCAAGTTTTATTGATGAACAAATAAAATCTATCCAAGAGGTAAGTGTAGTATATATATATATATATATATATATATATATATATATATATATATATATATGTAGAGAGAGAGAGAGAGTACACGAAAACTGTTCACAATTATCATGCACAAGTCAGTTTTCTTATGTTGATTACCAAGTGTTTTGATTTAAATTATGGATTTTATTTTTGGTCTGGCGTTTTTATATAGAATATGCTTGTTATTAATTTCTCTTTTTGCGACCCAGATATTCCTATTGCTTAGTATTCTTGGACACCGATTCACTCGACAAGTCCCCAAATCAGAACACGGTTGAATAGGAAGAAATTATATTCCGAATAACAAGGGTAGATAGAAGTAAAAGGCACAATAAAGAGATACGTTAGTATATTTATAGTTTTTACATGAGAAGATTCTAGAGTGTTCTCCAAGTATCGACTAGCGCTGATTGGATAATAATTAGCCAGTCAGCGAGTGCAAATGCAATCGTGCACGAAACATGCTTTAATCCGATCTATGTCCCACTAACAATGCTCGTTTTTAATAGTTGAAAATATTTGACTTCATTACCATTGAGTAGCATGTTCGACTCATACTGTCTATCTACTTCAGTTTTAGCAAGTGCATAGTGTTGTCATTGATCTTGACATCGAAGCCTAGATACACTAATCTGAATTACATTAAATTTACTTCCGTAAATAATAGATTCAGTTCACTGTTCCTAATATCCTGAGCAGTATCATCGGCTCTTGTATTTTCAATGTGGCTCGTAACCAAATACCTGTCGTTTAAGTTTCAGTGTACATTTTGTTAAAACAGCTCCATTTCTTTCTAAATTAATTAACAGGAAAATAGTAGAATTTAATCTTTATTCATCCTTAATGTTTACTTCAAGTCTAATCAGAAGTTTTCATTTATCTTCCCATAGAAACATTATATATTACTTTGTCAGTTGTGCTACTTTCTCTTATCTTATCTATCGAATGTTGGCAGTCAATCAGTTTCGTTTTTTACAGAAGAGACTAAATATACACACTCACGTACTTCGATTTAAGCCATTACTTCTCGTATGAGTCTTATAGAGATCCATAGTTTACATCTCTTACTTATCTTAGTTAGGTAGGTAGCCATTTAAAATCAAAAAGCACTAGATATCTGTTTAGTTCCACTAATGGATTCGTCAGCAGTATGCGTCCGCAATCTCACCGGCACAGGACCTCGGACCATTTGATAGCCACTCGCTACGATACTTGAAGCTACCGGGTTCAATCACTGGTTTGGTCGTGAATGGTCATTCCTAGGAAAAATTAGCTATTCAGTGCTTCCTGGTTTTCACTGTTGCTTTCTTAACAGAATTCATCTACAAATTATGATAGCACTTAATAAAATTATAATATTCAATTCGTGTTTGTTTTTCTTTTACTAAAAGGAATCTGGACTTTACAGCTCAGTCTGATCACTTTAAAATTGATACTTCTCTTCCTCTGTATTTTGAAACGACCTATAACTTACACCTTGTGTTAACTGTTTTCATGGTTACGTTTCCTAATTCTTCCTTCTTCACACGCACACACTGTTGTTTTTTTCTTTGAAATTGCTTCACAATGTATTGTTTTGTTTAACTTATTAAGTACAAGTAAACGTCCTTCCCTAGATGATTTCTATTTATTTCTTTTTAAAAAAAACCTGAACAACTTTTCTGACCTAGAATTTCACTAGAATTTCTCACCTGTTAAGTTTCGTTTCATGGATGTTATTAAATAGTTTTCTATACAGAACAATCGGTTCCCAAAATGTCTTGATGTTTCATACAATGCTCCTATTATTGTGGCCAGTTAAAATGAATTATTCAGTCTTTCTTCTCATAATTAAAACTTCTTGTATAAATTTTTTTAGTATTTATGTTAACTTTTCCTATAGTTTGCGTTTATTGATAGTAGTGACACCCCAGACGTTTTGTGTGCTTCTGTTAAATACTTTGTTCGCTCACTTAAACTGAATATGTTTATTCCTGTTAGAAATAGTATACTGTTATCTGCTTAAGCAATAAATGTTCCCAATGCAAGTTAAATCATAAGTATGTACCTATAAGATATATCATTTTAAGTGTTTGGATTGTGAACTAACTTTAGCCAGGCAGCTACTGGAAAACAAGGAACTCTGAACAGAACAGTTGTGTTTCGTCCTAGTTCAGAACCTGTCCCCGTCATTTTTTTATAACATCAAAATGTTACAGTTTGATTTTTTGTATCTAATAAATATTCACTTCAATCTGATATTCTGAGGAAAATATCATACATGTGACACAATGTATTGAATGAAATTCCTGTAAATTATCTCACTATATCCTAAAATCTACTGTATGAATGAGGAAAAGTCACATACGTTATTATTCTTAAATTTACATATTTTTTTGTAATTAAAATAATCATTACTAATGAGTGAAGGTATACTAACTATTTGGTATTTAAGCAGAGATGGATAGTGGCTAGCAGTGGAATCCAGTTTGACGCGCGTTTCGTCTTATTTGGGACTCGTCAGCTGGATGTACCTGCATCTCAGAGTTGATGTTCACTCTGGAACTCAAACCCAGTACCCTCCATCTCTGCTTACCATGCTTGTGAATTAAGGCTATATCGAGGCAATGCACACAGTATGCACATATGCCAATCAGAGACTGACCAGTTGCAGTCCTAACACATCGATGGGAAGATTCAAACAAACAATACTAATTGTATTTAGTATTTATGTAAAATATCACTAGGAAAAGTCTTTTAGACTACTGAATTTTATAACCAGCTAATTGTTATCTTATAATAACTGATATCTACAAGACTTTCAAAGTGTATATATTAATTCGAACAAAAACAAGAATAACATAGTTTGGAGTATACAATCAATTTATTATTATCTTGTTACTTTAACTCCAGCTATATACAAGCTATACAAGTTTCATTATTTCCAACTATCAACATAATGTTCAACTTCACGTAGATTCATTGTTATTAACAACTAAGTTGTTTTAAACGTATTAGACATTGAGAAATAGACTTTTCTAACAGCTTTTTTTCTAATAATTGTCTAAGATGATTATTCTAGAATATTTAAGATAATATTATTGCCAAATGTAACAAAAGTTTGGGAAGTTTAGAAATGAAAAGAGAATTTTTGCGTTCAGTTCACTAGATTTTGATTACAAATAATTGAGAAAAAAACAGTGAAAATGGGTCGAAATGTTTAATTTGCTTTTGTTAACAAGGTTTACTCACTCCTGTTACTCTCCATGGAGGACTATAGGCCACCCATCATGATACTCCAAACAACTCTGTCCTCGGCTATCTTTTCCAGTTTTTTTCAGTTACTATTCATCCTTTTCATATCTGCTTCCAATGCCCGATGCAATGTGCTCCTTTGACTTCCTCTTTTCCATTTCCCCTCAAGATCCGAAGTTTATGCTTGCCTCGTGATACAGTTTCATGATTTCCTCTATGTGTGTCTTATCTATTCTCAACGTCTTTTTCTAATTTCCTCTTCATCTGGAAACTGGTTTGTTCTCTCACACATTAGGTTGTTGCTGCTGTTGATGGCATCCGGTCAACGGACATTGAGTATCTTGGGTAGACAATTGTTTATAAATACTTGTACATTTTTGATGATAGTCGTGGTGGTTCTTCAAGTTTCAGGTCGAATTGTCTTGACGTTTGTATTAAAGATTCTGACTTTAATGTTGGATGACAGTTGTTCTGAGTTTCGTATGTCCTCCAATAGTAGGAATACTGACCTTGTATTGCCTTCGAATCCTCCTTGTTCATCGGTGATGTTGACGAGGTACGTGAAACTGCTCAACTCTTCCAGAGTTGCTATTTAAACTGATTAGCCTATTTCATAATTTTTGGAAACCCTCGATAATTTCTTTATAAAGTCCCTAGAAGTCAATAAAATTCTGGAAATACTTCAATCAGTTAACATTCATTAGGAACTTTCAAGAGAATCCTAAACAGTGACAGATTATGTTTTCTTTATCCTGATTGAATAATTGCCTATGTTGTTTGCAATTTTTACATGTTTTCCACAAGCTAAAATCCCATGCTCATCTCATAATTACCTTCATTTTTTCATACATGGATTAACCTTCAAAGTAGTTTCTTGTATACTTTTCGCCTTTTTTCTGTTTATGGTTCTTGTTCAAGGAATTTCTAAGGGCTATGGAAGTGATTAGGAAATCAGTCAGTATCTAAACATCCAATTGTTAGTGATATACCTATAACTTACTATACGTAAAATACTATTCAGGAAATTTTTTCTTTGATTTCCTTTATTATTATATGTTACTTTAGAATAACGCTACTGCAAGTCAATCGTCTGATTCAATTTCACTGACAAAGTCAACTGATTGCTTTCCCGAATTGTTAATATACTTTTTTGTCGATTGTCTTCGATTGGTCGATTATGTTCGTTTAGAATTGAAGGGGGAAATTTTCACTTGTCTCAACCAACGTCTAGTTCTACAAACAATGAATAACGACAGTAATGATGACACTGTGAACTATGAAACTATATTAAGTGAGTGTTTGGAGCAGTCATGTGAACGCTTAATTGCATCTACCAATTCAATAATGGATCTTATCAATCAAAAAATTCAAGTAAGTAAAATGCTAAATGCTATGTATGGAGATCAAGTTCTATTATTTCTTTAAACATGAACTAAATTTTAGCTATATATATATATATATATTTCTTTGTACTGGTTTTTGTACATGTTATAAACAGCGTATGGAATTCTACATATTTATACAGAACTCGGTAGATGAGCCAACTGAATAACATATAATAATAATGATTTGTCTACTGTTAGACTTGTATGTTACTATAGATGTACCGAATGACTTTTGACTCGTTACCGAGTAAATCCTTGAGATCGGTCAACTTTTTAGGGATCATATGAATGACGTTAGGCAACAATAAATGGAGTCTTCTGGACACTTTGGATAAGAATTTAAGAGTAGGATAGATTTCACACCTGTCAGATATAAAACGAAGCCAATCTACACTGATCCATACTGTAATGATAGGAAGAAAAATAGTTGGATGCAGTGAATACAGTATATAGATTGGATTAAAGCATGTTCTGTGCAGGATCGTTGGGGGCGCGCTGATTGGTTGAGAAATAACCAATCAGCGCTAGCGGATACTTTGGTAAGACCCTAGAATTTTCTTGCGTAAAATATACTGACCTTTTTCCTGTTAAGTTTCTTACTTCCATCCAACCTTGTTATTTGGAATGCAATAACATTCCTGTTCAGCCGCATTCTATCCCCCAAACGCCCTGATACGGTCGAGGGTCGGCAGAGGCTGCGATTCTTCTGGAAATGCTCTCATATGACCTCACGTATACAACCACTATCAAAGAGGTCCTACTCAATACCTTCTCACGACGGGGGTGTTTGTGAAATTGTGTGAACGAGAAGCGAATATCCGGCACTTTAACTGGGTTATTGGCGGGTATAAAGGATCCATCTAGAAGAGTCGGGAAACCCTGACTCCGAACCCATGTTGTTCATCGGCTTCAGAATCGTGAGGGAATAAATGGCACATGAATCTGTTGTTGGTCACCAACCACCATGGGGCTGCATCTCGTTACTTTGCTCCGCTACCTTGTGGATTAGACCTTTAGGTCAAAGGCTTTGAGTGTGGCCTCTTAAGAAAACCACCTACTTCGGTTTGGGCACTGGGGAGCATCAGATCCCTCATACATATCGAGTGATTTGTGTGGTGCATATCAAATTAATGCCTTCTTGTACCAATGTTTATGATTTTAGGTAACAATAATAATAATGTCTATGTAAAGGGCCTTCAGAAGGTTGATAAACCTTGCTAGTATTCCCTTTAAGAGATTCAGCGTTTCCTCAAGATGATCTCCCGATTGACATATCATCTTGCTTGCGGCTTGCTAGGATGAATTTTCAAAACATTCATTAATTCACTGGACCTATTCGTTCAGTCATAAGCGATGTAGAATCTGACACAAATACACATCAAACATAATTTTCATATCACAATAAGTATAACGAGATTGAATAGCAAACCAAACGAGTTCGAGTAATGGTATCAATGATAATAAAAAAGATTAAGGTTGAAGAATATGATTTTAGATGAATAAATGTATGGAATAGTTTTTTTGTTTTAATCCAAAGGTCGATTGTTTTATATTGGTTGAATCGTCGCCTTAACTAATTAGCATCAAAATAGTTATCTTGTTCAAAATTTGTTCACCTCCTTATTAATTAGAACTCAGGGTGAATATTCAGTTCATTGACAGTTTTGGAAAACGTTACACATTACTCTGTATTCTAAACGTCTCTTGTCTTTACTGTGTACATAAGACTGAGTAAACTTATGGGACATACATAACCAAACAGTATTTCCTTTCTCTCTTTCTTATTACACTGTAACAAATGTCAATAAAACACTGACTTTTTACTACATGTTCTTAATCTGTATACTTATTAATTTTCACATGCGTACGTACACACATACTCCATCTACACTCACTAAGCATGTATATACTTTATAACAATCGATATAACATTTTGTTTGTTTATTTTCTAATTATCGTGTCTATTTTTAGCAAAATTGTTTAAATAGTATTCGCCAAGTACTAGACATACCACGTCAATATCGTTGGACTAATCGAGAGTTTCCTTCTAATGCATCTCTATATGTATCAAATATCATACATCCTTTAATGAAACTCGATAGTTTAGGATTACATTTATCTCAATCAGTCCCTAACGCTCAACCATTTTTATCTACTTTAATAAAAAAATGTATCACAACTGTTACTCATGAGTAAGTTCTGTTTTTGTTCTAATGTATTTAAAATTGAAAGTATTTGGTTGTGTTTTATTGTTGACAAGTTATTTTAAAGTTGGTTATTCATTAAAGAACTAAGATCATTTTTTGAAAAAATTGAGGAATAGAAACAATTACAAAATTGATTTTTATTGTAACTGAAGAGTCTTCAACGTACTAATTTAACTAAACTAGGACACCATACATTTTGTATACAGAAAAGTATCTTCTAGTAATTATTATACCCCAATGACTTTATTAATTATATTTATGTATATCTTAAGAGGTGAATTCCAAGACATATAATTATAATTTTAGAGCAGTATATCAACTGAAGGTATATTTATTAAGGTTTTGGTGGCCCTGAATCTGACTTCAATTAGATCATATGATTATCGTTATTGAATGGTTGCTGTCGTACATAATCATCGATTTAACTCGTTAGTGAATAACGGAATTAAGTCAGATACGAGAATGAAGTTTGGATGTGCATATTTCATACAATCATTGATCCAGACAGACGATCAAAGAAACAAAATGATGCACGCTGGAAAAGGCGTGTGAGCCAACTCGATTTAACTAAGTGTGAATCGTTACTTATAGTCAGATGAAAATGAGTTACAGACATATAATGAGTAAGAAAGAAATGTCCACACATACGCTCATATAAATACAGTCAATGTTGATAAGCCAATAATTAACAAGATTAAAATGTGACGAATAAATTAGCCTTTCCAAAAGCTAGAATAAAGCATTTTTTTATTATTATTATTTGAACACATAAATATTGGTACAAAAAAGCACCAGATAAATATGCGCCTCACAAATCTCATTTGATTTGTGTGAGGGCTGTGATACTGCCCATCTGCTCAGGCTGAAGCAGGTGGTTTCCTTAGGGGGCCACACCCCAAGCCTTTGGCTTGAAGGTCTAGTCCACAAGGCAGTGGAGCATCGTAAGGAGATGCAGTCCCATGGTAGTCGGTGACCAACGGTTGGTCCATACGCCATTTTTTCCTTCAGGATACTGGAGCCCATGTGTTGGGGATGTCAAATCCCCAGAACTTACTTGATAAGTGGCTCAATATTGTAATTTTATTTTGGAAATTTGAACTTAGCTGTTTTCGCGCCAAACGCGCTCTTTTTACCTTCACATCATATTTCCCACTTGTAACTATCTTAAACGCTATTGGTCCATTGTTTCTTTGTGTGTGCCCAAGGACAATTTGTTGCTGTATAAATACGCTTGACTTTTTCCCTTATTTGATTGCTGTGCTTCTGGCTGCTACGGAATATAACTTCCCCGCTCCAACTTGGACTTCTTACTCTAGTTAGCTTGGTCTGGGTCGCGTCATAATAGCTAGTTATCGGTCTCTGGTCACGTGTCTTTGTTCCGTTCGCTACTAGTGAATTCGCAACGCTTCAGATATATCACCATGTGCACCATTGGTTTGGAATCAGGGTTTTCCAACTCCCCTAGGCGGACTTTCCGTGTCCACCAACCCGGTTAAAGCGCCGGACATTCGCTTTTCGTCCTCTCAATTTCGTAAACAACAGTGATGCCACGAGAAGGCAGTGAGTAGGACTTCCCTGACAGAGGCTATATATTCGCATGGCCATGTGGGAGCATTTTCAGAGGGAGAGCGGACTCTCCCCACTCTCAGCCGTACCAGGGCATTTGGGGGCATATGGGCTTAACATAGGGCCAGCTCCTACAAAGTGTCTATTAGTGATATCTATGATGAGAGTAAAAGATCTATTCATGAAATATCACCCTTGTGCTCCAACCAATTAGTCTGAAGTTCGAGTTCTATTCCGCCCACATCATTTTAAGCAGCATGGTACCATCACTAGTCTTTAAACAAAACAGCATGACCTAAAACCACCGTCTACATAGACATGAACTTGGTTTAGATGAGTTGCACCAATCACATAAAGAATACTTTCAACGCTAGCCAAGAAAAGAAAAATACTGTTAAGTAAATAGAGTAGTATATACTAAACTATTGTCGTTTTATCATTCCTGAAAAAAAAATTATCTATCTACTTATATACAAAAAAAATTTTATTTAGCTGATCCCCGACCCCGCTCCAAACCCTATAAAAAATTTAATATGGTGGTTGATTGAGTAGGTTTGTTGTGAACGAAAATTCAGGTGGGGATAACAAATTATGTTATTTAATGTAAAACTACACAATAGATTAGTAAAATATGGAAATCTAATTCTGTGTAATGTGTGAAATGAATTTGAGATTCGGATTGATAGTGCAAAACAGTTTTATTTTGTTAGACAGAGATTATTGAAGGGGTAGCACGTTTGAAACTAACAACTGGATGATCTCGTCAATTGTTTTCTACCATTTCATAGTTTTTGTTTTCAACACCACCTACATTCTTCAGAACTACATTTTTTTCTGCTGACAGGATGGAATTTTTCTTGATCATCACACTTTTCTCCATTCACAATAATATTATATGTAAATCAACCATTCAGTTCAAATCTTGTATTCTCAAAGCGTATTTATTCTTTATACATTATTTTTAGTGCTAATTAGTTAGAGGTGGTCGACAGAATACCCTGAACCTAGGTTTCGTGCTTGTTGGCACTCGTCAACAGGGTGTATGTGCTCCGGCATCCAATTTCACAGTTTGGGACGTTATCACTGAGCTATTCGGACCGCGACTGACATTCTGTAGGAGTGATATTCCCACTGATCGACCGCTTAGTTGTAGGCAATATAATATTTGTCTAGTCCTATGTGCCGATCAGATTCTATCGACCAAGCTGAGATGTGTTTGTATGTCCAGGCTTTCTTTTCGACAACCTCTAACCAAATTAATGTTTCAGTATATAAAGTACATGCAGCCAGTTAGTTATACGCAACATAGAATCTGGTACACATATGTATCTGTTTAAGATGTTATTTGATGTCGGGACACTTAGACTGGCGGCCATGTTAAAACGTGATCGATAGAATTCAACTGGCACTAAACAATCATACGAAAATAATACTTACCACTACACTCAATTATCAACCAGTTGTAAACATTTTCTATACAGCTGGTAAGAACTTATTAATTTTTATTTAATAGGTCTAGTTTTTCATGTATTATTTTTCTCACATTATCAAATAAAGCTATACAGCTCAACTTTCTGAAGTGTCTACATCAGTACGAAAAATGGAAGATAGTTTACGGCGATTACGTGAAGTTAGGCGTGGTAGTTCACAAATTTCCAATCAATCTCAATCTGTCAATGGTAGTAGTGGAATTCACTCAGATGATAAAATTCGTCATCAATTGTACTTGGATGCTAAATCATATATTGATGAGGTTAGTGATATAACACTACTGCGAGATTTCCTTACCATATTTCCAACTAACTTATTCCTTATTTTGTGTTGCTTAGAAATAAAATACGTGTCCATGAGTTTGTGGCCTACTCATTTCTCAATGTTCAATATGTGTGCAGTATTAGGCATTGTCGGGTATTTTTCTTTTTATTTAGTGAGTTATTACTGCGTATAAAGGCATAATTCCCACTGAGGATTTCATTTTAAGCTTTAGCTTCCATTTGATTTTATTTTTTTAATCCGGAAAGTTAAGATGTGCTATAGGGGCACATTCATCGGTGACAGTACGGCTTTAAATGACTGAAATGAAATTCCTATTAGAAATCATCCTCTTATATGCAACACTTACCTATCAAATGAACGATATTGTAATTTTACTGAACATTGAAAAAGGGACGGTTAATCCGCAGATAAAGGATTATAACTAACCTTTCTAATGCTAAATAATATAAACATTGGTATACGTATATGAACTGCTAATCTCTGAATTAATATCGGGAAGTAAAATTCCACTGATTATGTTAGGGGTAAACAACACAAATAAAATCGAACTTTGAATAGCATAATTAACAATCTGTCTGATTTAGATGCCAATCCATTTCTACTCATCATTATTATCGTTTGTCTAAAAGTCCTAAACGCTGTACTAATTGCTACTTTTTTTACTTCTTATTCTCATCGGTTTTCTTTCGCATTTTATAATCACCTCGTTACCAATGTCATCGATAATGTTGTGGAGATAGGTTTGACAAACTTATTTTGTGAATAATCTTTGATACATTTTGCATTTATTTTGTCAATTTTCACAATCTGTACATTTATCACTAAACGGTTGTATTTGTTGTTTAAGTGTATGACCTTGATTACTTCCTTCCGTTTTTGAATACCACATAGCACGACAGTTAACTGTTCATAAATAAATACACTCTTATACACACACCTCTCGTTCTACAATGCTTGTGGATATGATAACCGAACTATTAATTAACTGTAGACTGTTGTAACATTCCCATTGTATTCTACGTTTGGCTATCTTACTGGAACCATATCAGCCTCACTGGAATTATTAATTATCTATAATTGTGGATTCTGGTACCAAACGCAACAGAACACGCACCAGCCAGTTGATTTAAGTATCGTCCCTTAACTTTTATTTGTGTTCACAACTTATAAGTTGTCTATTATTATATTGATTTTTGGACGTAATAACTTAATTGTTATTTTTGAGTTAGTATACATTTTTGGTCCGTCACAATTGCGTGGTGAGTTTCAAGTTTATTCTGGTTGTTGTATCGCTTACTTTTTACCTGATACATTGGTTTATTTTCCATGTAATGCATTCTCCAACTAAACTTATCGATATGGACTCTCCTCCAGTAACCACTCTTAATTCATTATCAAACTCTGCTGAAAACATTTTAAGCTCAGTCAACGCTATCTCTGAATTTAGACTCCCAACATGGAGCTAATAGTTCAAGAGTCTGGTTCGCCCAAATAGAAGCCTTATTAATGGTCAGAGGCGGACCAAAAATGTATACTAACTCAAAAATAACAATTAAGTTATTACGTCCAAAAATCAATATAATAATAGACAACTTATAAGTTGTGAACACAAATAAAAGTTAAGGGACGATACTTAAATCAACTGGCTGGTGCGTGTTCTGTTGCGTTTGGTACCAGAATCCACAATTATAGATAATTAATAATTCCAGTGAGGCTGATATGGTTCCAGTAAGATAGCCAAACGTAGAATACAATGGGAATGTTACAACAGTCTACAGTTAATTAATAGTTCGGTTATCATATCCACAAGCATTGTAGAACGAGAGGTGTGTGTATAAGAGTGTATTTATTTATGAACAGTTAACTGTCGTGCTATGTGGTATTCAAAAACGGAAGGAAGTAATCAAGGTCATACACTTAAACAACAAATACAACCGTTTAGTGATAAATGTACAGATTGTGAAAATTGACAAATGCAAAATATATCGAAAATTATTTACAAAGTAGGTTTGTTAAGCCTATCTCTACAATGTAATCAAGTTATCCTATTTTATCATCTTTTTTCTACCTATCCATCTGATCTTCCTATGCTGGACCACTGATCCATAAATAATTCAGGCTTCTAACCCTTTTCTACTGTTAATTATATATAGTATTATTTGATACTCACTTTCGAAAAAAAAATTTGTCTTATGCAAGCCAAGGGATGGAATGGCAAAAGACAAAAAGCTGAACATCATCTATAAAATAAACTGGTCCAACTACGAAAAACACTACATCTGATAAAGTGTCACCTTCGTCTTCATAAATACAACTTGATAGTTGTCAAATCCCATCGCACATCCTTACTTATATCAATGCCTGTGAAGAATTGTGGGCGCACATTCAACTGGGGATATTTTGAGATGTCGTACAAAGGAAGTACGAAGAAGACTAGAGGACTTCTAGGAGTTTGGCACTCAAGTAAATTAGTAGTCAACATGCACATCGAAATTGACCCAATTCGTCAACATGTTAGAAAAGTCATAGACAAGTCTTAGGTAAAAAGCAAGTAAATGGTAGAGGCAGTTAGGAAGAATATGCAGGTAACGACAGGTTAAATGTCAACAATAGCCAATTAATATCGAAATCAACGGAATAAGCTGTCAGTCATATGTGAAAAATCCGAATAATTCACTTCTACATGAAGTTTGGTTTGATGATGTTGTCCAGAAAGACAATGAAAGCTTCATGATTAAACTATCTAGCTCTCAGAGAATGAAAACTCACCAAAGTCATCCACCTGAGCTACAAATTCCCCTTATCAGTTCAAGGACCTTTGGATTCGATCACTAGTTTAATTGACAGGATGCAACAATTGGTCCCACCACAAACTGATCTCACTGCTCATGAAGGCAGTACTGGAAAGCAGGCTATTGTTCGCATCTTCGACAACATTCTGCAGGATTTGGAAACATAGGGTCAACATTTTTTCAAGTGTGGTCGCCTGTCATATGCTTCGTTGTGGATACAACGTCGATAGCTCAAAGATCCTTCATAGGATTGAATAATCCAATAACTGGATTTATCGCGTTCTATTGCAGCCAAAGTTATCGAAAAACTTAAACCTGGTGAATACAGTAGGAGCTAGAGTGAAGGAATCACCAGTTACCCACATTGGTTGATCCGACTAACCTAATAGTTTACTATAAGTATAGTTCGTTTGAATGGAACCACGCTCGTAGATGGAAACAACGAAAACTTGCCAATACTTAAGTGGCACTTTTCAGAAGTCAGTTTAACACTTTAGTATTCAATCAATTAACAACTTGACGATTTTTTCGCTCCTGTGAGACGAGCATCAAACTTTAGGAACTCATTGAGTACCTTAAACACAATCGGATCCCCATATGACTTTGTAATATGAAGAATTTCCATACTGTAAATTATAACATATTTTTCTAACTCTATATGGGAATGTCTAATACCTCTTAGTATGCTTCGAACTCGAGCATTTTGTGATTTGGTATATCTTTAATTCAATCGTTTGTTCGCCGTTTTCTTTAAAGTGCAGTAACGCCACGTGGATATAAGTAACCCACACCACACTATTAGTCTACGTTTTAAAATAGTATCTAATCAATGGATGTTTTTCATGAATAAACACTTTATTCAAAAGAGCACTACTTGCTTAGAATTTTTGCATCCCTAGTGTAATTTTTTATGTAACGGCTACATGTTTTATCTTATTTGGACTTGTGTTGCTCATTTTTTGTTTTTAAGGTAAGGAAGTTTTGGAGTTTAGATCGTGAGTATACATGTGAGTTGGACGATTTTATAGAGCAAATAGACACAACTCGAACGGAACCAAATATTTGCAATATGAATACTATTCCAGCAGTTAGTCAAGAGTGATCAACAAAATTGAATTGTGATAACTTTTATGTACATTAGATAACATGGGTAGATATACTTGACAATATTTCTATGCTTTGTCAATCAAATAAACTTTGTCTGTATTGGTCTCTTCGTTTTGTGCTTGAGTATACTTTTCATTTGTAGATACTAACCTTAAGATCTTTTCTTTCGATTTATCAGGTAGTTGACCAATGTAGTCAACACCGTCAATGTACAACTTCGGTAGGTGATCTTCCAGTAGGAGGCAAACTAATTCCTTGTCTTCAATCTGCGGGTTTCCACTCACTATTAAGCGGCGTAAAGCTCTGGAAAAAAATATAGAAAAACAGTTTATTGACTGGAGAACTTAATGTTATTAATGTAAACAATAACTTCCGGTTCGTTTTAAGCAAATTACCAAAATTTCATTGGACCACTTACTTTAACTGTGCCAGTGTCGCTAGGCCTTTTGAAGTAATAGTAGGGCATTCACTGACATCGAGAAATTGTAATCCTTTGATACGTCCAATTCTTGATAAGCAAAAATCATCAAGATGTACACATCTTTTCATTTTTAAGTACCTTAGATGGGTTAAACAGGCTATAAAGTAAATAAGTTATGATATATATACATTAGTGCATCAAACTAAAATCAGTACATAGTTATGAAACACCTCTTCGTTAATTTGTGCCGCTAAAACCGATTACTAGGCATACAAACTAGAATCTGTGTGATCACTTGTCAACGTTTGAACGAACAGTTTAAAAACCTACAACCTGGAGTTTTCAACCATAGATTATAGCTATTTCGAAGACCTGAGAAAGAAAGTTTGCAGAACACTAAACTTAGTTTATGGATAAACTGCTTGTCTTGACCAAGCCACACTTAGCCATTTTGCGATCTACACCTGTGGTAATATGGGCAGTGTTTGGGCGTTGATCGTTTCTGAAATTACACAAACTTTTCAGTTGCTTTGGTTATAGTACGAAGAACTCAGTAGGACAAAACTTCATCAGCACTACTTAAACTATAAAAACAAGTGAGATGGTTAACACACTCAACTACTTTCATCTCTATTGATAGTTAGACTAGGCAATGACACGTCAGTCAAGATACATTTTGTGTTCATTTGGTGCAGAAGTCACCTGATAAGAAATATACGCATAGTATTGGTTCACAAATGGATCCCAAAGGTACCATCCATTATCCTTATCGGGGCATAACAATATTCCATCTCCATCAGAAATATGTAGGTAAAAGATCAATCCCTGAGAAGTGAAACGGCGTCAAACACTGTTACAACGCATCTTGATCGATAGACATAAGTACTTCTTTCATACTACGGAGGACGACTACATTCAAATTTCCGACTAACATATCCACAGCCGAGTCAAAGAGCAGCTTGGTTTCCTGGGGCTCGAACTCAAACTGACTTAAGACGGGAAGCGAGAGTCCTAAACTACATATTAGTTACCCAATAATCCTAGAAAACTTTTCTATCAAACTGCATAATCAGTCTCTGATGCTCTCGTTAGCCTCAACTTAAATACAGCCTTTCTAGTTTTGCTAGGAGTTGCACGTAAAGTTCATCGACGGCTATTAGAAAACTGAAGATAACAAGAGTTGCTTGTACAAATTTACTGCTTCAGCCAAATGGACTGAACCAACCAATATTTTGTTCTCTGTATCAAACTATTAAATCCGGTCTTCTTGAGTCTACTGTTATTCATCGTTGCTATCTACATTTTTCTACTTACCTCGTCCAACACATCTAACGGTCACTGTGTAGACTATCTTGTAACCATTTAGGTTGTTACGAGCTTTTACCATTTATGAAGCCTGTCAAGATCAGTTTTCAAACGTCCATTGGTTTAGAAGATAATCCTTTCTAAGTTTATCCTGAAGATTACCGACAAACTTTGCTGGATTTCTTATAACAACATTGAGGTCATATCAGGTTATCGCGGAGAAAATATTCCCTTTCGTGTTCGGACGCAGTCATAACTAACGTGACACCTGGCACAAATGTGCATCAACCTCATTGGACACCAATTCATAGAAAGATGAACAGCAAGAGTCAGGATAACAGTAATACCGATCATGATAAAGCGAGACATAGAGAATATGAACTGAGAAAGAATGGAATAAGGGAATAAAATGTGGAAAATAATAGTGAGATTAAAGATTTGAGATACAGATAATGTGTCTGTACCATGGCAACCGACTTTGAACCACGTCAACTAATGTCACTTACCACCGATCATGAACATATATCATGCTAAGACACAACAGAATGAACATCATCTTCGTGATCGGCTAGGTACTTTGTTGCGTTTTCATAGCTACTATGAACGACAGAAACATTAGGTGGAAATGAAATAACGGTAACCCAAGTACTGTTATAGATGTTACGGTTTCTACACCACAGAAAGACATTCTCTAAGTGCACCAGACACTCAGTTCAAACAGAAACTGGGACGTATGTACATCGATCATGACTGCTGAATCTCATAAGTAAGCATTATTTATTTATTTATTTAATCACGTACATATTGGTACAAAGGGCACCGGATACATATGCGCCACACAAAATAATGAAAATGGGAGGAGAAAGGGGGAAGATGCGTATATATAAAAGAAAAAAAAAGAGAAGAGTAGTGATGTGAGGAACTGAAATGTACAACCGGAAGAACTCTTTTAGTTAAGAAAGTTATAACCACTTTTTATGAAGAAAGTGAAAGAAGGTTACAGCAGGCTCGCCACTGGCTTCTATTCTGAGCCATATCTGATAACGTCTCTAGCCACTGTGTTGCACCATATCTCGGATCCCAGCCAGAGAGTCGTGAAGGACCAACAGAAGCTAGTCTTTTGCAGCTTTCTTTCATACCACGACACCATGTTATGTAAGCAAATGCAAAATGGTTAGCTAAATTGTTAAACACAATCGGCAATAAACTGTGCAAGTTTTGCCTAAAAGATACATTTGAACAGTTTGACCTTATCGATGGCATGAATATTAAAGAAAATAATATGCATTCTTTTGAATGTAAACTTTCCTTTTACGATTGTATCTTTAACCAAGACTATTGATTCCCTTTGTGACCATACATCGAGTAACTTCCTCCTTTTTCCTACTCGATCAACACTGTTGAAAGAACTACTTTTATTATGTACTGCAATAATGAAATTCACGTTTGAAGGTGAACATTTCTGACAAGTTGGTGGTGCTGCTATGGATAGCCCTATAGGATCTCTATTTATTTGAACACAAGTACTGGTACTAAGAGGCACCGAATACATATGCGCCACACATGTCCCTTACTTGATTTGTGTGTGGGCTCTGATACTGTTCGAGTGCCCAGACCAAAGCAGGGTACCGAATACATATGCGCCACACAATAGGATCTCTCTTAGTTGATGTATTCGTCATATGTTGGAGATATGATGAGTGAGCTCATCAGCGAGGTAGAAATTTTGATGCACCTGTTATTAGATAAACTCAATAATGTACAGAATTGTACAGTATTGTAATGAGCTATGAGGGAGAAATTAATAACCGATGGCCCATCTTAGACATACTTTTGAGTCTAAGGGGAGATTGAACTATAAGGTAGTCAGTTTATAGGAAGCCGACATGGAGTGATCAGTTCAAACGTCCAGTTTTTGTCTATTGCAACACAAACAAGGCTTGGTTAATTGACATTAACAAGAATCAAAGAATGTGAGCCATAGATATGGTTGAAGATGCAAAACTGCTAACTGATACACTAATATTAAGTGGCCAGCCACTAAAGTTTATAAATTGATGCAAGTCAGTCAACACCAAAACCGCTATTTAATTCTGTTCCTAAGAAAACTGTTCATACCTCCACCATTTGGAGGTGAATCTAACAGTATGGTTCTAAAACAGAAACTAAAAGCAGACATAGAGAGAAAATATTACGCTGAAAAACCAGATGTGATTGAAAGGATTAAGCCCATAATTCCAATTAGACCTAGACAATGGATAAAGGATTACGCCACATTCCATTACCTTTACCAATTTACATTTTTGTTTGGAAACATACATAGGGAGTAGTCGAACAATTCGATCGAGGGTTATAGAACATGTGCATAGATGGTTTCATAGTCAGTTAATGTCAAATGCTCCGATAAACGTGGGAGGTAGAAAATCATGTTCATCGATAACAAAGCATATAATTGGAACGGAGCACAAAACTAACATAAATACAGCTCTCAAAAAGCTGTATGGAAATTGTCAAGGACGAGTCCCCAGGTTTATAAAAGCCTTGGCTATTAGTAAATTCGAACCCCCTTACGTGTACAGAAATAATGTGTCGTAGCCTTGAATTTGCCCTAGGAATCCTTGGGTCAGTTTACGGCTAAGGGTAGTGCGACAATTTCCTATTCTTTATATACGATGTTGATTTCCCCTTCATTTTATTTACAACTAACACTTTGTTTACTTGGACCTTCATTGAATTGAGCTTTATTAATTTTCGCACAAGAATGCCTTGACAAGTATGTGAGTGCCCAGATTGTTCGAAATGTTTAGCGCAAATACATCATACTTTTCAGATGAACTTTTTCTCCTTATTGTTCTATTGAAACTTGTAAAACAGATTGATCATTTCAAATAAACGTAAAGATAATTAAGTCCAAATCATTTACTTACGTAAAAACTCTAATCCTTCGTATACAATATTGGTACCTGACAGGTCAATGGTTTCAATTACAAAACTATCGACGTGTTTATTTGGTAGTATAGGAGGGATCCCAGCATATGGTTGAATCCAGTTAGTGTGACCGATGAGCTGAACGCGACCGCCCAGACGGCACACCATGTGGGCTATAGCAACATCTAGTCCTAGGTTTTCGACCTCTTTATCAGAAATTCTGTAAGTAAGAAACGAAGGCGTTACATTTGTTTTTGTCGGTTTCGTTCCCTCATTCGCGATAGTAATAATGTTCTGAGGCTATCCACTGTCAGAGTTTCTCTACTCCACGCCTTCTGGAGAAGTTCACGATATTTATCAGCAGGATTAAACGCTTCTGCCACCAAACCAGTATATATTTTTACAGATTTCCCGTCACGTACAACATGTTTATACTAAGTCAATAGGACCTAATCTTTACAACTGACGTACCTTAGGTTTGGAGTAGACTGACCGCGTGAATCCACCTTGCTCATCAGCTGGCTCACTGGAAGCATAACGGATCAGTAAGTTGTGACGGGAGATAATTGACTTTGATAGACGACCAACTGTAACACGCAGAAACATACCGCAGGTCCTCTGACAACCGAGATTGGGCACGGCAAAAAAGTCGGAGCCTTTCAGAGCCGTCTGCCGTTTTTTCAACGACCTTGAACGGCCTGACAAGAGGCGGTCATACCGTATTTGAGTTGTTGAGGCTCTGTTGGGTGTCCGTTAGATCACACGAATATCGGGTTTCTCATACTTTATTTGTGTTTCGCTGCAGTAAATTCGCAAAATCAATGCGAAAAGCGTTAATTTAGCTTTCTGTGTTTTGTAGTGTACAATTTGGCTCTTTTGTTGCTTCGTAACTTGACCTGGTACACCAATTACCTTACTAACCCTCACTGTCCTTGTTTAAAAATTGTTGGGGTCCACAAAGCATCGTATTGAGAATAGCCTAACAGTCAAAGATACTCTGAGTTTGTGTGACCCGTTGTTTTCCTCGAGAATTAAGATGAAATCTTGAGTAACCGGTAAGTTAGATTTTTTGTAGTACTTTCTTCAGTTATTAAAGTATTATCGCAAGAAATAGCTTCTTTAACAATTATTAAGTTCTGTTTGTAGTGATTCATGTTCGAGAGACATTCCAGTGGACTTTTTGTGCATGGGCTCCAGGACCGTGAGGGAATAAATGGCGCATGAATCTATTGTTGGTCACCAACCACCATGGGGCTGCATCTTGTAACGTTGCTCCACTACCTTGCAGATTAGACCTTTAAGTCAAATGCTTAGGGTGTGGCCTAAGAAAAAACCCCACTTCGATTTGGGTACTGGGGGAGCATCCCGTCCCACACACAAATACAATAATGGTTACTAACGCCTGTTACTGCTCGTGGAGGATCATAGACTGCTCACCAGCTGAGAGCTGATTTGTTCTCTCCAACAGTAGGGTGTTGCTGATGGTATCTTGCGCAGACAATTGTTTAAAAACACTCATACTTTTTTATGATGGATGTGGTCTTTCTCGAAGTTTCAGCTGCGTACAGTGGGACTCTCTTGATGTTCGTATTGGAGATTTTCACTTTGATATTGGTTGACAAATGTTATGAGTTCCATATTTTCTCCAATTGTAGAAATGCTGACTTTGTTTTGCCCTACCCTTGTATTTAAATCTGCATCAGATCCTTCGCGTTCATTAATGATGCTTCCCAGGTACGTGAAACTGTTGAACCCTTCCAGAGTCTCTTCATCAAGTATGATTGAGTTTTGTAGTGAATGAGAACACAGGTGAGGACAACGGATTATGTATTTAGCAAAAATTACAAAGTTGCTTGGTAAAATAGAAAAACTCTGATACTTCATTTGCAAAATGTTTGTTAATTGTCTCAGGCTTCATTGTTCCTGGATCCACACACCAATTGATTTTGTTTTATTCTTCCCTTCTCCATCCTCTGCCGCCAGATATTCTATTGCTGACTGACGATATGTACTACTATGTCGATATAAGTAGCCCACCCCACAGTTTCTGTATACTTTATTCTAATTAGCTGAAAGTATAGTTTATCTGACTAATGAATTATTGTGCCTAAGTAAGAGAAAAGTCTGGAAGAATTTCTTCTGTATATAATTCACCGGTGTTTCAACCTTTTTCATTGATGTTTCTGCCACTTTGTAGATTTTGGCAAATAATTATTAAAAGAATAATCCACTCTGCTACCTTTTTTAACTAAATGGAGTAGAAAAGAACTTTTTGTTGTCTTAATTACTCCATTTCTTGGCCACTGTGGAAAGTGCTTGCAAATACGGAAAATTAATTTTTTAAAACATCTGTCAACGTAAATTTCTCCACAGATCGGTTGAAAGTAGTTTATCTTCCAATATTGGTGACGTTATCTGATGTGTAAAAACTACTAGTTGTAGTTTTCCTGAATTTAACATTACTTGATTTGTTCTGCGCAAACTCAGCATGAACATTTCGCTAGATCCTGTAACAACAGATTTACATGCAGTGAATTTTCGTTAACCTTTTGAACTTTATCAGAATGGGGTTTTGTGGAGACTTTAGTAATTTTATAGTTGAATTCATGAGCCAATTGAAGCTAGACCGCTATGAAAAACCTGGAAGCACTTGACGGTCGTTTCATCCTATCGTGGGACTCCTCAGCAGTGCGCATTCACGATCTCGCCTGGCGAGATTTGAACCCAGGACCTGCCAGTCTCGCGCCAGAGCACTTGATCGATATACCATTGAGCCAGCTTCCAACGGTGTCAATGTCTAACTTCAACCAATCCATGAGGTTGAGCGACCAGTTCACCAATGTCTTCAAATGGTTGAAGACGAAATAGAAGTAACTTTCGCTTAACGGGCTTCCGTGTCTAGTAGCAGTGGATCACCAATACCTCCAGGCAAAAACCTAGGTATATTAACGATAATAGAGGAAAAAAATGAATTTGGTAAATCAAAATAACAAGTTATCCTTAGTCCTTAAGACTAAGTCAAGTTTCCTCCTAAAGGGCTATTGGTAAGCCGCTTGGACTACCTCAGTCGTCAGAGAATTCCAGCATTTTACAACTTACGGAGCAGAAGTTGTGTCTGCAGTCTGTTCTGCTATGTTGGGTCTCCAGTTTCTGGGTGTTACCTATTACGTTAGTGTTTTGACTAAGCTTAAGATGTTTAAGGGGATGACCAGAAGTATTAAGGATACTGTAAGTCATAAGAAGGTCACCTCTAAAACGCCTATACTCTATCGGGTGAACGTTAAGTGATTGAAGGCGCCCGTCATAGGGTTTGAATTTGAGTTCCCGAACTGATTTCGTGACTCGACGTTGGATACGTTCCAGAGTGTCCTTATGCTTTTGGAGGGAAGGGGGAAATACTGTTTCCGTACTCTAAATTGGGACGAATAAAATTGATGAAGATTATGTGGAAGGTTCTCCCGTCAAACTGGCCGAAAATGCGCTTAAATGTTACCAGTGCAAGGTTTGCTTGAAAGGCGTTTTTGTCACAGTTCACATACGACTTCAGGTCGTAGGGTACCAACACTCCTAAATCTTTTTCGACTTGGGAAACTTCGAGAGAGGAGTTACCTAAGTTGTAACTATAGTCTGCAACATGTCGCAGATGAACTACTTTGCGTTTTGAATCGTTGAAGGTAGGTCAGTCGCTGTCTACCCAACTTTGAAGTCGAGTCAGATCCTCCTAAAGTGCTAGTAATAATAATAAAAATAATAATTTATTCTCAAATAACAGATTGTTACATGAGGCATGCCGGTTTACAGGCAAGATCAAATTGTTAAAGAAGTTACAATTTTCACTGTTGAAAATTACTCAGCTGGGTTGATATTTCATAAGATGTGAATGTAAATGGATTTCGTAAGAAACATATCAATATCACACTTGGCGCACTTTATGGAGGTAGCGTTGCGGCATACAACTGATGGTCGAGAATAGATACATGCGAAGTTGGGGGCTTTTAGAAGTTTCGAACTTATATCCCTCCGGAATATCTGAGGCTTTAATAACGGTGTAGGACGAAGTCACCCGTGCCATATCCGTTTTCGGTGGAGTATCTGCAGGAGGCTGAAAAAGGTGTAAGAAAAAGGAAGGACGAAAAGCAGAGCACACAATATTCATGGAGGAATAGTTAATGTATAACCATTTAGTCTATTTGTCTGTTACTGAAGTATTTATTAGGTAAGAACATACTAATGTGTTAAAGAAAAATAAGTGTGGGCAAGGTATGAGTGGATTAGGAACTGTATAAATAAAGGTAGTTCAAAAGAAAGTATGGAATTGTGTAATTGTAAAATAAAGTGCTGAAAACAGTATTCCGATACAAATGGCTGTCTCCCTTTATTTTCGAAGCTGTTTGAACTCTCTTTTTTGTTTTTAGATTTTATAGGGTATAGAGTGGGCTTCGTTTTTAGCCAATTGTCTAGTTTGCTTGTAATAGGATTACTCGGTAGGAAGTGGAACCAATTTAGCTTTTTTAACATGATCTAAGGTGGTATTTTTCATGAATAATTTCGCACCAATACCGTTGGTTCGTGACATTCCACTAGACATAAGGAGCCGTAATTAATATGTTTTGTCCTACAGACACGGGTGGATTGAAGTTATCTCCCCACCATCATGTTTACTGGTCAGTAACGCCACCCTCCCTCCTTTTATGATGTTAGGCTCTCTTACGTTTGTGGTCAGTATGAATATTGCTTTAATCCAGGACCATAGTTGGAATACACTGTCTCTACAAGTTCCATGTTACAAGCGAATCAGATGGTAATAGCATTTGTATTATGGGTTAGATATCCATTTAATATATCGTACTACTATAAAGATAACTAATGGCGAAGGTTATAAGAGACAAGTAAGATTATATGTGGTTATGAGATGGTAAGGACTAATAGCAAACCAAAGGATATAAAAGAGAATATTGTAAAATTTTCAGGGTAAGGAAAACAAAACATTGAACAACTCACAAGAATTTAGGACATTTAAGCTTCTTTTGTGTGATGTGAGCCAGCTTCCAAATTTCCGGCATTTTGCCCCGGCTTAGCGAGTGTGTGAACATCACGCTAAGTGGTGTTGCCAGGATTGAAGCTGCTTCCCTCAATATAGCAGAATGAACCATATCCGGACCGAGAGAACTGTCTTTTTTAGGTGCTGCAGTTTACGGAGCACCAGGTCAGCACTCAAGTCCCCTTCGCAAAGTCCTGTACGGGTGAAGGTGAAGCCTTCGTCAGTATAGTTGACGTAGGTCGGCTGAAATGTCTGAGAGTATTGTTCAGCCAAAAGCTTAGCGACATAACGTCGTTGTTGATCGGGCCATTAGGACCTAGCAGTTGAGAAACTCCAGTTTTGCCTTGTCGAAGGAAAGCTGCGTAAGTGAATAAGCTTTTCGGATTGGAGACGAATTTATCGATAATCTTGGTCTGGAACTGAAGCCTATCTTCTCCTATTGTCTTTGAACATACGTTCCTTATATGTTTGTATTGCCTGTATGCGTCGTTATTGTCGGTTCGTTTATACTCAGCCCAACAGTGCCTTTTGCGGCTTAACAAACGACGAGTGCGGTTCTTGATGATTACAGGTTGTTTGTAGCTTTTCGGGACCATTTGAGGAATTGAATGCTCAGTAGCACATAAGATCGTATGCAGTAAGAAATCC